CTTGCAAATCAACTCTATCCCACAGAGTCACCATCCAACCCACCCTGGTCGATTCATTGTGCGCAGTCATACCCTCGGAAGGCTCGCTGCAGCTTTGCTGACGCGGCCCGCCTGTAGGCAACAGTACGCCCACCAGCGGCCCTATACACCATCCAGCCACCACGGGCCTCTAGCGGGTCGCGGTCTCCCATGCCATTGGAACGCCAGACCCAAAAACTTATGTACAACCCTAACTGACGTCGTGCCGCCGAACCAACCGGACTGGGCCCTAGAACAGGAAGAGCTCAGGGCCAGACGACGGCGGATTATTGTACCTGGAGAGCCCAGACTATGCATACGCCTGAATATCTTGTCGCCTGTTCATGTCCAATATTTCGCTCTCGCTGCCGGGGCCGCGAGTCACTGCCAGGACCGTAGACACCGCTGTCGTGTCTCAACAAGGTTTAAATGCGCCAAGGCATTTCTTGTGACGTACTTCCGTCGACACCTCCTCATCGGTCAGCCTCAGTGCTCCAAAGGTGGAAATCAACGTCTTCCGGCTTATAGTGGTCCGCGATGATGGTCGACAGGTGGTTGCGAGAGTGCGCGCCGCTATGCACTTGTTAGTTGTGACCCACTACCATACACATGCGCCTGTCAAACTTACAGGTTCGTGATGTAAGTGTCGAGCAGTTCGGGAGGCACAAACTCGCTAACAGCACTCCGAACGTCGACACCGTTGACCATGGCCCCGTCTGCAAAGTCCACGTGGCCCATGGAGCTGCCCCATTCGACAAGACTCTCTTCGTCAAAGTAGCTCTCTGGGCAGAGCTTGTAAACACCACTGAGAATGATGACTGGGTTGCCCTGCTCCTTGGCTGCGCGTGCAATAACTCCGGCTCCCGCGTCTGTCAGGATGCCGCCGTTAGCCAGTACAGCCCTTGCGCTCAAGATGACCTTGTTGATACGTGGCATATAGGCCATCAGGCCGCCATTCAAGATACTGATGGCACTGATGCCTGCTGCGCCTAGCTTCTTCCTGAACGACGCATAGGGCGTCTCGCCGGCCGGTCTGCGGGCACTTCCGATGGCAATAAAGACGGTGAACTTCCTTCTTGTCGCGGCGCGCAAGATGAATTTCTGGACTGTGGCCGAGGGCTGGTGCACAAGCACATAGTCGCCGGGGTGAATCTGGACGTCTGCAGCCGCAGCAATCTGGTCGTCGACCTGGCTGATCTCGTCCTTGAGCTCCTCGATACCTTCAATAACCTCTGATCTCAAAGCGTGTGTTCTTGTCGACTGTCCACGGAGGGGAGTTGATGCACCCGAGTCCTTGCCAAAGGGCGAGCCCGCCATGATGCCGCTAGCGTCCATCGGGGGAGAGGCCTCGAGAAGAGAGAACAGGGACTTTGAAATATGGAAAGAGCTTGCGGAGGTGAGGGCGCCAGGGCGAACTGGTCTCGGGCCGCTTGATATGTAGTCTGCGCCAGCATCCTGTTTGGTGTAGGTGGAGGGAGGCCATTGATGCTCCAGCTTAGAGGGGTCTGGCACTGCTGTTGTCGGTGTCAGCCCTGCCTCTGTGGCAGTCTCGCTGATGTCCTCGTTTCGGTCTTCCGCGGCCTCATCCCGGATCAGGCCCAACACGCGTCTAACGATGTTGCCAACCACCAATTCCTTGGGCTGAGCAGCGATGAGACGCAGGCCGATCTGCTGAACTTTTTCCAACAGGGTGTCGGCGTCGGTCCATTTTGCCTTGGCGACAACCTGAAGGAGAATGTGTGCGGTCGCGACGGCGCAGAGCTCAGAGCCCTGGATCTGTCTTCTCTTCAAGAGGCTGCAACATTAATCTGTTAGCTGATTGTTATGTGATGTTGCCGGGGGAGCCCATACGAGATCAGACTGTCGATTGACGCTTCCAAGGGCTTACCCTTGAGGGTCTTCAGATACCGCTCGAGATCCCCCGCGCTGGGCTTCAGGGTCGCCATTTTCGGTCCCAGACTGATAGGGGGGTTGCGATCGCGGGGCCGTCGCAAGTTATTTCGGGAGATAGTCTGTAGGTCACTAGAGTCGCAAGTGATGTTTTGGAATCAATGCGGTGGCCGTCGTTTGCTGCAGCAGGTGAACGCGCAATGCAATGGCAATTCTCGTAGCTTGGTAAGGTCCAGATGGTGAATTGGAAATTGCGCACAAACGGTTGTGACTCAACAACGAAGCTCGTGGAGGGACAGTCAACCACCCCTGTCACGCTAAAAAATTCGAGGGGCATTGGATGACCGCCGGCTCCGCAGACAGCTGGTGGCAGGGGGCGGCTTCCCTGGGGTTCGTGCGAAGCTCGGACCGAAGAAAGCCGTACACAGGGCAAGGTGCCCAATGACACCTCACCACCGAACAAATACCCCTCCATCGCTGCAAAATGACGTTGGTGACTGAACCGCCGCTGTAAGTGATGCGTTAGGGCGCCCGAGCTGCCCGTCATCTTGACGAGCCAGGCGTAGACTATTCCCAAGAGAGAGCTATTTACTGGAAAGGGAGAAGAATGGCAGCATATGGATGTTGCTTGAGAGCCAATTCGCCCTGATCGTTCACTCGACGCTTACCTTTGGCGATATGCTCGCGTGGAATTTGATTCCATCTCCGTCGCACTGTTTGAGCCAAGCGCCCCTTGCTAAGACTGGGCGCGGACGCATCTCTATCGACGAACGTACGTGCGCGCGAGTGTCTAATTGGTTCCGAACTTGCTGGTCAGCAGACGGCAATCGCCGGGAATCGCTATTCGATCTCTTGTAAGGCAAAAGTTGGAAGACCAATGCGTTGCATGAACGCACCTCACTTTGCAGTTTGAGCCGCAACCTCGTTTGGCATCGCATGGAAGGCTACTGGAACATCACTTGACAGGCTTCGTGCAACTATTGGTTAGCATTACGGCCTGTTTAGACAGTCTACAACAGCTGTTCAAGAATACAAGGCAACAACTAGAAATTCCAGCATAGGCCAATGCAGCGCAACTTAGCCAAGAGCCAGTTATGTTTGACGGAATTGGAGCTGTCCTCACGCGCATTAAAGGTAGCGAAGCCCAAACTATTGAAACGGCGTACCTATGGCCACGCTACTATTCTGCCTAAGTGTCCTATACGGCTCTCCTTCCTTTGTCGCATCGATCTAACCAAAGAACGAAGAACGGAATCAACAGGGTGTCACCCATTCCTTTGGCAGTTTTGTCACTCTCGCACTGGGTAGAATTCGGAAGAAGGAGGGGACGGTTGTCAAAGTCGAAGACTGGGTGGACTATCAATCAACTAAGGACGAGTGGCTGGGCAGCAATAAAACACGGATACGAATGGATATATGGGCCGGAGTCGCGACACTCAAAAGGCCCGTAATCCCGCAGACATTCGAGGAGCACTGCAGCTGCTACGAACTGGTCCCCCCAGTTCGAGCCCTGTCTGCCCCAGCTCCGTTCAATCAAAAAGCCTCAACAACAAAGGTAAAAGTGGAGTTGCTCTCTTTCACATGAAAAACGCACATGTCAACCAGGGTCAACTCGGGAATCGACTGATGGACGCATTCAATCACATCTGAGGCCATGGTCAAAGTCGATGAAAACTTCTTTCAGCCTCCCGATTAGAGGGAATTAGCTCTAAGGGGGGGATAAACCGTAGCTACCTGGGTACCTACCTAGGTATATAGTAGACTTAGGTGCCTTTATCAAGGTACTTAGAGACCTTCAGGTTGTGTTGTGTTGGGGAAGATAGGTAGGTAGGTAGGTAGTAGGTACCTCGGAATGTGGGCTGAGGTGCATCAATTACGGAGTCTCTTGGCAGCAGCTGATTACCCCCCCCCCCCCCCCCCCCCCCCCAAAAAAAAAAGTGCGCTGTATGACTGACTGGCAGGTGGGAAGAGAAGGCGCAACGTGACAGAAGAAAATAAGAAGCAGCGCCCCAAAATGGTACTGGACAGCTCGAGATTCGACACGTGAACCTATCTTTATTCCACAGTCCACCATCCCCCACAAGGGTCAGCAGGCAGTGTAACCCCAGTATCCGGCCTGCTGCTACCCTCGCATCGCTGGACTGGACGGTACTGTACACCACCCCCTCAGCACGGCCTGCGCTGGACCAATACCGACCGTCGCTACGTAGCTGCACCAGCATCGAACCGTCCCAAGTAGGTACAACCACGGTCTAACCCTGCCAAACCCAGCAGCAGACTTGCAGACTGTTGAGCTATTACTTGTTGCTGTTTACCCCCCATTCGCTTCCGCTTCCCTTCCGTGGCTTCCACTCGCACGTCGTGCGAAACAAATCGGACCCTCTTAGACTCTCTAGTGTGGGCTCTATAGACGCTTGAGTGGCACCTCCAATCAGCAAGCAGCTACCCTGTCCAACTCAACCGTTGTCTGTGGACGCTACCGCATCTCGGCCGCCTCGATACCTCCAACTCCCGAGAGCCCGACGGACACTTTTACGCTCGACACCTCTTCTCTCTACACACACGGCCCAGTCGCCAGGCTTGCGTTGACGACGACCACATATCGCTTCCAGCATTCGTTAGCACCGACTGACGAACCCTTTTCGCTAGCGCTGCCCCCTTGTGCCGAATTTTTTGAAGTCTCGTTGATCGTTCATGGCGAACTGAGAGTTGCCATTCCTTGGACTTGGATTTGGGGCAAGATCCATTCCGCCAACCCACGATTTGAACTCTTCTCGGCCGTCGCAGACTCGATTCCCGACCTGTCGCAAATCCGCCCTCGAACAGAATCTCTGCGACGAACTAACATACGACTGGCACCCATACACTCGTTCCCTTGGATTGCTGCGTCCGTCTACTTTCTACACGACGCCCCTTTTCTCCTGGCGCGACTACTCGCCCATCGCATCCTCCATCGCGCGGAACGTCTGGAACATTCCTGTCCACCGATACCACCCCTTACTACAGATCCCCAATCTCTCCCAACTTTTTGTTCTTGATCAGCTACCCGTCGTCGAGCCTTCATGCCTCATGGATTGTACATGCTTTCAAAGATGAACTCCTTGAACATCATCACCTCTCGCGTCTCTCCGCCGCCGAGCCCGGTTGCTTCGCGATCCAACTCAATCAGCTCCCTTGGCTTAGCCGTGCAATCCGACAATCAGCGCGGTGGCGAAAACGCAGAGAAAAACGACGACGATCAAGATGCCGAGACGTTTCCGCTCGAGAAATCCGCCTTTGAGCAGCGCAACAATGCTCATGGAATGGATCTCGCCACCGAAGCAACACCGCTCATAGGGGAATCGAAAGCTTCAGGCTTGAGGTCGACTACTTGGCACTCTCTGCCTCGGTGCATTGCTGCAGGCTTCATCAATTCGCTTCGTTGGGTCTTGTCCACTTTGGCCGCTCCGGGGGTGTACCTGATCGCATGCCTGTACGACGAGGCAGGCAACTTTTCGCCCCTCCTCCCACTCAGAAGACTGTTCGGATTCCACGGAGGAAACAAGAAGCTTCCGACGGACTACCCTGACACCATGAACGAAAAGTCGGGTCGCCAGGGGAGCACCGGATATGGAGGTGTTGCTTACTCAAGACCGATGGGTTCTTCAGGGTCTTCTTCTTCAGGCATATCTTCCGAATCAGAATCGGACGCAGACCGTCATGGCCGGGACACTTCTAGTCGGCATTCCCGTTCAGCATCTGCTTCCGAAGAGATTGCGCCTGCCCGAAGATCTATACGCATAAAACTACACAACGATGATGCTCTGCCTCAGCGTAAGCACAGGAAGACGCAGTCTGCCGCAGCACGCTCTAAGGGCAACAGCGAATCCGGTACATCCGACATATCTGCCCAGCTCAAGTCGCCGACATCTCCCGCAGGCGCGCTGACTAGGTACCCCAAGACGCCCGCTCCGCCTCGGCCCCTGATTCCTCGCCGACAACCCTCTTACCTCAACCTCGAGCCTTCGACCGATCCCAAATACCAGAAGACGCTCATCCTAGACCTTGATGAAACTCTGATTCACAGTATGTCCAAGGGCGGACGCATGAGCACTGGGCACATGGTCGAAGTGAGACTCAACCAGACCTACGTAGGCGCCGGTGGACAGACATCCATCGGGCCGCAGCATCCGATCCTCTATTGGGTCAACAAACGCCCGCACTGCGATGACTTCCTGCGTCGTGTAAGAAGCCGTCGCAAACCGCCCAAGGGTTGCTAGTTTGCTAACGTTTGTGTTCAGGTTTGCAAGTGGTACAATCTAGTTGTCTTTACAGCCTCGGTTCAAGAATACGCGGATCCGGTCATCGACTGGTTGGAAGCAGAGAGGAAATTCTTCTCCGCGCGGTACTATAGACAACACTGCACATTCCGACAAGGAGCCTTTATCAAAGACCTCAGTTCGGTTGAGCCGGACCTGAGCAAGGTTATGATTTTGGACAATAGTCCGTTGAGTTATATGTTTCATCAAGGTATGCGGGATCGGTACGCTCTACCTGAGTGTCGAGAATGCGGTCTAACACGAGTCCTGCTACAGACAATGCGATTCCTATCCAAGGCTGGATCAATGATCCGACGGACAACGACCTCCTACACCTAGTGCCACTACTCGAAGGTTTGCAGTATGTTTCGGACGTGAGGGCGCTGCTTGCACTGCGTGGAGGCGAGGACGGTCAGCATATGGCATAGAATTTGGAGTCTTTAGAAGGATTGCTTGGTGTACTGGTATGGAAATAGCGAGGCGAACTCAGCGGCTTCAACTAGTCGTGTAGGCCTGTATTATTATGTTGATAAAGCGATGGGAAGAGGAGTTCTTGTGCGGCACGCCGTAATGTCGACACGGTTCTGTGAAGCTTCAGAAATACATGCCAGGTCACCAACCTTTTATCGGTCGCCGAGGTCTAGCCGGAGTTCTTGTATGAAAAGACATGTTTTGTTCTCAATGCCTGTAAATATTCTTTCTGGTCGGTGTTGACATTGATCGTTCGTCATCCCGGTTCTGTCACCCTTTCCCTTTGCCTTGAATTTTTTCCTTACTTGTCTGGCCGGTCTTTTTCCAAGTCGAGTTCGACTGGGCAAGTTTGGCGACTGGCTCACTCACCTACCGCACAGGAATGATACAATGTGCACATAAGGCACGACACAGCTACCCTGGTTGAGGCGTCTCCATACCAGGGTGAAGCACATATACGATGTACAAAGCGGTTGCTCTTAAGGTCGCACAGGTACACAACAATAATATAACACAGTCGAAAATACACAGTACAAGTATCATGCCAAATCGGGGAAAGGAGACGGATCTATTTACATTGGCCAGGAGGGCATAACATAAGGTTCCATCTGGGCCATTTCGGTCATATTGCTCCATATTTTAATAAGCTCTCCAGTATGGGGTTTCCCAGCGCGGGCGCCATGCACAGAGGTCTGCAATTGTCAGAACGTGGGATAATTACTACGGGCTAGAAACGCATCGGTAATTTTGGCCGGGGGTATACGGCTAGGAAGAAAAGGTCTTTGACGGTCTCGCCCAATTGTCGGAGCATGGGTGGGTCTAGGTGGATTCGGCGGGGGTGAAGGTCATGACATCACGGCACAGGTGACGACACCACGACAACATCGACAGCTTTCGAGAGAAAGCGCGAAAGCTTGGGACACCCAAACACGCAGCAGGAGACAAGCGGCAGTAGAAGCTGCACTACCACGCAATCCGGAGCAAGGAGGAAGAGCACGCTGTGACATGTCTCTCGGTACCATCCAACCACCCCCTGTCCAGCTGTCTCTTATGTACGTAGCTCATACGCCTTTTGCCTGGGGAAAAAGGGAAAGGCAAAGTAGCAGAGGACAGGCGCCCAGCCCAGCCCAGCCCAGGAAACGACCGATGATGGAATGAGACTCCGATCCGGCTGGCTGTGCCTCCTTTCCAATCACCCCACCCAGCAGCTCCAGGTGCGAGTTAGATCCTGTTTCGCCTAGAGACGAACACTTGCCTTGCTCCGGCTACCAAAGCAAGTCTTGCATGCAGAGGCTGAGGTCACAAGTAGCTCATACCCGCCCACCTGGCACCTCCTAGCACATAAAAGCCAGCCCTCCCGCCCTTCTTCTCCCGGGCTTCTGTTTACATCACTCTCACAGTCCAATTGATTATTGACTTCTTCACACCACAAGATACCCAATATTAGCAAACATGTCTCTGCACTGTAAGTTGAAGCCCCTTGTCCAAGATAGTGAGCTTCGGATTTGGTTCGAACAGCTCCAACTCTCCTGCCCACACCCATAGCTACCTGAGAGAAAGAGACAATATGCCTTTGTTGGACTCGAGATCATAAGCTCGAATTTACATCGAGACGTCGTTAAAAGAAACGTAAATAGCCTGCTGACCACTCCTCTGAACAGACCTCCCCCCCGTCAAGCCTTCGGCTATTGCCCTCGGCACCATCTTCAACCATACGGCTGAGCTCGCCGGTATGCGAATCCATTTGACACCCCGAAGTCGCACCTCGAACCGCATCAGCTAATCCAGGCCCCCATCAGTCTTGACCCCCATTTTCGGCGCGACTTACCAGCGTGCCAAGGCCGCAAACACCAAGGAGGAGTTTGCTCGCTCCAAGGAGGCTCAGGGCGCCGCTGTCGCTTGGGGTACCTCCCTCGTCGGATCTGCCCTCCAGTCATACGGAGTCGGTGCCCTCATCAACGCCACTGGCACTCTCTCCTATAAGGGCGCTGCCTACCTCGGATCCCTGATCTTCTTCGCTACCTCTGCTCCCGGTGTATGTCAATCATTTTGCCCTGTGTCACTTACGAATTTGTGGCTAATAAAACGCAGTACATCTCCCAGGTCTTCGTTGAGAAGCGCCCTGTTGACACCGTCGGTGTCAGCGTCCTGGCCAAGGTGATCGAGACTGTCGGCTTGTCGGTCTTCCTCACCTGGTGGGGAACTCGCACCAACCCCTTCGACTAAAGGGTTCAATGTTTTCCAAACTCCATTGAGCGTTCCGCGAATGGTTTCGCTTATGTGCTATTATCGTTGGGTCGCATGGGATGAGGTCATGGAGTTAAAGAGAGCCCGTTATTGCGGCTAGGGTCATTGCCATGTACCTATACTTTACGTGCTCAGAGGCATGGCTTTTCTTTTTTAATCGATTCAATCGTCCCAATCGCTTGTTTCAGTCGTGCATGTGACCCCAATTTCTGAAGAGATGCGTTCCTGCAAAGGTATATTGTACTCGCTTAACACCCACATCATGTTGGAACGATGGGGCAATAAGAGATTGATCTTAGTTGCCAGGTCAGCGAGTGCAGTCTCCTACCAAGAGGCTAGGGCAACGGATGATGGGTGGCGATCAGTGCGGTAATGGGGATGACATGAAATACGTGCTGTTATCCAAGTCAGCAAGACAGTAATTGAGAGTTGCTTGCTTTCACACATGAGGCCTGGTCACAGCATCATTCGGACGTGCTCTTGACACCTCGTGTCTGAAGAAGCAAATGCAAGTTCCTCCACACCTCCGCACCCTAAAGGTTCCAACGGAGGTTGTAATGATTGAAAATCATTTATTTTGGTTCGAGCAGAAGTGGCATATGCCAACTCGCTCAATGTAAACAAACACGTGCCCTAGAACGCCGATGATGTCTTTTTTTCCAGCCAGTTTTTCCGTGTGTCCGGCGCCGCATTGGCAAAAAGAAAAAAAAGAAAAGGAAGCGTGCATATTATACAACTCCCCCCCTTCCTGAAAAGCCGTTTTGCCATTCGTGAACCACGTGCTTCCATTTTAATTGGAGCGACGAGTGAACCAGCCTAACATAATTGTGTCTCCGCTGATGTTGTTTGTTTGCGTGCCAAAGGATGTTCTCCTCGTACCTGGTCCCATGAATGTCCTCTCTATGACTCGCAATGCTCCGTATGCAATGCACTTTGGTGGTGTGCAAAAAGACACATACAAAGTATACGATGCTGGTCCATTATCCTTATGCAGCAAACCAGCATCTATGCCCAGAAGGACTGCTTGGCAGTCTCCTTCTGCACAAGCTTGACAAGGGCGGAGTAGACCTCGGAGTAGTCCTCGCCGTCGTCCTCCTCGTCGTCCTTGGCGTCGGACTTCTTCTCGGCCTTCTTGGCGTCGGCGGCGGAGCGCTTCTCCGAGACCATGACGACGGAGGTCGGGCGTTTCGTCTTGGCGGCGGCGCCGAGCTCGGCGCGCGAGGTGACGAAGATGTAGGGGACGTTGTGGTCCTCGCACAGGACGGGCAGGTGGGAGATGACGTCCATGGGGGAGATGTCGCCGGCGATGATGACAACGCCGGGGAAGGCGGTGTTGCCAGGGCCGGCGGCGGGGGATTTGCGGAGCGTCTTGACGACCTCCTTGACACCGCGCTTGAGGGTGTTGTTCTTGGCCGCTGTTTGGGTGCACCGTGTTAGCCTACGCTGTTTTCCCCTTTACGCGCGATGGAGATGCAGGCCGGGGGAGCATGATAGCACCTCTGCAGAGAAATTGGGAAGGGGGGGGGGGGGGGGTGGGACGTACCCTTGCGAATGGACTTCATGACCTTCTTCATGGCCTTCTCGTCGGCCAATGGCACAGCGAAGGGCACGAGGGCGCCGGCGACGGGGAGGCCGTCGGCGGTGGCCTTGGAGGAGATTTCACCGCTGGCGACGGCGGTAGCGGCGACGTCTGCCTGGAGGTGCTCATCTAGAACGCGCTCGAGCTTCTCCTTCTTGTCCTTCTTGTCCTTCTTATCCTTTTTGTCCTTCTTGATCGCGCCGTCGGACACAGAGCGCTTCTTGTCCTTCTTCTCCTTCCTGTCGGGCTTCTCGGCGGCCATTGCAACGGGTTTCTTTACTTTTTTGCGAGTGGGGAAAGAGGTTTCGAAGTGCAAGGCAAGGACTTTCCGACAACGAAGAAGACTCGGGCGGTTTTGGCGGCGGCGGCGTTCTGGTGGTTGAAGCTTCTCGTACGAGGTCGGATTACGGAGGCTCGGTTTTTTTTCCCTTTCTCTTGTCTGCAGAGCCCATGCAACTTTTTTTTCTGAGGGGCCCCACCTTGCAAGCATGTGTGGCACAGTGGTAGAGATACCGCGGAAAACGGTAGATCCGTGCCGGAAGAGCTCGACTTTTGCTCAGCGGATACAAGTTCTCGTTGAGCGATTCACGTGACTTGACTTGACCAATCATGAACCGGACATTGCGCAAATGTCAGCGCATAGTGGTTATGGACTTGTTCGGTCGCCCACTGGATCTAATTAAAAGTCAATGGCAAACTTGCGAGATAAAGCATTTGGTACAGATGCTTTAAGGGCTATGTGTTTGGGTATTGGGAACTAACAAGCCCTTAGCTGCTGCGGCAAAGGCTGATCACATTGGTGACCTTTTCCTGCGGAGTTCAAGAAACAACAGCACGTAATATCTTTCACCGACACACGAGGGTGACTGTTTTATATTTTTGTAGTAAGAGGTCTCATGTGTTAGAATCGTCAAAAATAGGGTTCTGTTCCATATCTCGCCTCTACGTAGATGATATACATGTGTTTTGACACAGGGAATCGTTGTCCGCCTCTAGCACTTATCGTCCACCGTTGTCGAAAGACGCGCTTACTCCTCGTCGCCGAACTCGGCGCGGCCCTGCTTGGAGTTCAGGTAGTGGTTGCTGTGTCGCATGTTAGTATGAGAACCTGTTCCGAATCGTCCTCCCAGTAGCGTTCGGAAGAGGCGACTGACCGGTGAGTGGCCCAGTCCATGATGTACCAGCCGGCAACCAGAGGAGGGAGGAAGTAGAGGACCTGCGCGCTGAAGCGGCGCCAGGTGTTGAAGACGGCGTCGTGAGCAGCGCCCGCGAAGGGGTTCTGGCGGTTGGGGGCAAGGCCGTAGGTGATGATGCCTCTCTGCTTCTCGCCACCTACAAGTCCGTCAGCTCGTTGTTCCGTTTATTGTTACTTCCGATCGTATCGTCTCATCGATGAGCGGTTAATCGATTTCCCTCCTCATTATTATGGTGTTCCATCCAAAGAAATCATGCATCGCTCAACCGCGTCGCCATCGTGCTCCGTCAGCAAAAATATCGCAAGTTAACGTACCAATGTGTCCCCACCAGCCGAGGTAGCTATCGAAATGTCAGTGGAATGCACTCGAAATGGCATTGAACGTAGTGCAAGGCGCGGCGGACAAGCGGAATCATCGCGGTCTCCCGTTCTGAAAAGCCCGCACGCCGTTCCTGTTTACTCACTCAATTGACGTCGGAAGAGGCGTTACTTACTGCTGGTACTTTCCGTGAGGGACACTAGGTCCACCCATAAGAGCTTGCGTAGGTCTCATCGTGACGGCGTGTGATGGACGGTGATGTGTTACCGGGTAGAAAGTCGTTACGCTGGAAAACGGGATGGGTCGAATCGGACGAGGTTCAAATCTTGTCTCCTTCCTGCCGAACCCGAACGCTGAGGCGCACGACCCAAATAGGTTTAGCGCCAGTTATACGTTCGAACCGTCACCACCACCCATCCGACCACCCCGGTCGACGGGCCCAAAATTCCATGACGGAGCTTCCCGTTGCCTTGGGAGAGGAGCTTTCGACAGCTTCATCCGTCCTTACACTGCACGACCAGCCCACCACCAACGTCCAAAAGCTCCAGTCGGATAGCTCGCGATCTCCGGCAATAGCCTGCACAACTCTGCTAATTGTATCTCCCGTCGAACCCCCCCTGTCTCCACGCTTCCGAAACCATGGCTCAAGCTTTGGGATTTGCGTACCGTATGGCTGTCCCTGCGGCCGTTGGTATCGCGGTGCTACAGTCGTCAATCTACGATGTCAAGGGTGGATCCAGAGCCGTTATCTTCGACAGGCTGTCTGGTGTCAAGGAAACTGTCATCAACGAGGGCACGCATTTCCTCGTGCCGTGGTTGCAGAGGAGCATCATCTTCGATGTACGGACGAAGCCCAGAAACATCGCCACGACGACGGGCAGCAAGGATCTCCAGATGGTCAGCCTGACCCTCCGTGTGCTGCATAGGCCTGAAGTCCAGGCTCTCCCTAAGATCTACCAGGTAAGTCTTGCAGTGTTATAAGCTCCTACGCAACCATGAGATCCTGACCACCCCGCTAGAACCTTGGTCAAGACTATGACGAGAGAGTTCTCCCCTCCATCGGCAACGAAGTCCTCAAGTCGATCGTTGCGCAGTTCGACGCCGCAGAGCTCATTACTCAGCGTGAGGCTGTTTCGCAGCGCATCAGCTCCGACCTGAGGAAGCGCGCCGCCGAGTTCAACATTGCCCTCGAGGACGTCTCCATCACGCACATGACCTTCGGCAAGGAGTTTACCAAGGCTGTTGAGCAGAAGCAGATCGCTCAGCAGGATGCCGAGCGTGCGCGCTTCATCGTCGAGAAGGCCGAGCAGGAGCGTCAGGCCAACGTCATCCGCGCCGAGGGCGAGGCCGAGAGTGCCGAGACCATCAGTAAGGCCATCGCCAAGAACGGCGACGGCCTCGTTCAGATTAGAAAGATCGAGGCTAGCAGAGAAATTGCCGCGACTCTTTCAGCGAACCCCAATGTCGCCTACTTGCCCAGCGGCGGCAAAAACGGCAGTCAGATGTTGTTGAACGTCGGACGGCCGTAAAGTGCTACGAGTATGAGGGTAGGTGTAAGGGTCTTCAGTGAGAGACCAAAAGGCGATGCTGTATAATAGACTTTGAAGGCAAGTCACCACTTCAATGTAATCATAGGCCAATGAATTCTGCCTCCTTTCCACGAACCGAGCCTACGGTTCGAACCGTAGTTCGTGATGCATGTGCGTGGTACCCAGTCAGTCGGCGCTGGAACGACCAAACCATAGCACTGGCCACAAGTCATGTTCTTGATATCTCATCACTAGACTCAACCGCGAACTTCCGTATAATCTGGTCAGTTTGAGTGCTTGAGCGAATTAGTGACCACGAGTAACGCATGGCAAAGAGCGCGGTTGACGAATAAGCGGGTTGGTTCGCGCTGATCTAGTAGAGGCGTCGCTCGGATCCCATCTACTCTAGACTTGGTTCGTATAAGTGGTTCCACCTTCGTAGCGATATAACCCGAGAGACTTTTATTTGAACATAAAATCGGTACTGTTGTCTTTATCTACATGATAATCATGCTTACATGCTAGCCAACACAGGAAGAGTGCCCTCCCTGACGTGGTGGGATGGGATGGTGTGCGCAAATGATGCTCTACACAAGACGGAGCTCAGCCGTGTTCTTCATGTTCGAACATTGCCAGGTCATGAAGCTCGATATACACCACCCCCTGCAGCCGCAGCATATCGTCCGTCCATCCTGTGCGCGGTCCGCCTAGCCGCAGGTAAGACGCAGCAAATGAGCCTTTATGGAAGCATGGAAAGTGTCCGCCGGACCAATCATCCCCCGAGTTTCCACTTACTCTCCACCAACGGCCACGGAACCGTTCATGCCACTGACGGACCGTTGGCTTGAAAAGCCAAAGTGTTCTAGCTTGCGGATGATGGCTACTCGGGAGTTTCAAGGGTAGGCTCTACCTGCAATTCACGATATGCGGGGAGAGCCTCCCTCCGCGGTTTACATTCCTTAAGGTAATATTAGCGTGAAGCCCACCATTCGCACACTACCGAAACAACGCATAACACCGAGGCTTCCGTAAGGCGGTCTAGCATGCGCACTGTGACCTTTACATTCGCAAAACTTGGACGATTAGTGGCCAGATGAACTGCCAGGCTCTCTCCTGCCACGTCGAGTGCGTGGAATGCTAATACTAAGGGAGCCGGCATACTGTCGTACGCATCGTAGATATGGTAAATGCTGATGTCTGGGCATGGAAAGGTGACAAGTGCTTGAATTGCGCCAGCAAGTCATGGCCGAGGAACTGCATGCCAACTTGCTATTTATTCGACATTAGCCACAGCCTAAGACTGTAGCGTGGTATCTGGTTGTACACATGCAAAGCTCACCAGGGAACAAAAATATGATCGAAAAGACCCGTTATCATTAAAGAAGTCCCTTTCAAGGGCTAGGTATCATCATGCCGGTTCCACACCTCCGAATGCATCCCAGGACCCCTAGTCCTCCTGAACGCCAAAAATATCCCAAATTCAAGTATGAACAAAGCCAACCCGCCGCTAAAGGGCAGACTCCAGGAACTCCACTGTCAGATGGTCATGGAAGTCGTCCACCTTTCCACCAGGTGGCACGAACTCATTGCCCTTCAGCTTCCAGCCCTTGAGCTTCATGCTCTTCCATTCTTCCGAGAGCTTGAAACGCACAAGATCACCCGCAGCCCTAGCGTCTTCCGCACTGTCGTGACCTTGGACCTTGCCGGCTGTCTCAACCTGGATTTTGCGGTTGAGGAGGTTGTCCATGAGCATCTTCAGACCCTGGCGATACGGGAGGCCATGCTTGTGGGGGAACAAAAGGACGGTGTCAATGACTGTGGGGTGTACTATGCGGACGGCGTTCAGGTCGTTTTCCAGACCGTGGCCGATGAGAGGAGTGTCGGGAGCGATGAGAGAAAATAGGAGGTCGCGTGCCACCTCGGGAGATGATACAATCTTCATCTTCTTCTTGGTCTTCTTGGGACTTGCCATCTTCTTGGCTTGTGCGGGGGTAGGGTCTTCTCGTTCGGCGGACCATGGCTCCGCAGACGCCATGTCTTCAGGCCAAACACCCGAATATCGCGAATTGAGGTCTAGAATCTCGCCGACCGGTTGGACGAGGACGTCCAACAACTCTTCTCCAGTAGGCCAAGCTGTGGCAGTGAGACGGACGAGTTCGAGGCCGTGAACTGTGTAACACATTTCGCAGTCGAAGCACACAGCTCTATCGGAAGGTGCATTAGGGTTGGCAGGCGTCTCAGCGTAGTTGAGGATGGTGGCCAGTCGCTTGGGATCTGAAGCTTTGAAGACATGATGAGGGTTGGTATAGCAGCCGGCAGAGTCTCCAACTGCCTGACCGCAGCATCGGTAGCGCTTCTGCTGCTTGGATCTGTCGCCGAGTTGGCGCTCGGGGAAGTAAGTCTTGCCCCAATGGAAAGTGCAAGTGCCGCCGGAAGCAAGGGCACCGTCTTCTTCTCTTCTGCCAGGGAACATCTGGAAGCGCTTGTCACAGCGATCACACTTCTCCCAGCCCTTGGCGGCCTCGAGACCCTCACGGGCCTTGTTGATGTCGGCCTCAGTAGGAACGGATGAAACGTAGCCATGGGCGGCGAGACCGTCAATGGGGGTGACGAGGTGGCGCACGAGCTGGACCTCTTGCGCAGGCGTCAGCCCAGTCACAATCTTCTTGGGGGACCCAAGCGGCTTCTTGTGAGGGCCTTTCTGGGTCTGCTGGTGGCAGTGGACGACCCTCTCGTCCTTCCACTGCAGCAGTGTCATCTTCTTGTACTGCATGATTTTGTTTTTGATTACGTTTGAGTAGATGGCGCCTTTCTCGATAGCGATAGTCTCCTCTTCGTCAAGGACTCTCCAGATGAGGTCCTGGTCTGTGAGAATGAGTTGCTTCTCTTCGGCGTCTTTGGCGGTCTTCTTGAGTTCGTTGTTGAGGCGAGTATATTCGCCGTGTAGCATCTGCACGAGCTTGTATCGAATATCGAATTTGGCCGGGGATGATTTGAGTAAACGAGGGGTCAGAGCCTCTGGCTTCCTGGGCTTAGGTGGTTGCTCGGTGTTGGATGCGGTGGCTGTTGAAGGAGTGTGGAGAGAAGTGGTGCCTTGCTGGGCTGAAGTTGAGGTTGAATTAGAGGCAGGGGGAGTAGTGAATGAGGTGCTGCTGTTGTGTTTGGGCGGGCGATTCACCGCAGATAAATGAGAGGATCTAGTGGGATCAGGGTGATTTAACGACTTTTTGAGGTCGGACGAAGCAAAGGAAGGTGCGGGTAGGTTGGACTGGGACAGCTTCTTCCCGGCCGGGGAGGAGGAGGAGGATGGGCGATTTATAAGTGGAGGTGAGATGGGCCGGGCGAGAGTTGAAGAAGTGTCATCTGGTCTCGATGTGGTGGTGTCATGTTTTGAGGCGGTTTTGACAGAAGGAGGTGTTCTTGCAGGATTGGGGGGGTCCTTGACGTCTTGAGCAGCCTTCAGACGTTTCCGAGGGCCATCCCGGATTGCATCCGTCGTGGTATCTGTTGGCCTCTTGACCGACGTTCCTGACGTGTTAAGTGCCGGGACCGAAGGAGCCGCCAATTTATCCCTGTCATCTTTATGCTGGAAGAGGCACTGGAATGCGGTGCACCTGTCTCCGGCAGGGCAGGGGATGTGTTTGAGGTCGACAAAGGACATTGTGGCAACGCCTTCCTCACGATGTGAGAGCAGACTAATTTTGGGTCAGCTACGGCAATGACGGCCAGTGCTGCTGCTGCTGCTCCTTCTGTTCCGCAGCGATAGGGAAGGAGAATGAGACGATGACGAAAACGACGACGAAGAACGGCAACGGGATGTGACGGGAGCTGCCTGAGCCTCGTCAGGAAGATGGAACCTCTCTTTCCCTCGTCAGGAAGGACCGTGAGCCTCGGGTCAAACTGCTAAAAGGTTCTGGTCGTACTCTGGTGACCGGTTCGAGAGAAATGGAGGTGGAATGAGAGTGAACGCGCCAATTAAGGCTGCGAAAATCCGGGGGAGTGGTGCGAAGATCTCATAGCCAAAACCGCAGCCGGATCGTCTGTGACGTTGTGCCGTTCCAGTCGGAGAATTGGCAGGCTCCGGGTGAATGGGAGGGGGGCCTCAGTGGCGCGTAGCCGGGTCGATTCTGGCACAAGAATGAAGTGAAATTGGACGTTAAACAAGGCGACGGAAACGAACAGGCCAAAGGCATAAAGACGGGTTGGTTTGGGAGAGTGTCACAGAAGGACGATGTGTCTCGCATGCCGTCGGAATTGAGACGAAGGGAGGCTCCGAGCGTTGGACGGATTAGGTAAGGCTCGGCTGCTTTGGGTGTGGCGCTAGAATAGTTTGGAGCTGTGGTGGGGGGCCATTGCGGAGGACGGCTGCTAGGAGATGAGCAGCCCAGATCTCCGCAGCTCCTGTGCATTACTCAACGGCCTTTATCTGTCCATTCCCTCATGCATCTCAGCATGTAACATGGCGTTGGAAGACGCCAAGGCGTCTCGTGCAAAGGGGAGGATGAACCCGTTTCGACAACTGATAAGTGACAACTGACAGGTGCCAACTGAACGTTGGATCGGAAATGGGCAGGCCGGCATCCTCTCATCCACCATCGTGTGTTGTCTCGACATCGATATCGTCACAATCCTTGGTCCGAGCCATGGCCAATCTTCATCTTCTGCTGCTGGGGCTGAGTACTGGGAAAGAAACTGCGTCCAGCCTCAGCTCTGGCGATACCTCCAATACCCATACCTACCTTGTCGCTATCCCTGACCATGACCATCTGGGATTGTGGCCCTCGTGTCGGGAGGGGGATCAAGGGGCCAGATGCTGCCAAAATCCCTTATCGCGGCAGACCCAAACTTAACTACTTCCACGAACCGTCTCATCTTCTTCATTGTGAACGAGCGGAGCACACAGACGTTTTCGCCAACGCCAGACATGGCCTCCTCGACTACCGGTACTGTGGAAAAAAGAAACCCAAGGCCATGGGTAATGCTTGTCTCATCCGTTGGCCATCGCGTCCACTTTCAGTACTCTTGGCGGTTGTCGACCTTCTTCTAACAACACCAAGACAAAGCCATATTAGAGTGTTTTTTTTTCTTCTTCTTTTCTTCTGTTGAGGTAGTGGCTTGTCATGGCCTCTCTTATCTGATCCTCGCCCGAGAGGGGTGCGAGAAACAGGGCGAAGACTGCCTCCCTCTGCAAGTGACGGGCGTGGAGGCAATTAGCTTGCACCACCTTGTCCACCCCTCGCGTTCCACGAGAAATGCGGGCTCTGGGTCTATCTCGCATATAGGGCGCAGAGGGCCGCGACTCAAGTACTGACAGCGAAGCCATACACTACTAATCATTACTCTCCGTCGATAACGGGTTGCGTTGCCAAAGCCTGAGTGCCGACGGGTGTTAGTGGCACCGAGCCTTTCAGCGAAACCATGGGCAGCCCTGGTCTTGAAGTTGTACTTGCCTATCTCGGTACAAGGGTTGGATAGGATAGAACCCACTGGCGGTGTACAATCGCAGTGGAGGAGACGCCGTTGGTTGTTTATCCAGGAAATCGTTATCAATGAGGGTGATCGGGAATCACAAACTGTTGCGGGGGGTTCTGGGCTTCTGCGCGATTCTATCGTCGTGCGCCATCTATAAAGAAAGCCCTCATTGCCCTCCACTCCCCTCCGAAAGGATTTTTTGTGAATTTTCTGCTTTATTTTCAACTGTTTGGGCCCATCTTGGACCTGCAGGGCGTTGTGTGTAAGACGAATTGCTTACCGCGATACCTGTGTCGAACTCGACGTCAAACTGAATTCCCAACCATCAGCCCTACACTACAGGCAGTAGCAGTATCTGCTAGCAACGCGTAGCGTTTTGCGTGCTCAGGGTCCTCGCCAGGAGACGAATTACTTGGTGCAAGGACTCTCAACCCAAAATCACAAGCCAATCCTGCATCTAGCTCGCCGTCACGAATCAAGACAACGCTCTCCTCACCACTGCAGCCCCCCTCCGCTATCAGCTTATCAGCGAGCTCGCGTGCACACATTCCATTCTGGACCACCTACCTAGGTACCCAGAAGGCCTGGCTGTCCGATTAGCGAGCAGCCTGGTCGGCAGGTGCCTAGTGGACGAGTCCCGCCAAAGCCACGGAGCAAACGGCACCCATAGCGCCCGCAGGCACCGGTAAACACAAACATAAGCACAAACACGCAAACACGGAGGAAAGAGGTCACTTTGGGCCTCAACTCCCCTAAGTCCAGGCACTCGCAGTAGTGGTAGTGTGTGCCTGGTGGCCCGGTGTCAGTGTCATCGAATCTCACGGCGACGAAGGCTGTGCACCAAGGAGGTCCCAACTGAGCGGACTTGAGGTCCCTTCCCCCCCGGTCGGCCTTTGCGCGGACTACCCGTTGAAAGGGACTCTTGTGTGGTCGCCCCGAGGATTTAACTCGGTGCGCGTCCCACACGAGCTCCCCTTCAACGTTCTCCATCGCAACCCTTCTCAACGTTGTTGCCCTTTGCTATTCAATCTGTTCACCGGTCCCTGATTCCATCCGACTCCATCATGGATTACACCGGCGGCACCGCGGAGGCCGATCATCTCTGCGTCTTGGTCCACGGGGTTCGTACACACATCGCATTGTCCTTTTCCTCACCTATCCCAACCCTGTTGTGCCCCTCACCCCTTGAATCTGCACCTGCACCCGAAGCTTTGTTTCTCGCACCGACGTCATGAATGAGACTTGGGCTAACGGAACGCCGCCTCGGCACTGCAGCTTTGGGGTAACCCTAACCACATGGCCCAGATCGCCAAAACGTTGCGAGCCAAGTACCCCGCCGATAAACTTTATCTGTTGCTCGCCAAGCGCAACAGTGGTTCATTTACCTATGATGGCATTGAACGGGGCGGCGAGCGTGTGTGTGCCGAGATCGAGGAGGAGCTGCGCCTGATCGAAGGGAGAGGTGGCAAGATTACCAAGCTGAGTATCGTGGGATACTCTCTCGGTGGACTCGTCTCCCGCTACGCCGTGGGTTTGCTTCATTCCAAGGGCATTCTCGATAATGTGGAGTGCATGGTACGAACCCCCATTTTTGCTTGCATGCGAATCCTGGTCACTGATCCGGCCCAGAACTTCGTCACTTTTGCGACGCCGCACCTGGGAGTTCGCACCCCGCTGCGAGGATGGCACAACCACTTGTGGAATGTGCTGGGCGCCCGTACTCTGTCCATGTCCGGCCGCCAGTTGTTCACCATTGATAACTTCCGCGGCACCGGCCGACCGCTCCTCGCCGTTCTCGCCGACCCCAACTCTATTTTCCTCGCCGGCTTGAAGCGCTTCAAGCGTCACACGCTTTACACCAACATCGTCAATGACAAAAGCGCAGTGCACTACACCACCGGCATTTCCAAGATCGATCCGTATACCAACCTCGACAGAATCAGATGCAACTATGTCAAGGGCTACGAGGATGTTATTCTCGACCCGCACCACCCGGTTGCTCCAAAGCCCAAGGTCGCCGGGCCGACCACTCTCTCATCGGTTGCCGGCGCCGGCTGGAAGTGGATTCAACGCGTGCCCTTTGCCCTCGCCCTTGCCATCTTCGTCCCCATTGGTGTCATCGCATTTCTGTTCAGCTCCGTCGTCCAGACAGTCCGTTCGTCGAAGCGCATCCAGCTGCACGAGAAGGGTCTCGCGGGCGTGGCCATCGATGAGTACCGCGGCCCGTTGTGGATGAAGGAGATTCGCGAGGAAGTGGAACATGTCTATGAGACGCTCAACAGCTCGCAAGACCAAGAGTACCTGGCGAGCGAGACGGATGAGGACCTGGACGATGCCGAGATGGATCGCAGCGCGACGCAGCTACTTGCCCGGGAGAGGCGCATGTCGGTGCCATCGCAGCCCACGCTCGCGCTGGCACCCTACCAGTTCCAGATGATCCAGAATCTCGACTCGGTCGGCTGGCACAAGTATCCTGTGTGGATCCACAAGGACCGCCACAGCCACGCCGCCATCATCGTGCGCTGGGAGAAAAAGTCCTTTTCAGAGGGGCATGTCGTGCTCAAGCACTGGCTGAACGAAGAGTTCATCGTCTAGACGTGGGGGCTTTTTGCACATTGGGAGTTGGAGTTAGCGAAGCGTTGACGTTTGGTACATACCTGCTCCTCTCGGAGAATAACTATTAGATGTACACAGATTTTCGTTATTGTAACATAATTAATCGTTGATCGTTTAAAATTATCTCGTAGGTTGAAGATACTTGGTGTCAATCGTTGTCCGGTCGTCCGCCCCATCGACACTTGGTGTTGCTCGTTAAGGATTGTAGCTCAACAGACAGCCCAAAGCGTGCCCGGCATCAGAACGAGACCTATTTTTCAGGGAGCTGAACAATTAACTACCAGCCGTATACAAGCCTTCTCCGGCGTAACATATAATAAAGCAACCGTATCTACGCCAAAATCACCTCTACCATCTACCTATGCGTATGGTCTGTTAGCCTTATGAAAGTACCGATGCATTTTCCAAGCCGCTTAACCTTTTCCCGATGCACATTGTACGGAATACCGACTGTCGGCCGAGTATGCACAGTCCCAAAACTGAAGTTGTCTTATACTGTCCTGCGTCGCCCGTCAGCCGCAACACACCCAACCCAAGCAGGCCAACCCAAACTGGTGGAACTTCCTACCCTCGCAGTCGTAGCGTCATCAGACAGGGATACATTACCTCGCTAAAAGAGTAACCCACCACACCGTCGACAGACCATCCCGACTATCCGGACTATGCAGGGGTGTCCCCCCTTCCCTCATCCACCCAATCCGCACTACCCTTGCTCCCCTGAAAGCCCCGGGAAGGTTTAGGACCAATGGGTTTGCGACTATGTACTTCGAATGGATAAACCACGCTACCTAGGTACCTACGTACGGGCAAAGGGGCAGGGACTTCTTTTTGCCTTTCAATCCCGCCCCTCATAGCGAGCGTGGTTGTTTCCACCCGTTATACAATCTGCGAAACGTAATCCAGCAGCATCCGATTCGCCGGTAGAGGGATGAGCCTCGGGTGTTCACAGCAGGGATGAGGACATCGAAGCTATCCAGAGAAACCTCGGCCCTTTTCAACAAGATGGCCCGCCCGTCCTCGCCGTTACCGACGACGACCACGACGACGACCACGACGACGACAGCACCATCGCCACCGCAACAAACGCGCAGGACGACGCGGTCTTCTCTTGCACGATTCGCGTACAATGCTGGTGTCTCTTCCATCACGGACGCGAACGCCGCGGCAGCAGAAACGGTCCACGATATCGTCCTGGGCGTCACCGACATTGAGGACGCAGTCGTAAACACGAGGGGCCGGAAACGAAGACGCGTCACGAAGGTGGAAGACGGCCAAGACGCATATGCGGAGAACGGAATCGCAAACATCAAAGTCGAACACGTCGAGACCGAGACCACGGCAGCGACAGCGGCAGCGCGAGCGTCTCCCTCCCAGACGCGGAAAGCTCGTAAACCGGCCCGCGTAATAAAAGGCACCAACGCCGTCGAGTCGCACACAGAGCCCCCTTCAGACTGGGAGTCCATTTACGACGCGGTGAAGCGGATGCGCCTGCACGGCGCCGCGCGCAACGCCGCCGTCGACACTATGGGCTGCGAGCGCCTCTTCCACCCCGACGCCTCGGAGCGCGACCGCCGGTACCACATCCTTACCGCACTGATGCTGTCAAGCCAGACCAAGGACACGGTCAACGCGGTGGCCATGAAGAGGCTGATGATGGAGCTGCCGCCGCACGAGCCGGGGGCGGCGGGCGGCTTGAACCTGGAGAACGTGCTTGCCGTCGACCCGGCTTTCTTGAACGAGCTAATCTGGGCGGTGGGCTTCCACAACAACAAGACCAAGTGAGTGGCAGGATGCGCCGTCGGCGAAATCACTGTGCGGGGTTTGGCAAAGACATTTCTTTTTTGTGACTCATATGTGAGGCTAACTCATCAAGATACATCAAAGCAGCGGCCGAGATCCTCCGCGACAGATTCAATGGCGACATACCCGACACCATCGAAGGGCTCACCTCCCTCCCCGGCGTGGGGCCTAAGATGGCCTACCTCTGCCTTTCGGCTGCGTGGGACCGCACCGAGGGCATCGGCGTGGACGTCCACGTGCACCGCATCACGAACCTCTGGGGCTGGCACAAGACGACGCAACCCGAGGCGACGCGCCTCGCGCTGCAGAGCTGGCTGCCCAAGGACAAGTGGCGCGAGATCAACTGGCTGCTCGTCGGGTTCGGGCAGACAGTCTGCCTCCCCGTCGGTCGGAAGTGCGGCGAATGCGACCTCGGGCTCAGCGGGATGTGCAAGGCGGCGGAGAGGAAGAAAGTCAACGAGGGGCGCAGGATGAGGGAGGTCAAGGTCGAGGTGAAGGGGCAGGGGGATGGGAGTGTGGTGATCAAGAAGGAGGAGGTCGTCAAGGAAGAGGAAGTGGAACAAGATAGAGTCATCAACGAGACTGTGGGCGTGTCGGAGTCGGGTCCGGAGGCGGGGGTGGATGACAGCAGCCAACAACAGCCTGAAGAAGATGCCACAGCGGGCAAGGCCGACAGGGCGGCTGTGACGTGGAGACTGCGGAGAGGAAAGCCGTCGTAAACGGCCACGAGGGATGCCGGTGAAGGAGAGGTAGCAGATAGAGTTTCGCCCTGGATAGTTAGCTTTGCGAATCCCGTCAAGGGGAGAGAGAAATAGGGAGACGGATCATTCCGCATCCATCATTGTGGCCACACGCCTGTCAGCTACAACACAAGGGGCTACGACACGCAAACCTGCTCTGCGCGGCACCCGACCCGTGCGGGCTTTCCTACCGGCGTACCCGGGGGGTTGCCTGCTTCGATTGCGCGGTCGGGGAGAGAAGCGCGGAGGGGGCCGGCGATTTACATACTTCGGGTGGATTCCGACCTCGTAGGTAGAGACGAGAGTCATTGCTCGCGCAACGCGTCGCCCACCCAAAGTTAGATGGGTAGGTAGGTAGATAGGTACATACACTGTGTGATTACCTTAGTGTGTGTTTGTGAGCGCAGGGAGGGGGAAAAGGGCGGCAAGGAGGGTGAGAGAAGGCGAGGGGCGGTAAAGCGCAGGCCAACAGCGGCTAGCGACGACAGCGGACGATATCGGAGCAAGGCCGGGGTTCGGCTGTCGCTCTCGTGTATGTGCCGGTCGCCGTCATTGTCCCTTCCAGCGCCAACACCTGCGACCTGCACCACCATATCACAGTGTGACGTGGATACGGCGCTGGCGGACGGGGCTGCGGAGGAGAGACCGTCCTGACTCGCGAGGGTTAGAGGGATGACGACAAAAGCGGCCAGTTTTTGGAAGGCATGCCGCGCAATGGTACTGTCTTTCTCTCTCTCTCTCTCTCTTTCTCTCCCCCCTCTCCCCCACACCCAACAGAGCCCTGGAACAAGGAGGTTTGCGATTCAAAGGGCCAAACTCACCCCCCTCAGAAAGGGTTTGAGACAGCCCTGGAAAGATGATTTGTTCGTCTGTGGTCGTACGTATTCAGCTGGCAAAATGGCAGACAACCCCCCGAGGCTGAGCCCCCCGGTCTGCCGCTCGCTGGCTGCGTCTCCGCTTGCCGGGCTTGCCGCTGGATCGACTCATCGAGGATTATACATATTAGCAGTAAAAATAAGGCCTTATCACCAAGCGTCAAAGAGCAAGAAAACGATGATAGGAACCGAATGAAGAACATGAATTCGAGAAAGATATTTAAATAGATAAAAAAGTGATTGACGGCTATTGACCTCCAAGGCGGCCGCTCAAAATGAACCATACGCCGGTACGCCGTGCGGAAGAAGTGCAAAAGCCGGAACTATCCTAAAGGTGGAAGATATTATACACATTGCCGTATGGAAATCGAGACACGCCGCTCCGGGTTGTGTGCAGGCAGAAAACAATAAGGACAAGGCGAAAAACATGGCAGCGCTGTCGTCGCCACCGCAGCTCATCGCCACCGGTGCTTCTGCACTTTGCGCGAACTTCATCGAGTCCTCGCAGGAACTGTGTCGGGAAAAGAAAAGGACCATCGTGCCGTGCAGAGGTCCCGGAATATGAAGACGTGCAGTGAGTATCATGTCCGCCTCGCGCACCAGACTGCTTCACAGCCATGGACGATGTCCAAGCTGCATCCGGTCGTGTGGGGGTTAGGCCGACTCGCAGCATCTCGACTGGAAGTGTGATGGCGCGAAACCCAGTCAGGCTCGCCATGGAGTGTAAGATTCGTGATAGCCAAGGGTGTGCCTATACTCCGCGGATGACTTGCGTGCGCTCGGATTCAAGCTGGGCAGCGTTGCGCTCGTGGGATTGCTTCTTGCACTATAGCGACGAACAAGTTAGCAAACAAGGCCTAGGTCTCGCAGAACGGTGTCAAGGCCGAGAAGCCAAGAGCACAAAGATTCAGAGGCCCGACTTACGTCTTCCAAGCCTGAGCACTTGTGGTCCTCGAGGAGGCGGTGCTTGCCACAAAAGTGGCCGCTGCAGAACCCGCAGTCACCAACGATGCGCTGGGCAGCATCCTTGCACTCCTTGAAGGTGCAGCGAATTTTCTTCTGAGGCATGATGGGCGAGTATTTGATGGGGTGGCGTGAGTGCAGTTGTAGTTGGCTTCGGTAAGAAGCGGTGAGGCGTCGGGTGAAGTGATAAGGGAAGGATGGGATGCCGAGAGTCGAGATCGAACGTGGTCGGTCGTGGAGGTGACTCGTAAGACGACGGTGAGAGGTGCGAGGCGAAATGGTAAAGAGCGGTCCAGATGGGATGAGGAGGAGGGAAACGAGGAGAGGAGATGAAAAGGGGAAGAAGATGTGGTGAGCGAGAGTACAAGTATTAGAGGTTGGCTGGAGGCGAATTGTGTCAGGCAGTCAATCAATGATGATCTAATAAGCCGAGCCAGGACCGGGTCCAGGTCCAGCCAGGCAAGCCAGGTCGAAGGCGGGAGAAGCGCTCACAATGACAAGCAAGACACAAGACAAGGAACAACAGGCGTGGGGCAGGGGACGGGGTGGCTGGTGGAGCTTTGGTCTCGTCTGTCTGGGGAGGGGGGTGGACTGTGTTGCTAATTATCGGGAAGATGGACATGCAGGGCACACTTCATCGGAGGCGCCAATACAGGATTGATTAAAACGGAGACCCGAGCAACGAGGCGAGGCGTACGGGCTTGTGGCAGAGACGGAGGGAGAAAGCGAGTTGCCTCGGTAGGGGTGGGTGTGACCACAGCACACACACACACACCACACCAGAGTGGAAGCACTCACTCCCACTAGATGCACATCTGCTGAGTTGCGCACTGCACTGCAATGCACGGCCAGACCATTCTGCGGTCCACGGTGTCCACGGTGGTCCTCAGTGGCATCCATGCCACGCAGCGTACTAAGGTAGCCGTTTCCGTTCCCGCATGCAGAATCCAATGGAACAATGGGGGAGGCAACTAGTGCCGTAGTGTAGTCTACGTACGGGATACGAAACTGTACAATGAGTGCAAGCAAAGGCGCAATGTTGGCCGTATCCGTGACTTGGGCACGATATTGGGCCGTAGCCCGGGGCAGGCCAAAACCGACGACTAGCTAGCATAATGTGATGGGGAGGGCAGTCGGCCCCAAATGCAGCTGAAGATACGGACACCGGCGCAGTCATGTGGGTATGAGGTCAAGTGAGGGACGACGAGGATAAATCAGGATAGGGGTCAAGTATGAATAGCCTACGGATACACGAGGAATGGAGGAGAGGCTGTACTCACAACCACGAGGTTCCCTGGCCTTTGTCCAGTGGGTGTTTCCCTGTTGCGATGGGACGGGAGAGGGGGCAGGCAGTGAGCGGCGTACGTGTGCGTCCGAAGTACCGGGGTACCGGCCGCATTGCTCAAATGGCGTTGGCAAGGGTAGTCCAGGTAAGGCAGGTAGTCAGCGGTCCGTACACAGTACTATCGTGGACAGGTTGTTGGTATATCTGATGGGGCGACCGAGCCAGTGCTGACGGAGACGGGCGCGATGGAGTCAGGGTCGTGTTCCAGGGCGGTCGGAACGAGAGGGCGGCACCTCCTGCACCAAGAGGCATGATGTATGGCTACATTCTTTCCCGTGGCTTTGTACTCCCCAATCTCCTCCGTTTTCTGCCGGCTTTGTCGGCCGGTCCCTCGAATTTCCTTCCGACTCCCGGCTACCGCCATGCCCAAAACAGGACGGCGACCACAGCGAGGAGAGGGAGTGGCCGACATCTTACATTAGGATGGATGCGATGCTGATGCTGGTAGCCTCGGGACCGGGACTGCCGTTGGTGCGGGTGTTGTAAAACTGGCTGTGCTTGCTTAACCGATTTGCGTCGAATGGCGGCCTGGGCAATGCCAATGACACGGGTAGACGGTTTTGCGAGGCTCCGAAAGCGGCAAAAAAGAAATGGCAGCAGACTGGGCCTTGCGCCCCGTGTCTCTCCCTCTCGCCCAGCGTTGTGTTCAATGCTTCCCGTCCTCTGTTTCTGTCCCGAATCGACGGGTCGCCTCTGCCGGATCTGTACCGGAACAGCGTGTGATCGCTAGCTTAGATCTATTGATCAATGCTGCAAAAATCCGTTGTCTTAAAATCGAGGGGCAAAGTAATGTTGCCGGACGGACGATGATGCTTCACTGGTGAGACCGTCCAGGATCGAGGAACGTGGGAGTGTCCAACCGAGGGAGAAGCAAGGAAACGCAAGGCCATGTATCCGTACGTCAGTGCTGGTCTGTTGGTCATTTACAAGATGAGGTGACTTTTTTTTTTTTTTTTTTTTTTTTTTCAAGGGCGGTGGCTCAGCTGCCTGCTGGATGGCGTGTATCGACAACATTCCCAAGCCTGAGTCAGACTGATGCAACAATGCCTGTGAGGATTAAAGAGTTGAGCCATGTAGTGCACAGAGTAGTGTAGTGTAGTGTAGTGTAGGCCTCGACTTGCAGATCCGCATGCTTGTACATTGTATCGCACGCCTGCCGCCGAGCCAACGGGACGCCCAAGAATCTGTGTGTTTTGGGTACATGTAGGTAGGTAGTTGACGGTGCCTTCTTGTATTGGCTCGGCAGGTGTGGTTGTTGAGGCCTAGAAACAACGGGAAGGAAACATCTCATGATTCAGTGCCGAGAAAGGCGCCATGTACGTACACACTCGCACCGGCACCTGCCTCTTCCGCGTCACAAATCTTTCTTCCTTCCTGATGTTAGTACACTAATAATACCTACGTACGTGCCTAGATAGGTACCCACCACTTACTTAGTCTATCAACGCGATTCTCTAACACATACAGGTGTTTTCCATCACCCTCAACATCGCAGACCCAATGCGTGCAGATGCACACCTTCTGTAGCTTCGACCTACCCACGTTTACGTCTCGCCAATGCAACCACGATTACCTCGGAGTGTTGACGGACGGGTACGGAAGCCATGCATCGTCCAACAACATGCCCAGTCCATCGATTAGCCTGCTTCGGCCAAGTCAGAGGACATCAATCCTCGTCTCCACCATGCCTGACTTGCACGCTGGTTCTGGGTTCTCCTTGCGTCTCTCTCACTCTACACCGTCGCAGACACACCAGTACACCCGCTAACAAGGGTTTGATTCACACTCGTCTACCTTTGCAATGACATGGCGCCGCATGGCATTGGCAATGGTAATCTCATGGCCACCATGGATCATGGCTACTGTAAGACCACGAGCTGCAGGAGACACCTCAGCTTCGCTTTGTAACCGTCCGTAATCAGGCCCAAAGGTGGCTGGCGATGGGCGAATGACTGACTTGCGGTTCGCGGTAGTGCTTCAGTTGCTCCGCAATCACCTGTCACAGGCCATCGCCATCGTCTCCCTTTTGTCTTTCAATCACAACCCGACCCTCTCTTCCGCTCCGCTCTACCCTCGCAGATTCGTTACCGCCTGCAACCAATCGCCGCCTCCACAGGCTTCAAGTCTCCAGCACCCCAAACGCTGCGACGAACCGTCGTCCCCTGCCGGCCGCTTTCCGACCTGCCAGGTCTCGCTCGTCTCATCAGCCCCCGTGATTGTCAGTTACCTTAAGGTTGCTAAATGGCGCGCAATCGAGACGGCTGCCCAGATCAGAGCATCATAACGGCGATAAAGTTGTTATGAAGAAACAATAAGAGTCTTGGGGTCCCCTACCGGCCCGAAGCCCTCAATCTCGTTGTCGACAAGGGACGGAACAATCTCGCCCTCCAAACGCGCCCAAGACCGCCCACCGCACTCATCGCCTCTGCACGCTGTGGCCGCAATCTGGGCAACCTTTTGAATTTCCAACCAACCGATGCCAATGCTAATACTCCCAGTGGATCAACCCCCCGCCCCCTCAAGGAGCGGTATAACCGTAAAAGAACCCAAGACACTATTACCGCAGGACCGAGCGGTGCAGCAGCCGGTTGAGATTGTCAATGGGCATTTCCGCGGTAAGCATTGGTCTGTTGTCCTACACCGTACATAGCACGTAGGCTCGGCTACTGAGAGACGAACGGGTGTCCACAAGCGCCTCCTCTTATTGTGCGGAACCACATATTGCTCTTCGCTGGCCTGATCTGCCCAGACTAGAAGTTGAGTTATGACAGGCGAAGGAAACGAGGTGAAGCGGTAGATATTGGTCGCAACATGACTTAGGTAGTGCCGCCCAGTCTAGCGCCGTGCGACCTGACCTACCTCCTACCGTATTGGATCTGGCTCCCTGCAACGACTTCGACCAGGGACTTTGGGACTGGCATCATTGGCCATGGCATGCAAATGGTTTCAAGAAGGGTCTCCGCGCTACAACAAATGACCTTGGTATATCAGACAAGGGACAAACAGGTCTGTATGTCGCATCTCGGAAAAGATTGGCCTCTAGAGAACGCAATCCGTTGTAGTCCGACGTCCAACTCGTATTCTGATGCTGCACTCGGAAGAACTGCCGTTGTTTCTTGCGGACACGGTCCATTGGCGGTACATGACGGGACGAATGGATGGATACGAACACATACTTTGACTCAGCGATCCTTGCGCTGCCTGTCGTTAAGCGCGGCATAACTAACCGTCTTAGCTTTGGAGGAGAGAGAGGTGCATCGCTAGCCTCACCCGTCCACGAGACTGATCATCCGCGCATCGTCGAGCAGCAACAGCCTGCTGGGGACTCAACATTGAGCCAGCACACGCCCGCCCAAGCCAGCTGGTCCACGTCCGGAACAGTTGCTTAACACAGCATCCAGGAGCAACAAGCATGTGCATTTGCAACACATTGATCTGAGGTGCTGGATGATGTGGATGATGGCCAAGGTTACACTGGCGTCGTCCCATGGTCAACTCCCTTTGCGAAACGCCAAAGCCCCTTTGTACGTACAGCATCCTTCGCTCCATGATCAATTATGAGGAAACTCTGCAATAGTGGGAATAGCCACTAGCGAAACCTATGCTTCCTTCTGGGTTCTTCCTCGGCAGTATCAATCGATACTACCTACGCCAGAGTTGAAATTACCAGCCTAGCCGTGATTGCCTATCAATATTAGCCATCAATGCACCTGGATCTGGATTTCTGATGGGGTGAGCCCCAACAGCTTTCAGTCTCCCCCCCAGTCATTTCTTTCCTGCCTAGATTTCCGAACCACACGGTGACCGATGGCGGCTGTATTAATGTTTCCATGCAGTCAGCCCCCCTGGTCCATTCCATTTCTGATCCTTGTCCCCGTTCTCAGAATCGTCCGATTCCCCAGTCCCGCTTTTGGCGACATATCCTGCTGAGCCTTGCGACTTGCCAGTCGTGTTGCCAGCCATCGACTGGGGGGCAGATTATAGCCAAATAGGGTTCCTAGCGCATAAGCTACCGTATAGAAGGGAAGCGCAGAGGAGGAGGGGCCCGGGTCGCACCTACAATCCACCCAACATGCGTCCGCAGGCCTCCGAGACACGCTGTGAAGCTGTACACTAGGCTTTAGACAACAAGCAATGGCTCTTTGAGGATGTATCCAGGTGGCGGCCAGGCCGAAGGAGACAAAGGACTACAAAGAACGTAGTAGGAATACCCGTATTTCCATTTGATAGCGTCTGTCGGGGGGGGGGGCGCAGGTCTCTTTTCCTTAGCGACTGGCTGGCATCGCCTCACCCGTTCGAGGCATCAGGATAGTAAGGCGTTTCGGGGGCGACGATCTGATATCAGGCCGGAGCTAAATTCACATTTCAAATTTACAGATCCCGCTGGATAAGCAATGCAGCTTAGCCCCGTAGTCAGGTACCACTGGTGAGTCCCCAACCGTGCTGAAGGAGGAGGCGGTTTTGTTCAGCATGCCCTTTCCGCCCCGTGTTGCTTATCAGTAGGAAGTTGTCGGAAGACTGTTGCCTGGAAAGTCTACTCGTCATTTGGCAATGGCGCTAATTCTCAGCCGTAGCGCTCCCCCGGATCTAGCCAGGAAATGTAGACGGGGAGGCCTGCAAGTGTGCCACGCTGTGCATAATAACCCCAAGAGTGCCGGCCGGCTGGGACCACTGTCGGGACCGCGCACACAACGCTGCCGGCTGCCGGATCCGTTCAAGCGGGCGACGGTCTAGAACCTCGACAGTAACACCACACGAAGTACACATTAGTAGCAGTCCGAGAATAGCCAATGGCAGGTGACGACAAGCTGTTGTATTACTATCGACATGGATCTGGGTATCGCGCGTATGAGCATGTTGGTCGATGCTAACCCCTCGTCGTTGGCCGTCATGGCCGTCCGCCTGGCTTCACAGTTTGGAATTGAGCGACCTTCTAGGGATGTTGATTTCACTTTTTTTTGTATTGAACTATCAGTACTTTTTGTAACAAGAGACGCATACATATTGCAACTAAAGCCATTGCTTACTTGCGCATGTCGACTACGGCTCTGATGCAATCGCCCTGCTTCATGGTCTCGAATGCATTGTTCATCTCGCCCAGTGTCTTCCTGTGCGTGATGAACTCGTCCACCTTGAGGGCGCCCTTGAGATAGTCCGATACGAGACCGGGAAGCTGGGAGCGGCCCTTGACACCGCCGAATGCGCAGCCCTTCCAGACGCGGCCGGTGACGAGCTGGAACGCTGTTGGAGCGCGGTTAGCATTTGGGGAAGCATGAAAGACGGATTATAGGATCGGAACTTACGCCGCGTGGAGATCTCCTGACCAGCGGCAGCGACACCAATGATGATGCTCTGGCCCCAGCCCTTGTGGCAGGCCTCCAGGGCGGCACGCATGACGCTGACGTTGCCGGTGCAGTCGAAGGTGAAGTCGCACCCGCCGTCCGTCATCTCGATGAGCCTGTCAACAACGGACTCGTCCCCGAGCTTGGTGGGGTTGACGAAGTCGGTGGCGCCGAACTTCCTCGCCCACTCCTCCTTGTTAGGGTTAACGTCGACGACGATAATCTGGCTGGCCTTGTTGACAACTGCGCCCTGAACGACGGACAAGCCGACGCAACCGGCGCCGAAGACGGCGACCTTGTCGCCCTCCTGGACGTTGGCGGTGATCTTGGCGGCACCGTAGCCCGTGGTGATGCCGCAGCCGAGCAGGCAAGTGCGGTCCATGGGGGCGTCTTGCTGGACGGCAACAACGGAGATGTCGGCGACGACAGTGTACTGGGAGAAGGTGGAGGTGCCCATGAAGTGCAGCAGATCAATACCGTTGCACTTGAAGCGCGAGGTGCCGTCGGGCATGACGCCCTTGCCTTGGGTGGCGCGGATCTTGCCGCAGAGGTTGGTCTTGCCGGACTTGCAGAACTTGCACTCCTGGCACTCTGGGGTGTAGAGGGCGACGACGTGGTCACCGGGCTTCACGTTAGTGACTCCCTCGCCAACGGACTCGACGATGCCGGCGCCCTCATGGCCCAAGACGATGGGGAAAGCGCCCTCGGGGTCCTTGCCGGAGAGAGTGTAGGCATCTGGAAGGGAGATTCCAAGGTCAGCATCCTTCTCATGTAAAGGCTTTTTCTTCTTCTGTTCTCTCTCTCTCCTTCTTCCCCTTTTCGGAAGCCCTTCCGAGCAGCGGGCGGGGAAGAGGAAGGGCGGGTCGTTAAGAGACGACGGGTTCGCTCACCTGTGTGGCAGACACCAGTGTAATAGATCTCGATACGGACCTCGTGGGCCTTGGGCGGGGCGACTTCGATGTCCTCGATGCTCAGGGGCTTACCGGCCTCCCAGGCGACGGCGGCCTTGCAAGTGATGGTCTGTTTCGGGAGATCAATTGAATCAGCGAGAGCGTTCGAGGGGCGTGGAAGGGCGAGAGCTTTAAGACACTGAGGTCTGGTTGCTGCTCTCGACTTGCACTGCGGGGTAGCTCGAGTCGAGAGCAGGGAACAGAAGAGATGCCAATATGGATCGACGTACCTTTCCTGCGGTGGCAGACATTGCTGATTCTTCAAGACTGATGATGGGTTGTGAGAACCTTGATGGAAGGAGAAACGCACACTAAGCTTAGCTAAATGGGCAGGGTAGGGTTTTTATTCCAAGGGGAAGGGGGGAAACACTGCGAGATGCAGATGGGCAAGAACTGCCGCCGCCGCCCCGGTTGTTGTTCGGCGGACATCTCCAAACCCCACCTCACCCATTTCCCCTCGGGAGGGGAAAGCGTCCGTGTGATTGTGAGGCCTCGGGGGTTCGGTAACTGGACAGGACTGTTAATTTTCCCCTTCCCTTCCCTTCCCTTCCCTTCCCTTCCAGCCCAGCCCCATTGAGAAACACTTGGAAAGCGGGGTCATAACCCGTCATAGAATCGCCAGAGTGATAAGGCAAGTGAATAAGAAGGTGGAAGGGTAAAACACGACTGACGCTAGCTGGGCGAAGGTGGGATGAGAGAAAACGTGGATACGTCATTGGAGGGTAAATATCCGTATCCAGTTGCCCATGAACATCCATCTCAACTGGGGTTCAGTGCGAACCCGGCTACGACTCAATTTGGACTTAGATATAACACACGGATGGCTTTCCGTGGAACAGAAGGTTGGCGGCTTGCCTTGCCGGGTTCGACGCCGAACCACGGCCACACATCCGGAGTAATTGGTATAGGGGCCCTTGGCTTAGCATGCCAGATCGCAAGCGGACTTCTCTCCCCCTCTTTCCCGCCGGCCTGCAGGCGCCTGGGAGGGGTCGATCCAAACTCTAAGCCGTCGGGGTTAGGCCTTTGAGGCCCTATTGATGTAGCCTGTCTGTGCTTGGTCTGTCGGCGATTATCTAGGCCAAGAGTCGCTCGTGAGTCGTGATTACTTTCCCGCGCTGCCAAGGGTCGGAGGCGCAAGCTGTTCTCTTCAAATGTCCGATTTATGTCCGTTAGGTACCTCGTACGTGACATCCTTCCGTTGTTACCGTCTTTGGCAGCCCTATCCTATCTAATCTGCGCTTCGGAACCCCCTAGAACCTGGAGGAGCAGGTTACGTGTGATTGGATGATTAGATAGGAGAGAGTCAGTTGCCCGCAGATACCAGAGCAAAATGTGAGTGAGAGTAATATATCGTAAGAGAAAGAGATGACTCCATCTTCCGTAGAGATGAATGATCAAGAAGGAGGAAGCCCTTTCCCTCTCTTTCTCTCTCTCTCTCTTGTCTGCGTGTCTATTGCCTCGGAGAAGAAACCATCACGATGGCATCACAGTCGCATGGTTATGAACGAATCAATCGAACCTTGATTAGGACTCTCCAAATAATGTGACAGGGAATTCCATCTGTTTTCTTTTTCTGCCTCACTAGGTGCCATCATCTTATTCATCTAAACAAGACACACTTGGAAGCCTTTGAATCTTCGCTCCAGAATATCTGAGTTGACGTGTGTCCATGGCTAATAGGAAGCTCGGGCCACTCAGAGAAGGCTTGCACGTACCTACAGGTACTTCGAGCACTACGGTGCAGCAGGGAAAGCAAGAAGCTCAAAGTGGGGGCCTCTGCGACGGCATCTTCCGCGTTGACTAGCCAAGCATCGCGAACCTCCAAAATTTATCCAGCAAAAGCGCGTCCGGCCAAACACCACACCCACCCACTCAGCCTTGTCACCGGCCGCGCCTTCAATACCAATCAGCCTCGAAGACCTCTGTAAAACGAACGGAAGGGGCTTGGTCTTCCATCGTCGTCATTAAATTACTTGCGCCTACCCCCCCAGGCCACCGACATCACCACGACGACGCAAGCTCTATCTGGGTGACCTGAGGTAGCCCACTTCATCGACGTCGTCATGGTCAACACATTCTCCTGGAACGATCCAGCCTTCGACAGCTCACCGCCGTCGACCCCAGGTCAGACATCTCAGAAGGGCTCTTACCACCCCTTTGGCGATAACCCATCAACCACACCCGCTGGCCCCCCGCCATCGTCTGCCGCATCCTTCACACCTGCAGGCGCACCGTCCGAATCTTACCTTGGAAGCTCCTTGCTGCAGGGAACAACTGCCCAGAAGTCGTTCAGCTTCGGCAACCAGAGTTCTAATGGCACAAGGCAGAACCTGTTCGGAAAAGGCGACTCGACTTCCCAGCAACCTTTGGGTCGATCGATCCTTCACAGCGCCAAGCCGGCCGCGAGGCAGCCGTCGGCATTAAGCAGGGAATATGGCGCCGCCGAAAGCGAGGTCAGCTACGATAATCGGACGGGTAGGTACATGATCCCCGACTCCTCTGAGGACGAGGACGAGGACGAGGAAGAGGAATATGACGAGCGCGACGCCGCCGATGCGGAAATAGAGCAATACCTTGAAGCCGACATCGACCAGGATGACATTGTCGCGGAGCCGGGGGTCGAAGACATCGAAGACGACGACGTATTCCTAAATATGCAACACAGCGACCGCGACGACGAAGAACCCAACTACTCAGACGAAGGCGAAGGCGGCATGGGCGCTGAGGAGTCTGACCTCCTGCTCCTGGCCACCCCCTCGGCAACGGCGCGCATGCGCAGGGAGGCCGAAGACATTTTCCGCGCATCGTCCATGCGTCGCTCGTCAACTGGAAGACGGAAGGACTTCAAGTTCTCTGCTATCGCGAAGGATCTGTACAGGGGCCTCGGCATGGCTGTGATCACGGAGTCGCCCGAGGTCGTTCTGAAGACGGAGGACTTAATCAACCAGCTTTACAACGAGGGAATCGGCGCTCAGGAGGACCCCGAACAGCTCGACATCTCGCTATCGACCATCGTCTATCCATTGGTGGAGCTCTGGGATAACTTCGCCCAAACCTTGCCCATGCCAGAGGGAGAACACATTGCTGAGATTGGGCCCGGCCCTGATACCGAGCCATTTCAGAAGGCCGCCTATGTCGCCCGTCTGGTTCTCCAGATGCATCACACCCGCTTCGCACAGCAGGGCTCCGGCGAAACGGAGGTGCCCCCGCTGCCTCACGTCCTATTCCGGTGGATCGAAGAAAACCATAACCTATACCCCGAGCAGTATGAAATCGTGTTGAACCACAAGCCTAGTCCCGCATGTCACAGCCTCTTCTGGTCGACATTGCGAAGTGCTCTTGTTCGCGGCAATGTCGGCCTTGCATCGAAGCTGTTGAGGAATGCTGGATGGGAGTCTGTCAAAAAGGGGCCTCGAGCCGATATCGCTTACTCCGGCAAAGCTCTCGAAAACTTGCAGCGCGCGGTGGGTATTGCATGCGAAGCACTCGACATGTGTCCAGCAAACAAGGGTAACTGGGACATCTTCAGCAGCGACTGGACGCTCTACCGCATCCAGGCCAAGGGCTCCCTTGACAAGCTTCAACGATTTGCAGAGGGCAAGGACAAGAATCTGTTCACCGGCGGTGATGACAACGGATACGGGGCGCCGTCTCTGGCTGGCCTGGTACGGAAGGCCGAGGGCCAGGTCCCTTGGGATATATACGAACACCTACAGACCGTCTATCAGATCATTCTGGGAACGCCGGAGGCTATCCTGGAGACGGCACAGGACTGGTGTGAAGCTACGATTGGATTGTTCGGATGGTGGGAAGAAGGACGCGGCCAGCAGAAGAGCTTGCGCATGTCTCGCTCTCAAGGACTACGCCAGGTCAGTGGTCTTTCAGGTCCAGAGACTTATTTGGAGCGTCTTTCACTTGCCTTCCACACGGCGGTGGAGTCAAACTTTCACTTCAACTCTATGAACCCTGTGGAGGTTGCAATCGCAGCTGCTTTCGAATCAGACTTCGCAGCTGTCATTGGAATTCTTCGAGCGTGGTCTCTTCCCATCGCTTCTTCGGTGGCGGAGCTTGCGTCTCTTGGTCAATGGCTTCCCAAGCCCGAGCAGCCTAACCTGATCACCATGGAAAGCTTGGACATGGAGGACCTGGACATTCTGGGAGTTTCACCTCAGACTGCGGACGATGTGGAGGGTATCAAAGACACGACACTCATACACTACGCACGCGAACTAGCGGGCATCGATCAACTTTCCGAAGATCGAAGCGGCTGGGAGATGGCGATCCAAGTGCTCGGACGTATGGATTCGGCCCCCAAATCCGAGGAGATGGTTGGGGAGCTGCTTCGTGACATTCTGGCACAGCTCGACTCCGACTCTGGGGACACTGTCGACAAGGTTTGGAGGATCCTGAATGATCTCGGCATGATCACCTATGCCGAAGAGACTGCTGAGGTATGTCGTCATCCATTGACACAATGCAACAAGTTGGCTAATAATGCTAGACCTATGCGGAGATCCTCGCAAAGGATTCACACAGATACGGAGAGGCTCTGTGGTACTATGCTCTAGCTCATCGACCAGGCAAGGTGCGCGAAGTGCTCAACCTGCTCATGTCCTACTCCCTTCTTCATTCTACGGTTTACCCCCTTGCCAACAACTTGGATGACCACCTTTACCGGCTACTCAACGAGCGTAGCCAGACGCTCGAGAAATACGCCAAACAGGATCTTGAAGCGGCAAACCTCCTGGGTCGAATGCTCAGTGGATATGCTACCCTGCGAAAGTTCTATGAAATTCGCGACACTGACGGGCTCGTAAATATGTCACCATACAAGTCGACTAGGCTTCGCAAGCAAGCCGCTTCAGCCCTTGTTGCAGTCATCGCCAGCTCTGACGACAACATCCGTGGGGGCCTTTACGACGAAACACGTGACGCTGTCGTTAGCGAGGACTTCATCCTCGCCCTCCTGGGCGAAGCTCTTCCGTTCGTCAACCAAAACCCTTGCGCTATCACTCTCGACCAGATGGATACGCTCCTCAAAGCCATAGAGGACATCCAGACGGTAAACTCCACCATCTTTAACGCCGCCGACGAGTTTTTCAATCTCGTCTTGGCCTCAGCACCGGGACTGAAGTTCTCCACGCCCGCAGACCTGATGCGCAAGAGCACCGGTTCTCTCAGCGGAAGTAGCTACATGCTCAGCGGTAGCTCGATGCTGGCCAGTCAGCTCCAGCGCTCTATCAGCGGCGCCAGTGGCGGCGGCGGTCTCTCCATTGCCAAGACAAAACGCGGTTGGGATTGGAGGTCGGGGCTTACAGCGGGCGCATCGGCCGAGGACGTGCTTCGCATACTCAGACTGGGTCTATCTAGGGACCTAGCAACTTTGTGGTTGGCCGAGGCGGACAACACGCCTCTGTACTAGGATCGCATCGGACGTGTCGCTGGCGTCAAGCGCAAACGTGACAGAGTGGTGGCCCCGTAGCTGCAAGACGGAGACGGAATAGGATCGACAGGACGGGACGGAGTTTGATAACGATGTAAATGGAAGGCATTCAAAGAAAGTTTCTGATGTATAATACCACTGTTTCGCCGAGATAGTCACGACTCGTCGTCGCTGTCTCGGATGATTGTTCAAGGTCACGCCAAGCCAAGTTGGTTTTCTAGTTGAGGGTTTCTTAGAGCGCTACATCTCATGCTGTCTCACATCGCATACCATGGTACCATCATGGTAGTAAAGAAGGCTGCAACACGTCGTTGCTTCTCGGATTCGAGCCACTCAGAACCGGTTCGGCAGGGCCAAGCCCGCAGCAAGGCGGACGCAAGGTGACATTCTCAATGTTCAACACTACATGCAGTTAGTTCAGTGAACAAACCGATGTCGTGTACAGTGCGAATTTCACATTGCTCATCCAATATGAACTGTGTTTGCTGGGGTTGTCGTTAAACGAGTGATGGAGCAAACATGACTAGCGATTCCACCTTGCATTTAGATTCTCTCCGTTACGGCTATGAAACCTCGTTCTAACCCGCCCAACTGCTTGAATATTCGATGCCACTGTTGACTCGCCAATCTGTATTGGAGGGGGCCTCGAGAAGATGCTCATCTTGTCGACGGTGGCCAAATTCACGACGTCACGAGCAAGAACACGCAACCATCATGTATGTCGCTTGATGACCTTCCATGCCACTGGGATTAACCAAGAGGCGCTGTATCACGGACACTTCCCCACATGAATCGGGCCTCACTAGGCTGCTCGTTGTCGATGCGGCTATTGACGCGATGCCGCCACGCTCGCACGGCTGAGTCGTCGGGTGGAGCCCAGCGAGGAGGCGATCGTGAGCTTCACGACGTGTCGCGTGCCTCCACCACCACGCGTGAGGGCAACGGGCCCAGTACGGAAAACTTTACTCACGCAGCGGGAGAACCCCGCCCACAACTCCAAAGACCTGAAATGACGAGCTGGGGGTCTTTTGCCGGCAAGCTGATCACTCGCCGGCCCACCGCGTTGACTACGGCGGGAGCTCCAGGGCGGTAAATAGGAAGCGTGGTTCGACGTCGCCTACGGAAACCACGTGTACACCTCGGCCTACCCTCAAAAGCCTGGGCAATGGCAAGTAGGTGCCCTTCTTCAGTTAACAGATCCAGGGCCGTGCTCTCGAACCAAAGGTCAGGCAGAAGATGAGGCAAAGAGAAGCGAAGGCTCGTCCAGAACATCCGCCCGCGCGGCGATGGGGGTTCGATCAAATCCCAACAGAGGAAAGAGCTGGGAAATGGGGCGTTGCTTACTTGTCGCAGACTGGTGAACCCTCCATGGACCTCCATCCGGGAAAACATCCATCTATTCCGCGCGCTGCGAAACGTGCCAGCATTGCGGCGGCAGCAGCAGCAGCAGCAGCGGCTCTGAGATCCCGCTCACTTTCAAATGAAACTCCTTCAAGGGAAACAAAACCGCCACTTATGAAAGCAACAGCGCCGCTGAGGCGTAGCGAACCTCCACAGGCGCCGAGGTATGAGAAATGGGGGACATTCCATCGGCAACAACGCGGCTCTGCTAAAGAAGATGGAGAGAAGCCTGGAGCCTTGAAAGGACCGAGACAATACGAATGTGAGAAGCAGCTAGTCGTACCTGGATGGCTGGAAAGACACTTTCGGAGGACCAAATTCCTAGCACTCGACAAGTTTCGCGACGAGCAACCATCCGGGAACCAGAGCCGGTGGGCGCCCACCGACTACGTCTACGATGAGCCATTTTGGATGCAGTTTCTTCTCAGGAATACTGACACATGGCCCTCTAAACCAGGAGTCTGCTATCTCTGTGCGCAACATACGACAGGGATTACGGGTCATCACGCAGTCCCGAAGGCAGTGTCGAGAGGATTTCCGGGTCGATTCACGCAGACAGATGACAACACTACTGTGGCTTTGTCAACCGTGTCATGTGGTCTTACACTATGTCTTCCCTAACGAACAACCGGACATGAAATACAATTCAGTAGACCGGATTGTCTCAGGTCCACCGGTTCAGAACTCGGAAGCTGCTCCGAGCCAGAGAAGATGGGTCATGATTCCCCGTCTAAGCACCAGCACCGGCGTCGAACTTCGGACCGAGTCAAGACCCGCCGGCGACTGACTTGCAGCAGCTTACTCGGGACGACCCATTGCAAGTCCTGCGTGGACTACCTATTAGAGTCACTACAACCCAACTCGAATTAGAGTGCATTGTTTTCAAAAGCTGCAACTGATCATATTTTCATTCAATGCTACAAGTCAGATAGGTTACGTATGAGCTTTATTGGATAACTATGTGACGACAGTAGCCGACATCTGTCGACAGATTTCCGTTTTCTAGAACTTGTATCCCGATCTTTGCAAGATTTCTTCCAATAGTCGGTGGGTCTTCAAGGCCGAACCAAAGTCTGCGAACCGCGAGCTGTCCCCCTTTGCAAAGGCGTCCAGTATTACAGCCGTGTTCAGCCCGACGTCTTGAACATTGGTGACGGCAGGGCTATCTGACTTCAGTAGCTCGACGTTCCGCTCCTCTCCAGTGGCTAGCTTCACTCGGAGCTTCATGCTAGGGTCATGCATCTGCCACATTGTCCCGTGTCCCCAACTAGCCTCGATCTCTCCCTTGGTGCCGCTGATAACCCACCGGCCGCCAATGTTATCGACAGTGACGCTGGTTGCCCTGAAATTGAGCGAAGCTGTTGCCCCATTGTTCAGCTTCCCTTGCACAAGGATGTGATCAGGCGAGCTTTTTGGGTAGGCCGGGTCGACGACCTTGGTCCTATCTGCATTGAGTAAGACTATCTGGGTGGCATCGATCTTGAGGACGGACGACAGACTGTCGAGATCGAAGTCGCCGACGACATGAGTAAAGGAGTCCAAGACTACAAGTCACAGATATTAGTTCACAAGAATTCGTCGCAATGGACCGCCCAAGATAAATCAAACGACTTACAATGTCCGAATGCGATGTGAAACACGTTGCCTCCACTCTTGATGTCGGCATAATACTCCACGCCCTCGACCCATATGCTCGGAGGCAAGTAAGGGAGCGCACCGACGACAGAAACATTCAGGAGGTCACCGATTTCCCTGCTCTCAATAATTTCCCTCAACTTGGCGGTGAGACCATCGCCACGGCCCTGAAGGCCGACGATCGTCTTCAGTCCGCTTGCCTCGGCCAGCTGCGTCAGCCTCTCGGCCTCGGCCACCGAGGCTCCGAGAGGCCACTCCACATACACGCGCTTCTTCGCCGCGAGCGCTGGAAGCGTCAGCTCGAAGTGCTTGGCAACGGCGACGCTGACGACGACGAGATCAACGTCGGGGTCGTTGCGAGCTCTTCGGCGTCCCCGTAGGTCTTGGTCGAGCTTGGAAGCTTGTGCATCTCGATTGATCGACGGGCGGCCTCGACGGACGAGTTGCAGAGGGCGACAATCTCGTATTCAGGGGAGTTTTGGAACGATGGGAGGATAGCCGTCACGGCCCAGGCTCCTGCGCCCCCGTGTGCGTCTTTGGCAGATAATCCGATGATACCAACGCGTGTCGGTGCCATGATGTTTTCTTTCGATGGCGCTTTGTGTAGAAGATAAAGGAAGAGAGAAATAGTACAATAAGCAGTCTGTATACTCTTGGTTTTGGCGTAGACCTTATGGCAAGAATGTCATTCTGATGCTAAGTTGTATTAGAGCATCGTCTTTTATATTACTTTTAGTGATTTAGCAGCAGGCAGCGTCTCCGGTATCTATCGTCGTATGATGGGAGCCTCTCTAAGCATCCCTTTAGTCTGAATGGCACGAAATGGCTGGAACCCGAAATATCATTGATCACGTCTGAAATCCCGTAGGATGGAAGTCCGGCCTGCGGAGCGGAGGTGTAAGCGGCTTCTTGGCTGGCTGCTGATTGGCCGGAATTCCGCAAGCGGCCAAATGAAGTCCGGGGCGCCGGGCTTCATTCGTCATCTCTCTCACCCGCAACATACCACATCGTTCTAGCTATCAAAAATGAGCAGCACACCGAGCCGCAGAAAGTCTTGTGCTTCTTGCCGGACCAGCAAGTCAAGATGCTCCCTCGAGTCACCGTGCCGACGGTGCGAGGAGAGGAACCTGGACTGCAAGTACGTCCATCCACCAAAGCGATCGGCAGCATATCGAGCATTGCGACCGCTTCCTGTCCTCGGGGACCTGAACCAGCAAAGCTCTTATGTTGAGCTGCTGGCTCACAACGGAAGCACTCCTGCCGGTTTACCGATGGAAACCTAGGGTGACCCTATTGGAGAAGCATCGATGAACTGGGATGCATTAGTTTCACCCTCATTTCTGCATTCATCATTGGGCTATGAGCTTGAGCATTCAGAGCTACCAAGCCCTTCCTCCACAGTGCACTTCAACACGCCCCAGAACCCTCGGGTGATACCGGAACCCAGCGGGCTTCCATGGCTAGGGAATCGCCAACAGTCGGACGTACTGTACAATCAAAGGGCCTTGCTTTCTTTGGGCGATCCAGAACCTTTCCATACTGCCAAGATAAATAAGCTGCTGACGCAATCCGAGAGTGGCCAGCCCCGACATTCATTCTACCAAATGAAGCCTCTTGCACCGCGGCGTAACAATGGAGTGGCTTCATGTTTCACCGTCACAGTACTTCTGGGCCAGCTGTTAGCCTATCCCAAAATGATGGCCAAGGGTTGCCGACTACCACCATTCATCTTCCCCCCGTGCTGTATGGAAGGATATCATTTGACAGCTGGCCCCTGTGGCAAGGAATTTCACAAGTGCTTGCCTGAAACCCTGGCCATATGTTGCAGCTTGGTGCAGAGCTTTGAGACGAGAACAGCTGGAAGCACTTCGTTCGTGTGGAAAAGCATATATAAAGAGGTAGAGAGGATACAATGTGAGGTGAGTTTCCACCACAGTTTACCTGCTCCCGTTTTGTGTTTGCTTCTTAGACGCCCCTGACGAGCGAAGTATACTTCCTACGACTACAAGGCACTTCTTCAGGCCCTTCAGGCCTTACTCGTATACCTCCTACTTCAAGCGGGTAATCCGAATTCCATACCCGAGAATGATATCAAAGCCTTTTTGACGACTTTAATTGTAAGACACCTGAAAACCATTTCGGGTTCTTACTGACGTGAAGGTCCCAACTGTGGTAGTCAATTGCAAAAGCTCTTCACACGGCCTGTGATTATACCAGCAGTTTGACTAGCAGCACCAAAGTTGACCGTCAAGAATGGGTCATTCACGAAAGCATCCGAAGGTGACTACTGTAAATCGATTTCTTTTGTATGCATCTGGAGCTACTGACAAAAGCTCTTGCAGGACCATGTGTATTATTTTCGGGATTGAGCTCCTCTTAGATGTAGACTTCAACTTTGTAGAGACGCAATGCGGAGATTACAGTCAATTACCTCTTCCAGCGGGAAGGGATCTGTGGGAAACAGTGTCGAACGACGAGTGGGCAGCACGATATATCAAGTTACAAGCCCAGTCCCGCAATGACAGAGTGTTAAGCATACAGGATCTTCGGCAGGCTAGACGAGCTATAGGGGTGACAGGAGTAGATCCTACGGATATGAGCGAGGAAGGGCGGCTTGTAGCACAGGTTTTAATTGGTGCGAGAGTCTGGACGAGCTTGGGATGATGGTATGGATGGCAGTCATGCTGGAATCATAGTGTACTCTAGACTGAACTAGAGGTACGATAATATTGACACACAGTCTCAAGAGAGCTTTGTACGTGCAAATTCGAGGAGCTGATTGTCAGGGAACTTAAGTGGTGTACTAAGCCCGTCCATAGACCATTCAGGCAAATGCCCAAAAGAGCAACCAATGTTGGCACTTCGTGCCAGCATTGCACCACACATACACTTATTAAGGGAAACCCCACTTATTCCCTTACATTCACAACATTCTCCTTCCGCCTGTGGCATCTGTGAAAGTAACCGTTGATACTAGTTGGTTACGGGTTGCTAACTTATCGACTCTAATCCGTATGTTGGTATTGCAGGGGTGGCGACCTAGGACAAAGGGGTGACAGATAATAGAGGTAACTGTTGTTCTCTATCATGCGTGAAGAAGAAAAGAAGCTATCACGGGTTGCCTGATTGAAATGTGGGGATATCCACTGCCATGGTGGATGTCATGAGCAGTGGTGGGCTCTATCGGAGATAAGTTCCTTGTCAGCGATTCTCGGCATCTCAACATCGTATTTATTGTGTAACAGTACCGCAACGCAAAGAGTTGAAATAAATCAGGAACACTCTAAAGCCGCTTCATAACGGAAATACAAACCAATACTAATAAATATTTGTTCTGAAACTTGTCCTAGGTAAGACTGGACCGCTCTAATAGTGAGCAAGAATTCTAGTGAACTAGAAGGCTTGAGACCTTCTCATACACGGTGAAGACGATTCCTCCACTTAGAATCAAACGGCCAAGTCTCATCGTGCTACCACTCCAGAAACCCCTGACACCTCTTTCCGACAGAATCATTTTAAAGGATTCCGAAGTACCCGCTCCACAGGCGGATTGAGCCCTCGTTTTGATCGTATCAAATGGCTGTGTAGCATAGACCGTGATGATACCAGCAATTGCTCCAGAGCCGAATGTCATGGCAGAGTTCTCGGGGAGCCCATATTGCTTGGACAGTTCTCTCAGGACGTTGTAAGAGCCCATTCGTACAGCAGATGTTGCGGACTGCTTTAGCGTGGTGGAAACAATGCCACGGTAAACTTCACTGATTCCGTTTTCCTTGACCATTGTAAGCACTGCGTTGGTTCCACTTGTAAATCTTCTTGTGCCGGCTTTGGCGTCATCAATGCTATTTCGAAGGGTGGTTAGCCACGTTTTTGTTTCAGGCAAGAAAACCTGCCATGGATGCAGATTTGCCAGATAACTGGCTGCAAGGAGCTTACAGTGCCGTCTTCACTCGCTCGGTGGGAGTCACTGCCACAACGCTTTCCACACATCCGGCAATCATGCCAGCTAGAATTCCCCGTGTGGGGGTCAGGCGTCCTTTGTCGTCCATCAATTGGTTTCTGATGGAATCGAACGAGAGAAACCTGACTCCAGCCTTGAAAGTTGTTCCCTACAAACTGTGAGCATACTGCGACGGTGAGGGAGGGGGAATGGTCTTCACAATAATCAGTGTTGAACACCCAGTGTAAATAGCTCTGCATCCATCTTGACGGGCAACCTGGAGCAGAACCGTAAATGGGTTCTTGCTGCCAGTTGAACTGAGCTGTGCTCTGGTCTTTGCAAACTCGAAAGGGTACTTTTCAGGGCCATAGATGGTTAGCAAATCCAGAATCGAAAGACTCATCTTTGAACAAATTGAGCAAGACCCACTGTGACAGCAGCTTCAACAGCCCCAGCAACTCCACCTGAGAACAACGAGATTCCCGGAGATATCTTGTGCTTCGAGCTTGATTTCGGCCTTTGTTTGGGCGCTGCCGAGTTGACAAGCACTGGACTTGGCACAGCTGAGGTTATAGACGCCATGGTGCATTAGCGATTGAAAGGACAGCCGGTAAGCTCTGTTGGTGCTCTTTCTCGATTGTGTCCGAGTAGAAAACTCCCAAGCAATAGTGGAAATCAAGCTAGCGCGTGGGACGAGAGATTCAGTGTGAACCTCCAGATGTTTTCAACAACGCATTCAACTTATTGAAATCAATGTACATATTTCACGGCGGTCACATTCAACTTATTGGAACACAACTATGGAAATGGAATTCTGTACATAGTATGTCCCTCATCGGTATACCCCCTGTAAGGGACCCAGCACTGCTTTCTTTGGCAATGATTTGGTTTTGAAGTGCGGAGAGCCCCACACTCGTTACCCGCGGGAACGCTGTGCGGAATTGACGGAAGCAAAGGTATGACACTAACCAATCAACGACCTTCCCGTGTTCTTGACTTGGTAACTCATTGACCCACCGTCTTGTTCAACCGCGGGGCAGACTTCTCGACAACTTCCCGTCTGTGAAGATTTCCCTTGTCTACCCGCTTAACATCTACGGATCAAAATTGAGACATCCCAGATTCTTCCACCTGCGTCTTCCATGGCACCGAGATCGGGAGACAGTGTCACGGCATCCGGGCGTCCTCGAAGGCGGGCCGTCGAGGCCTGTTCGTTCTGCCGGCGGCGCAAGGTTCGTTGTTTGGGCTGTGCTGCTTGCTTGCCGACCAAACTGAGCTGACTTCTCCCACCAGATAAAATGTAACAACGAGCAACCAACGTGCGCTAATTGCAAGACTTACGGTAAGGACTGCGTCTACGAGCCTCTGGCGAGTATTACCGAGAAGGCGGCAGAGACCACGCCAGCTTCGCGTCGTGCGGAAAGGCGGCGGCAAGGCACTCGGACGGGCAACAGAACAGACCTAGGCATCCCGTCACGGATCCCGGAAGATAATGGAGTGAATGTCTCTCCCGCGGAGCACGATGGCGATACGCCACACACCCCTGGAAGCTACGATCCCGCGACCCACTCAACCCTTCACACCAACTCGCGACAGGCAAGTCTAGCAGAGCCCGACCGCCGAGCGGGGGTTTCCCGCATCGTTGTATCCGCAAATGGAATTTCGAGCTATCATGGCCGTACGAGTGCTCTCTTCGAGGAGAGTCTGCAGGAGCGATCGGCGGCCGCCGACTTGCATCCACAGATGTCAGATGATTGGATAGAGAAGGGATTGGTTGCCGAGGCGGCTAGACAACGTAGGCTAACTCTGTTCATTTGGAGACCTGCTTCCGTCAGGCCTTGCACTGCTACGATACCTGTATTGACAAACAACAGGCCAACTCGAGGAGTTCAATCTTAGAACAGGAACACTCGACTTCGATGGTGTGGACCCGGAGCTAGGCATGCACCTCCTGTCACTCCACTGGAATCGCCAGCATCACTCGTTTCTGCTCACATATCGGCCCGCATTCATGCGAGACATGGCCTGCAATGGACCCTACTTTTCAAAGATACTGCTCAACGCCATTTACTTTGGGGCCTCCAAGTTCAGTCCTCGTCGTGAAGTCCGGAGAGATCCCAACGACGTACGCACAGCCGGATGGGCATTCCGTGAGCGTGTCCGAAAGTTGCTTGGTGATGCGCTTGACAAGAGTGATATCACAACCATTCAAGCCTTGCTGGTGATGACCAATTCGCTGTTTGCATTGGGCGATGAGAGGAGTGCTGCATGGTTGTATGCAGGCCTGGCGTTTCGTATGATCATTGATTTGGGCATGCATGTTGATGCACCGGGCCTTGGCACCACGCGGAAGTTCTCTGACGAGGATTTAGAGATAAGGCGGCGGGTCTTTTGGGGTGCCTTTGGTACGAAACCCCTGCTCGAACACCTGACAAGGTTCCTAACCGCTAATAGTCGTCGACAAGATCCAGAGTCTGTACCAGGGGCGTCCAGCTTCACTGAAAGAATCCGATACGCTGGTCCCTATCAAGTTCCTCGACACATTTGAAGAGTTTGAAAACTGGAAACCCTTCGCGTATTCCACCGATGCCACTAGCTACCCTGGCTCTCCCGCATACAGCGTGTCGACATTCACGTGTCTCTGCCGTCTGTCAGTTGTCATGAGCGACATCCTAAGCTGTATTTACACGGAGCGAGCGTTTGATAAGAGTGCAGCAGAGCTTTCCATCATGCTTGAGAATCTTAGCTCCAAATTGGCTGCTTGGAAGGACACACTGCCTACACATCTTGCCTTTGACCCAGAGGGTAACTGCAGAGTTCCCCCTCCACATGTACTAAGCTTGCAGTAGGTACCGGGACAGTGGAATCACCGATATGATATATTAAGATCTAACTTTGTTCCAGCGCCATGTACCATGTTCTCACAATCCTTCTCCACCGTCCGTTTGTGGCCGATGGTCATCTGTACAACACTTCTCGCTCGATATCGGTCAACTCCTTCATCACCTGTGCAACATCAGCAAACAGCATAGTCGGGATCCTCCGAGCATACGACAAAGTGTTTTCCGTGCGGCACGCACCTTACCTGATTTCTTATGCCACATACGTCGCCGCCACGATCCATGTACGAATCGCCGCGAAGCGGAGCACCGAATCGGAGGCTCGTGAACGCCTGGAAACCTGCATGTCTGTGTTCCGTGAGAACCAGGAAACGAACTGGGCAGTTAGGAGGGCCAAAACTATTGTGGAAGGCTTGATGAGGCGGCTGGGTGTAAGCCTCTCCCGCGTTGACGCTGGCGAGAAATACAGGAGCAGTGCGTATCCCAACATGGACGGAACTAGCTCTGGCGTTCCTGAAGCTCAAAGACACGCCGAAAACCACGGAACAATACCAAGAGCCGATGCGTTAAATCCTCCACAAATGGTGGTAGAAAACACATCGCCTCCTATGGGCTGGTCAGATATCGATGGGATCATCCAGAGCTTTGTGCGGGGACAAGATAACAACGCAGCCGCAATGGATCTGAGCCAGGCAGAGCTCCGTAATCAGCCGTTGCCTACAGGACCGGGGCTGCAACCCGCGAATTTTGATTCTTCCAACTTAATGGGCCACCAGACTTGGTTTCAGGGGATGCCGGATGGAGATGGCGGCGCCGCCTCCTTCGACGACCTTCTCTTCGGCTTCAACGGCTCCGCACTTGACAGCGTGTTTTCCTGATACCATCGGGCTCGGGTTTAAACGAGCTGCAGGAACCATTCGATCCACGGGGTTTCCCTGAGCGAGAAGCCGATCCGCAAAACCGTTGCTCTACCGAGGTGGAGCAGCGTCTGAACCCGCGGGACGGCTTCACTCCCGCGGATATCCGGGCCTCCAACACCGCGACAATATTTACAACCCACATCACGCTTTGAAAGAAATGGAAACCACTGTCATTAACGGACATAAGACGGCAGTGAAGAATGCCGTCGCCATTATCAAGGTCATATTGCAGATCAGTCAGCGTCCGATACGAGCACTTATCTATGCCCATGTCTACAGGCCTGCTCCCATGAGCATTAACCAATGCACTTCAACACCAAAATATTCAGCACACAAATCGCCTCTCGCAGGCTTCTTCACCAAGTTTTACACAACACGGTACCGCCATTCCTCATCCCCATTATGGCTATAACACCATCTACGTCGAAACGCCGTATGAGGCGCTCGCTTCCCGCAGTTATGATGCGAGCTGGCACGTCCAAGGGCCTCTTCATCCATCAGTCCCACCTGCCTCCATCTCAAGATGAGTGGGCGACGCCTCTCCTCGCCGCAATGGGCTCAAGATACAATGACGCTCGCCAGATCGACGGCGTGGGAGGCGGCAGTAGCGTTACCTCAAAAGTCACCGTCGTCGCACCGTCTGAGAGGCCAGGCGTCGACGTCGAGTACACCTTTGTTCAAGTGGCCGTCGGGAGCGAGAAGGTCGACTTGAGCGGCAATTGCGGTAACATGTGCTCAGGGGTCGGCCCCTTTGCCGTGCAAGAGCGGTTGGTGACGCCGGCGCCCGGTGCCCGGTCGGTGGACGTGAGAATCTTCAACACGAACACTTCCAAGCTCATTGTCGAGACCGTCTACGTCGACGAGGACGGAAACGTGGAGGAAGACGGCGATTGTATCATTCCCGGCGTTAAGGGCTCCGGCAGTGAGATCAAGGTTGCGTTCGTCGACCCCGTCGGGAGCATGACGGGCAAACTGTTCCCGAGCGGACAACGGTCCGAGAAGATCGTTGTGGAAGGGGTGCTTGCTTCCGGGGACTTTGTGGTGGACGTTACACTGATCGACTCGGCAAACCCCTTTGTCTTTGTTGATGCCGAGGGTCTACCCGCTCCGGTCAGGGAGCAGCCTGCCGATTCCCCGCTGGCTCTCGAAGTCGCCGAGGACATTCGTAGACAGGGTGCCGTTCGAATGGGACTCGCTAGCGCCGCCGAGGCCGCGGGCTTGGTTAGGGGAACGCCGAAGCTTGCATACCTTTCGCGGCCATCCCACGGCGAGACAGGCAAGGAGGCGGCGGACATCCAAGTACTAGCATACAGCATGGGCAAGCCTCACCCCAGTTTCCAACTCACGGGCGGCGTTACTCTGGCAAGCGCCGTGACTTCGGAGGGAACGGTGGCGCATCGCATCGCGGGCGGCAGCGAGTCGGCTCTATCGGTGGAGGGCCTACCGACGCCAAGAAGAACGCCGCCGCTTGCCGACGAGCACAACCTAGGCCGGAATGTTCGAATCAAGCATGGCAGCGGTATTATGGATGTGGAAGTCAAGACGCGTGAGAGTGAAGATGGAGTAGCAGTAGATCGGTGCATCGTCACCAGGACTGCCCGACGGCTCTTCGAGGGCAATGTTTTGTACTACTCTTGATAGCCGTCCAAAAGGGACTGGGCAGGGAGATTTGATTTTGAAGCATAGCGTGCGATTTAGACATTCATTGGAGTGGAACTGATCAGATGTAGAGCAACAGTAATAAAACAAACCCTTAAGCCAAAATGATCTTTCAGCTGCAAATGTGCAAGGACCTTTCACCCTGTTGTGTTTTCACCGATCTAACCCTTCCCGCGGGAGGGGTCGCGCGAACTAAGGGGTAGGTAGCATTGGTCCCAGCCCCATCCGACCTCCTCACCTTGATGCACCACAGGAATAAGAGAAAAGGAAACACAGATCCATTTCAAAGCCATAGATTAAGAGTGGGAATTCGGGACGAGAGGTGAAAAAAAGCAAAAATAATCTCCTCGACGGGGAATTGAACCCCGGTCCCCTGCGAATCGTTGAATGACAAGCAGATATCCTCACCACTAGACTATCGGGGATCTGCGGATGTTTTCATCCAGTGATAGTAGGTTGGAATTGGTAGTGACAGGAAATTATATATAGCCTAAGACCAGTGCGCAGCCCCCAGTGTCCCTATGTCCTGCATTGAAATGAATTGAACATGAGTGTTACCTCATTTGTTCGCCATTGCTCTCCCATCACAATTCTAAGCTTCAGTGCACACGGTTCAATAATACAGGACAAGCTATGTGGAGCTTGTTGAGTTTTCGTCACAGCTGCGGGTGAATTGGTTCATGGACATCATGACACTGAGCAGCATAAGGCACATAGCGAAAGTCCCCAATGCATCAACACATTTGTAACAAATGACTTTTTGAGATTCCTTCCCGAAACAATAAAGTAATAGAATGCGGGATTTCATACTTCAATCAGACAGGGTAGGTGTAACCGACATGAACCCTAGACAATGAGCCCTCTCGAAGACGAATATCCACCTGGTCCCATTCACGCCTTCGGAACGGAAGTCGACGCGTCGGTGACAACCTCCTTCTGCTTCTGCGGGATCAGGTTGCGAAGGGACAGGTCGTATACAACGTCTTCAACACGCTTGACGTCGTACTTGACCGCGTCGATGCGCTTACGGAGGATGTCGTTCTTGAGGTTAAGCAGCTGGAAACCGGCGAAGAGGTCCTTGACGAAGCTACTGATTTCGACGGGCATGGCAAAGTCGCTGAGAGTCACAGAGTTGGTGGCGAGACGGGAGAGCTCCTGCGTCAGATCCACCAGGGCGAGGAGGTATTCCTCGATGGTGAGGTGGAAAGCGTCACGGTCCTTGAGGTTGACGGGGACTGTCCTATTGTTAGCTCTAGGCTTCCAAAGGAATGCGAGACGGCGGGAGGCGATCGTCTTGGCTGCTTGTGAGGGGAAGCTAGGAGTTACGTGCCCTTGAAGATCTCGCCGACCTCCTCGAGGGTCAGAAGTCGGGCAACGGGGCCAGGCTTGCCGTCGGAAGTGAAGCCACCCAGCCAGCCGCAAAGGAGAACGGTGAAGATGGCATTCTGCACTTGACGATTCCACTTCTGGCTGTACCTGGGGATTGTGAGTCACAGGGTGGTTGCTGCCGCAAGGACATGGGATGGATGCCTACTTGTAGTAAGGGTGCTTGGAGGCTATTTCCTGGAGTTCTCCAATGACCTCGATCTCCTTCTGGATTCCCGCCTGCACGTCTGACAGCAGGGGGCCGTCTATAGGTGCACGATACTGTCAGATGATTTCGAAGCCGGATTGAACGATGACGCCGAAAAGAGGGATGACGCTGAGCGCTGACGGGGTGAGGACTCACACTGCTCACGCGGGGTTGCGTGAATGCGGGACAGCAGACCCTGGACGTAGGAGATGGTCCTGTCGAGCTTCTGGACGGTCTGGCTCATCTGGTCACGGACCTGCTGATCCTCATCGATCTTGTTCTTGAGGTGCTCAAAGATTTGGGGGTCTAGCAGACGGGATGCGGGGACCTCGCCCATGTTGGTATCGTTGTCCATGACTGGTGATGCGACCGAGCGATAGGAGTTGATTCTGGAGAGAATGTGAGCGCGTGGCTGATCAGATGGTGGCTCCGCTATCAAAACATATGAGAAAAAACAAAACAAAATAAATCAGGGAATATCGCAGGTGCCTTGAATATTTCGGATACGTTCCTCCACAGATGGCCGAGCGAGACTTGGTGGTGAGGTTCAAATCTGGTGGTCGAAAGCAAGCCCCGCGTATTAGGGCGACGTCACTGGAGAAGCAGTCACGGAAAATCAGAGTTTTTTTACTTACGACGTACAGCTACTCGTTTTAATGGCAGTTGGAACAGCACAAGTACAACCACGCGAGATTAACATAATATTTGCCAGTAGCAGCACCGTCGTGATATATTTGATGATCCAAGGGTCGAGCAAAACTATTCAACTGGGAAGGCGGTCACGATTGGCAAATTTAGAAGGGCGGGTCAGCATGGATATCCGTCACGCGAGTCGCATTCCCAAGCGGCAGCTCAGCTGGCGTACTATTCTGGTTCGGCACATTAACTTGTCCTCGACAGGACCGAAGACGCGAATTTAGAATACAAGACGGATAACCTTCTTCACAAGCCTGGGCAAGCCAGACAGTTGCAATGAAGATCGCGGGTTTGCATCACCTGGAGGCAGTGTTATACCAGGGACACGTTGGAGACAACATGTGGCAAGCCATAGAGGCTGTCTCCGGTGATCAAAAATAGGAATAATCAAGATTGATGCCAGTAGGCATCTTTCAGAGATTAAACTGAAAAGAACAGATACTACACTTGATCTAAGCCAAAAGGCAAAGAGAGCTAAGGAGAAAAGAAGAGAAAATCCTAAGAACTGCGGGTGGGCGAAGAGATTATATAGCTTGGAGAGGTGGCCTGTGCGTCGGACGCGATCACCCCGAGATACGTACCGCAGAGGAAGCTGAGGCCAATATTCGAAGGGGGGTACGGGCTGATCGGTACGTGTAGGTACGTACCTCGTACCTTTACCCTGACAACTACAGGGTGGTAGGGGAAAGTTTTATGGCCCTAGTGATGTAAATCGCCACACAGTACGGAGCATCTAAGCATCCTACCTATCTCTTATAGAAATCTATACCTAGTGGTGGTGATAGGTAATGCGTAATAGCTAGATGGCGTTGACAGCTGGCGGACTAAGGTACCTGACAGGGACATAGAACTTCGGCCTGGTACCGGTACTCTATTTCTGCCTGCAGCAGGAGGCCAAATGTTCGCGCGCATGTGTAAGTGCAGAAAACGCACTTAGAAGGCCCCGATTGCTAGTCACCCAAATGTTGCGTTTCTTACAAGTGTTTCCACTGCAGTCAGATACTGAGGTAGCATCACCAAGGTCCGGGGCTCAAGGGCACTGCCTGCTCTTTGTCATGTATCTGATCATGCGGATGATGCTACCTTAGTCATCGTTGCTCCTCGAGCGGCATGACTGGGTGGCTGGCGCTTCATGAGTCTTTTATTGCCTCATCCGTACGTTGTGGTTGTCGAGTGCATATATTACTTTGGATTCTCACGGTTGGCGCTCAGATGACTGAGGCCTTTACTACCACCTGACAAGAGACCTTCTGCTTTATAGGTAGTCATAGATACAGGCAACTTAACCTCAAAGTTACGCGTCTAAGATGGGGGCAAGCTGGAGTCAACTTCCAACCGTACAAACGTATATAATGTCGATATAATAGGTTTTGTGCTAAGGCAACTAGCTGATTGTTCAATACCACAGAGGGTATCATGATACATATCAACTCTCTCTTATGGGGCCATCGGCGCAAAGTGTACCAATGATTCATCACTTATGAGTCCAGCCTTAGCGGGAGCTGGTCCAAAGCAGTAGGCCACTCCCAAGGCCGCGTATCAGGATGCCACGCACATGTGACGCGAAGTAACGGCCGATTCGGGGCGAACCCTGTCGACATTGCGCTCCATTTGCATGACGGAAATCCGGGGTGGTTCAAGGGAGAACGATCGTTCTACACTAGTGTACAAACACACAGCCTCCAAAATCCTGGTCAAGATACCGGCGAGCAATGCATGTCATGCAGCCACGCAGCTTTCGTCTAGCAGCGGGCAGAGGGGAGAGGGTAGCTCCGATCCCAAGCTTAGGGTGCCTAAAGTCAATGAAGTATGGCCATCCGCGCCGTGTGGGCCATTCATTTCCGGTGCTGGTGCCGGTGCAGGGTGCAGTTTCTGCAGCGAGCTTCCATTCGCCCAGGACTCTTGGAAGGGGAGGGGTGTCCACACCGCCTAAAAAGTGCGATCCCGATCCAAGCAAAACCAAGCTTCTCATTGGCAGCTGTCTAGACGAAAGGTGCATATGCGGGACACCCCTCCCGTGAAGGTTGCAGACGGGTACCTCGATTTTGTAGCGGAAGCCCTATGTTGCCCTTGTACATCCAATTTCAAATTTCCAGCCGTTGTTGGTGGTGACCGGGACTACCGGCAGAAAGGGGGCAATAACAACACAAATGTCAACAAAAATTTGGGTGGCAGACAGAGAGGCAAGCTATCCCTAGAGAGAGGGCCCAACCGAACCCCGTGGCCACACGGCGAACATTTTGACTTGACGCCATCCCGAGTCTCTTGCCTTCCTGTCCTTTCCCACTGCACGCCCGCCCTGACGCCTTCGTCTGGTCGTACTCGGACTCCCTGCGCCAGACCACCTTTCCCCCGTCTACCTCACCTTATGCCTTGGACGGACCTTCTCTTCGGCATCTGCTGAATCCATCCCATCTCCGAACCCCCACCGCCGGATTGCGCTGTTGCCAGATCCAGGACCCTTACACGGACCTAGTTTTCGATTACACGAGAGCTGCATAACCCCACGTTGAGGTTTTCTTTCATCTGCCTGTACATCTGTATAAAAAGAGCAGTCAATATGTCCTCGAGTCGGTACTCCTTGCGCCAGACTCCTAGGTTAGTCAAACAGTGTTCTTTCCCCCCTTTCCCCCTACGATCCTTAAAAGCTCTTGCTCGAAGTACACGTGGTCTGCCACAGAGCACCCGTATCCCGCAGTAATAGTTGCCACAGACTAGAGTCATGGCTGCCCTCGTTCAACCCCCCAATGGGTCAATACCCTACGCAACAATTTTTCCATTAATCTAGCTAACGCACTCACTAGGAAGAAGGAGCTCTTTGACGGCATGGTTGAGACCCCTCGCCGCGTCTCTTCCAGGCGTAAGTCCCCCGAGACTGCTACCGGCGCAGAGGTCACCGAGTCGAAGCCCGAATCCCACGCAGCCCCGAGACGGCGCACTACTGGCAAGTTCCGGGAGGAGATCTCGGGAGACGAGGCCAAGGAGCCCCTCACCAACGGCCACACAAATGGGAACGCAAACGGACATGCGGACGGACATACGAACGGGCATGCAAACGGACAGGCCAATGGACACGTGAAGGAAAAGAAGGAGCATGCCGTGAACAGCAACGGTCACGCCATCAACGGCCACCTCGAGACGAAGACGGAAAAGACGGCAGAGGCCAACGGCCATGTTCACTCCGAGACCAAGGAGGTTCTGCCTGCCTACAAGAAGGGCGAAATCATTGACGGTTGGGAGGTCGGCACGGATCCCAAGATTGACGCCTCTGGCGAGTTCGAGTTTGGCGGCAGCCTCGGCACGCTCTCGCTGATGATCGGTTTCCCTCTGCTCATGTGGTACATGTGGATCGGAGCTACATACTACGACGGCAAGCTGCCTATGCGTGAGGATGGCCAGACCTGGGGCGAATTCGGCAGGCACCTCGTGGACCTTGTCTACACCGGCGCGTTCCCCACTCTCCGTGCCTGGCGCATCTATTGGACCTTCTTCATATTCGAGGGCATCTGCTACTGCGTCCTGCCCGGCATCTGGGCCTGGGGTAAGCCTCTTCCTCACGAGAACGGCAAGCAGCTCAAGTACTTTTGCAACGCCTACGTCAGCTTCTACTTCACCATCTCGGTCATGGCCGTACTCCACTTCACTGGCCTCTTCCCCGTCTATACCTTCATTGACGAGTTCGGACCCCTGATGTCCGTAGCTATTCTGAGCGGCTTCATTGTTTCCTTCATCGCATACTTCTCTGCTCTGTGGAGGGGTGCTCAGCATCGCATGACCGGCTACCCGATCTACGACTTCTTCCTCGGAGCCGAGCTTAACCCCCGCATGTTTGGCATTCTGGACTTCAAGATGTTCTTTGAGGTCCGCATCCCCTGGTTCATCCTCTTCGGTCTCAGCTGTGGTGCTGCCGCCCGTCAGTATGAGAAGTACGGCTACGTCTCGGGCGAGGTGCTCTTCCTGGTCATGGCTCACTACCTGTATGCCAACGCCTGCGCTAAGGGCGAGCAGCTCATTGTTCCCACCTGGTAAGTGTTTCTTCAGGCAAAAATAAGAACCGCTAACTAACACCATTCAGGGACATGTACTACGAGAAGTGGGGCTTCATGCTGATCTTCTGGAACCTTGCCGGCGTTCCCCTCTCGTACTGCCACTGCACAATCTACCTTGCCAACCACCACCCCTCTGAGTACAAGTGGAACCCTTACGCGCTCACACTTCTCTTCGTCTCCTACCTCTTCGTATACTGGATTTGGGACACAACCAACAGCCAGAAGAACTCCTTCCGCGCGCAGGAGCGCGGTCAGCTCACCCAGCGTCGTACCTTCCCCCAGCTGCCCTGGAAGACGGTCAAGAACCCTAAGACAATCACCTCGGCCAAGGGCGACGTCATCCTTGCTGACGGTTGGTACGGCTACGCCCGCAAGATCCACTACACCTGCGATGCCTTCTTCGCCATCTGCTGGGGCCTCATCACGGGCTTCAACAGCCCCTTCCCCTGGTTCTACCCTGTCTTCTTCTGCTGCATGATCGCCCACCGCGCCGCCCGTGACATTTACCGCTGCCGTCAAAAGTACGGTGACGCCTGGACCCAGTACGAGCGCGAGGTTCCCTACCTCTTCATCCCCGTAAGTCTCGAATTTCAGAGCCAAGCGAAGGATATTGCTCAACTGACAATAATGGCAGTACGTCATTTAAATATGATGCAACCTTCTCCTCCCCCAATAAACTATTCCCTAATGCGTGGCGTCTTATGCCATGGCTATCGGGCCATTCTCTTCTGTACATATATGCTTTACTCATCTGGAAGCCAGTGTATCTGCTCTCATACTGGAGGTAATGGAAGCTGACCGGGAAGGTATGGGACATGAAGAAAAAGAAACGAATTGTCGGAGTCAGATATGAGAACGATGCCTGTATAAAAACCTTGTAATCATGCATCACAAGCGGTGTGTCACTTTGTTGGCATTACCGTGTCTTTGTTTGTAGATATATATTATCACGGTGTGCTGCTTGTGTCATAGATTTGATGAACGAGTCAAATGAAGAATGCGGCACTTAAAGCCTGTCCCTCGAACGGAACCCATGGCTGCTACCGCCGAAGTTTATTAGCCTGCAATGCTTTATAGCGAAATGTGAGATTGTGTTGATTTCTGTTTGGTCCTCTATCATGGGAGGGAGCTGGATGGCTCCTCTACACCGGCGCGGCGTGGTTCCTCTCCACAGGTGCCATCCCTCCTCAGGAGCATGTCACTAGATACCTTTAGCTGGGCCTTCCCAACGATGCGAGGCCCATTCTGTCGCTCCCGCGCAAGAGACTCGTTGGAGATCTGGAAGAAGTCGATACAATGGGCGTTCATTATCTACGATCGTTCCAGCGAGCGGCGCCTTCTTTGAGCTTGACCTTTATGCCTCACACAAATACGTTCTTGTCAAAGGATCACGTGCGGAGACAACGATTAGAACCGTAGTTGAGACGCAAAAAAGCATTGTCGCAACCTACACTACAATTCCGATCCCCATCACCGTTGTCTATGCTGAACAACTGCCCCTCCTAAATGAATAGCATACCTTGTTGGCACAATAGTACATATACGTTTGATTCCTGGTCGAAGCAATCCCCGACCGTCCCAAACATTGGCATTTCGTGACCTCTGACCGTTTACACGAGCATGCCGTTAAAACCTTTCATTGAATTTCCGACACGCCTGCTGATGATATTTGTCTGCTCTATGGCAGTGATGCCCGTGCGAGTTGTGGCGTAAGTACATCTTGTCAACCGTTCAACCGAGCATTCGTCGCTGAGGTGTCTTTACTGGCAGACGACGTCCTGGGTGGCCTTGGAGTTCATGAGAAGGGCAACAATCAAGCCGTAAAGACCTGTGAATGAAAGATTAGCAAACTTGCGTGAAACATCATAGCCGGAAAACGTACCCAAGACTTCGGCGAAAATGAGAATCAGAATCATGCCGACGAAGAGACGGGGCTGTTGAGCAGTTCCACGGACACCGGCGTCACCAACGATACCAATGGCGAAACCAGCAGCGAGACCAGCGAGACCGACAGACAGACCAGCACCGAACTGGATGAAACCAGTGTAGAGGGACATCTGCTGGGCAAGACCATCCGAGATGAGCACGGACACGACGAGACCGTAAATAGCAATGATACCAGCCATAATGACGGGAACAATGTCTGTTTGATTCGTTAGCGTATTCTGACGGACATCGGCCACATATGTAAGGCCTTTGATGGTGGTAATGATTCTTTCGTACTCTTGACGATCAAGTCAGGGCGCAGGACACCCATAGCCGAGATACCGACACCGGACTTCGCGGTACCGTAAGAGGCACCAAAGCAGGTGAAGACGATAGCCACGGTGCAACCCATGGCACCGAAAAAGGGCTATTGCGTGTTAGCGATGTTGTGGCCGCGACGTCGAGGTGATCGCCAAATGGCTCAATTGGGGTAGTTGGAAGGGGGCGACGTCATGGATCGGTGAGTCGGGAGGCATGGGGATGACGAACCGCATAGACGGGGCTGTGACAGTATCGCGTTAGTAAATGAGCTTCGAAAACATGATAGAAAACTAGTTGGGCACGTTGGGCATCGAAATGGATGGGGTTGACAGCTTCGACTGATGGATAGGGAGCTTGGAAACGGGGACAACACGGATGTCGACGTTCACGTACCAGAGTTCGGTAGGCATTTTGGCGGTTTGTCGGGTTTCGGACGGAATAGATTCGAAGAAAAAGCGCGAGGAAGTCGGAAATGAAGATATATGCGGCAACAGCTGGGCTGAAGAGGATGGCGGTGATGAGTGTTGGGGCGGCGAGGTTCGATGCTGCGTCGGCGACTGCTCGAGATGAGGTGTGCTTGTTAAGATCTCGTTTCCAGGTTGGCCTTCTGGTTGGTTGCAAGGTTTTGCGGCGCGTTGACAGCTCCATGTCCTTACGTAAGACAAGGAGGAGGCGGTGCTGCGGAAGCCGGCCAAAGGTCCATTCCGAGAGTGGCTTACCTGTGTGGGGCATTTCCACTTCCAAGCGGAACCACCGTCGAAATTTGGGGAAGGTGGGATATTTTTTTTTTTCTGGCTTTACACCGAGACTTTTGGATCTTCACGTCCACCACCCACATCCACCGACCTTTTACCTCACCATCAGGGCGAGCCAACGCAAGGAACCCTGCAATTGAAAATTTCGGTATGTTACGTTTCTTCAGGATCGGTGAGTGACATGATCTAACCATTATTTGCAGACATCTTCTCGACCCAATCCCAACAATGGCTGATCAATCCGCTGCCTGGCCCCTGGCCGACGATGCTCTCCAGCAGGAGATCCTGGACTTGGTCCAGCAGTGCCAGCACTACCGTCAGCTGAAGAAGGGCGGTGCGTTTTATTCCGACTCTCGATCTCTGTTCCGTCACTAACGTTTGTGATACAGCCAACGAGGCCACCAAGACCCTCAATCGTGGTGTCTCCGAGCTCATCATCTTGGCCGCAGATACAAACCCGCTCTCGATTGTTCTTCACCTGCCCCTTCTTGCCGAGGACAAGAACGTCCCCTATGTTTACGTCAAGTCTAAGACCGCCCTTGGCCGTGCCTGCGGTGTTTCCCGCGCCGTGATTGCTGCCAGCATCACCTCCAACGAGGGCAGCGAGCTCGCCGGACCCATCCGCGCTCTCCGCGACAAGGTCGAGAGACTTGCCATCTAAGATACCCCACGATGTAGGATGTTGGGTGGCGTTTATGCGGTAGCTTGGAGGTGCTACAAAACGGTTTGGAATGGAAAAATCTGAATTGTTCATATGTGCCGACTAGTTATTCCTGGGCTGAGGTTACCTACCCAACAGCTTTTCCCTTTCTGCCGCGACGGCGCCATCATCATGAAAATGACGATGCTGCTGATCTCGCAGTAGACTGCTTTAGGGTAGCGGTTCCTAGAAAACCATCAATAAATGTTGTCGAAAATAATTAAAATATTGAATATGCAATGTTCCCAGGTTTTGCATCAAATGGGTGTCTGAGTCGGGACGAGCTACTGCAGTATCGGTAGTGCAGATGGGTCTTTCCACAGGCACTTCAGTCCAATAGCTGAAGAGCAAGGCGAGAGCTTAAAAGCTGGGTGGTGTGGCCAAGACGAGACGCAGTGGACGAATGAGGGCCTGGCGCCTAGACCGAGCCAATAGTTTTAGTGCCCTGTCTCAGGCGTGACCTGAAATGGACTCGCGGCAAGTCATATCAGTGCGTGGGAACTGCACTCTGACGTTAATACCCCGCGGCCCACCACCCATGTCATAGCTACAGTACCATTTTTGGCCGACATTGCTGGGTGAATCAGCAGTTCGTGTTGCGTACAACGTCCCATTCTCCCCTGCGCATCTTCGCCAACACTGCTAATGTTAATACTTCAGCTTTTGATATCACTGATGCCCCCAGTCATTGCCTCATTCGCATAATTTTTAGACTGTCTTGATTGTTTACTCCGCATCCATTGTGCTCCGCGCAAAGAGTAATCCCAGCTCACAAGATGCCTGGTATCGCTCGCAAGATCGTCATCTGCGCGGCGATTGACGGCCTTATCATACAACCATTTGTGACCAAAGGACAGCGCCCCGCGCAACCAGTCAGGATTAAATATGGCGATGCTTCTATAGCCCCCGCATCTCGAGAGCAGGTCCCCGATGTTTCCCAGCCGGACTCTTCCTTTGAGGCATTTGGCGTTATTGGTGTGTACTCCTAGCTCCAGTTGTTACGCGTCCAATTCTAACCGCGGCAAACTGCAGGCCTAATTACGGTCTCGCGTCTGAGCTACCTCATCACAATCACCCGACGCCAGCAAGTGGCTCAAATCTGCGGGTTTCCGATCTACGTCGTCACCGAGGTCGCCGTGACCCCATGCACTTCGCAACAAGAAGCCAGAGAAGCTATCGCGAAGACGACCCGAGAGCTGCAGGACCGCAACACGGATAAAAATGCCGACGACAGTGAAAGCGATGACTACGTTGAGCTTCCCGCGAGCGGTGACGAGGTGGAAGACCCGGCTCAAGAAGCCAAGGCGGACAACGACAAGGGACCCGAAGCAGTGAAGAGCACCGTTGCCAAGGATGTTATTGGCAGAAGAGGCAGTTATGGCAGGTTCGCGCAGACATGGTTCAGTAAGAGTGGATGGACGCAAGACCAGAAGAGCTCGACTGGTTGGAGTGGCGCTGCGCACCAAGTTCGTCGTTCCATCGATCATAGCCCTTCCAAGGCCGCCCCTTCTCAGCCGACGGCAGAGAAAACTAAGGAACCGGCACCGGCGCCTACACTGCTTCCGAAGCTTCTCCGGACAACCCAAATCCTCTTTGGCTCGTCGCGAAGCTTTTTCTTCTCGTACGATTTCGATATCACGCGGAGATGGGCGAGTCGCGCAACGTCGCAGTCCGATGAGTTGCCCTTGCATGAGCGCGTAGACCCAACTTTCTTCTGGAACAAGAATACCCTGAAGCCTTTCGTAGAAGCTGGACAAGATGCCTTGCTACTTCCTCTCATGCAAGGTTTTGTCGGCCAGAAGAGCTTCGTGGTAGACAGTAGCCCCCCCCAACAGGACTCTGGGCCGGGAGATTCTGTGGAATTGTCCACCTTGAAGCATCCCAATAGTGAGATACCTTCCCCGCCGTTAGAGAAGGTCCGCGACTCGGTTGATCTTCGTTCCACCGAGAAGAGGTTTTTCTTAACCATAATCTCCCGCCGTTCAACGCAAAGAGCCGGCTTGAGATACTTGAGACGAGGCATCGACGAGCAAGGTTACGTTGCGAACGCCGTCGAAACGGAACAGGTTCTCTCGAGCACCACCTGGGACAAGTCTTCCAAGATTTACTCCTTCCTTCAGATTCGAGGCAGTATCCCGCTTTTCTTTACGCAGTCGCCTGTCTCCTTAAAGCCCGTGCCAGTGATCCAGCACTCTCCAGAAGCAAACTACAACGCAACAAGGAAGCATCTGGAACGTTTGAGAACAGAATATGGCGCCTTGCAGATTGTCAATCTTGTCGAAAAACATGGTGTAGAGGCAACGGTCGGTAGCCAGTATCAGAAGACTGTGCAACAGTTGAATGAGGAAGAGTTCAAGGGCCAAGATGAGGCTGTAGCATTCGAGTGGTTCGATTTTCACTCGGCCTGCAGAGGAATGAAGTTCGAGAATGTCAGCCAACTTCTCGAAACTATTCGCGACAAGCTGGAGGGATTTGGAAGCACCGTCGAAGAAGATGGCCAAATCAAAACAAAGCAGCAAGGCGTTTTGCGCACCAACTGCATGGACTGCCTTGACAGAACCAACGTATGCCAGAGCTCTTTCGGTAAATTCATGCTTGAAGCCCAACTGAAGGCGGAAGGTTATGACCTTGCTGCCCAGGTAGACCAGCAAACGCAGTGGTTCAACACGCTGTGGGCTGACAACGGCGACGCCGTGTCCAAGCAATATGCGTCGACGGCAGCCATGAAAGGCGATTACACGAGAACAAGGAAGAGGAATCTTGGCGGCACGTTGAACGATCTTGGTCTTTCCTTGACTCGCTATTACAACGGGTGAGTCATTCTTTGCATTATTTCTAATTGATATTTTACTAACGCACTACACAGCATGGTCAATGACTACTTCAGTCAGGCAGCCATTGACTTCCTCTTAGGCAACGTCAACGCAATGGTCTTCCAAGAGTTTGAGGCTGAGATGATGACGAAAGACCCCGCGGTTTCAATGCAGAAAATGCGGGAGCAGGCTATCGAACTGTCACAGAAGCGCGTCATCTCCGATGAAAGTGAGGAGTTCATGGGCGGATGGGTTCTCTTCAGCCCCCATCAATCAGACACCTTGCGAGCTATGCCCTTTGAGGAAGTGGTGCTGCTGTTGACTGATGCTGCCATCTACCTTTGCCGATTTGATTGGAACATGGACAAGGTTTCATCCTTTGAACGGATCGATCTTGCCCACGTCATCGGTATCAAATTTGGCACGTACATCATCTCAACAGTTTCACCCGGTCAGACAGACGAGATGAAGAATGTTGGATTCGTTGTTTCGTACCAGCCGGGCAAGACGGACGTCACGAGAACGAACACCAGAACGTTTTCGAACTTGGGTACTTCGAAAGCCAAAACGGACCGCTCAAACCCCTCGGATCAACAACAGCAACCCCAATCTGCCCTAAGCAGCTTGTTGGGTGGCGGCCGCTCCCAAGCCCCGCCTATCCGCAAGATCGCTTTCAAGGCCCCTTACTCGCAGTCGTCTGCCGCCGTGACGGGAGAGTCGCCGAAACTCAGCGAGATCCAGCAGGTTGTCAGTATTTGCGCGGAAATAGAACGACTGGCGTTCCTGAGCCAGCCCGGCAAGGAGAAGCCAGACACAGAAAGCATCATAGAGAAGGGCGACATAATCTCGGTTGAGGAGGCGAGGCAGAGCACAGGTTTGCTGGACCATATCAGCTACTCTTTAAAGAGACTCGTCTGGGCATAATGGAACTTGCGCCCAAGGTCGACCCCATCATCTTTTTTTTTTCTGGTGTTTAGGGTTTGATGGCCCGGTACAGGTGCATCTGATAGCGCATGTTTTCGAGCGGGATGGGGTAGTGTAGGGAGTCAGCCAGGCGGAACCAGACAGAGTCGTGGGACTCAAGCTTCTCCCACCGACAGCCCTCGACAACGCCCTCCTTCTCCGGCTTAGTGACGAGAGTGTGGTCTATGAGCCACTGCATGGGGTATTTCTTACTCTCCTTGCCAACGGAGGCTTCAGAGTAGCTGCCGGGGCTGTCAACGACAAGGAGCAGAGAGCCCAGGGGCACGATGGCGGTCAGATCAAGGAGGAATGCCGTAGTCTTGCCGATGCCGGCGGTCGTGTACAGCTCGTTGAGCGTGAATAGCAATGTAACAAGTAATGGCCCGTCCCCGAGCTTCTGCGAGAGCTGGTCGCGCGTCATGGCGAGGACGTTCTGCTGCGTAAACGAGGAAGCCAGGCGGCCAGGCTCGATGATGGCCACGTTGGCGGCCCTGGCGGCGGCGTTGGCGTACTGCGACAGCGGCGGCGGGGTTGTGAGGGCGTCATGGAGCTTGGCGACGGCGTCGGCCCACGGCGCCGAGTCGAGGAGGGCCACGGCGCCCCCGAGGGAGCGGGAGGGCTGCTGGGAGAGATAGGTCGCGAAGGCGGCGATCTCTGCGGCCCCGCCCCCTATAGAGAGCGCCCTGATTGACTTTGTGAGCTGCGTGCTCAGCTCGGGCGTGTCGACGGCGGCGGGGTCCACAGGTGAGGTAGGGCCGACGCCTTCCGTCTCCGCGGGTGAAGTGGGGTTGGCGTGCTCGCCCTTATCGTCAGCGACAGCCGCAGCAGAAGCAGCAGCATCCGCGTCGGTGGAGGGACCGTCCCCTCCAGGAGATCCAGTCGCACTAGAGGTCTCGTCCTGGGGGAATGGGGCATCATCCCGGCGAGTATCCCTCGTCGCCTCGACCTTGGCCTCCGCTCCAGCTTCGACGCTGTGGTCAGCCTCGGACCCGACCTCAGCTTCGGCTTCAGGCTTCACCTCGGCCGGTGCCTCAAGCTCCCGTAGATGTTCCTCGATGCCCAGGAACACGGCGGCGTAGCCCAGCGCGCGCGTGGGGCTCCACCGCGCGGCGTAGGCGTCCAGAGCCTCGGGCCGGGCCCGGGCGAAGGCGGCGTCGAAGTCGCGGGCGTACAGCGCGGCCTTGACCTCCTGCAGGACCTCGCCGAGGGCGCGCGAGGTGAGGATGGGGTTGTAGGCGGCGTTGAAGGTGGACAGCACGCGCTGCTGGAGGGGCACGGGCAGAAGCGCGCCGGTGCCGTTAGACTCGGCCGTCGGGGTTGGGACTGATACCTCCTCCTTGGCCTTGGAGGGCTTAGACTTGGCGGCGGCGGTGGGCTTCTTGCTGGGCCTCCTCCCGGACTGATGGCTCGTGTCGCGGATGTTGTGCTCGACCTTCATTTTCTTGCCCATCTTTACGGTATTCGGAGGGGATGCCTGGGTTGGGCTTCCACTTGTCTAGACTTTTTCCTTTTTCTTTTGGTTGCTGCTGGTGTTCACAGAAATCCGATACTCAAAGGTGAGAATTTGATGGAGGGGTAATGGAGGGGCAGTTGCTTTTCTCTTCTTCTTCTTTTCTTCCTTTCTTTTTCTCTTTGTGAACGGCAGAGACTCCTTTGGACTTTGGATTGGGTAAGGCTGGCCGAATGGTCTTTCCCACGTGAGGCTTTACATGAACCTGATGATTTTTTCCCGCTATTTCGTTGTTGGGCTTGACGTTTGTAAGCTCTCACGAAGTTGGTACACGGACTGCGGTCGAACGTGGGTGAGGCGAAAACTCAATCCGGCAGGATCCACACCGCCCGCGTTCACACTCGGCCTTAAGGGCGGGCTCGTGAGAGCCATCGCTACGCTTCGAGTCTTATTTTGATACTGTCTACATATCAAAACTCCGAAATTGAGCGGTTTATCACGCAAATAGAAAACTCAGGTTGCTGGACTCATTGAATCCCACAAAGCATGGGTTGCGCCGCCAAGATCTGCATCGACAGCTCACGGCATGGTTCCGGACACGCCCATCAGAGCTATGGTCAACGCGCCATAAGAAGCCCGGCCCGATTGGCAGCAGGTTTCCAACCTGTGACAGTGAGGTTACTCTCCATTCTGATAAAACGAGGCAGAGCACGCTCTCAATGTCGTGTCCCTAAACCGAGATGAAATCCTATTCGCTTCTCTTCTATTCGCAGCTTCTTCCGCTCAATTTTAACCAACAACGGATACTCTAGGTAGAGTGTACAATCCGCTAACAGGTGGCGGATATGCAGTGTGGAGTGGCTTGATGTCATCCGTAGGGAAGGAGGGAGCTTGGGCCTTGGGGCCGCCTTGATTTGTGCGGATAAATACGAAACTGACCGAATCCCAATGTACATGGCCCGTGCACAACGGATTTCGAGAAGGACGTTGCAAAACGAGCACAGAGCCGTAGATTGAAGGGCGGCATAATCCTAAAACGTTGTGCGATATCTAGGGTCTACCGGTATGTATTCTACCGGTCCCGAGTGCCGCCGCGCTTCTAGGAACAGACAACAATAATCTTCTTCTTCGAGTCAAAAGTCCATCGAAAGGGAGTAACATGTAAAGAGGGGTGGAGGGTGGGATGCGTCGTTTGCATCCCCATCTGTTATGGGATATCTACCTGCTTCAAGTACATATGCATGTGTATCCGTGGCAAGACCATGCGCCTCTTCTTTGCTGGAGCTTCCGCGCTGTCCGTGTTTTATTATTATTGACGGGTGTCGCGCATCTCCATGCAAGGCTCAACGACGTAATAGAGGGGCATCCTTACGCCGAGCAGAAGGCTGCGAGTCGGCCCTGCGACGGAAGGGTGAAGTGGGACAAAAAAGAAACAAAGGGGGAAAAAAAAAACTCATAGCAGACAGGGAGGGTGCCATTATGCAATCAGGGTCCACTGACACGACTGGACCTGACTGAGACGCTCAGCAGTGAGCACGCCGCTAAGGGATTCGACCAGGGGATCCAGGACCCAGAGCTTATCCGCGTCGCCGGCTTGAAACTACACGAGCAAGGAGTGAGACTTGATGTGCGCGGGGTATATTCGGCGCTGGGCTGTCCCTGAGGTGGGCTTACGCTGGCTGGGCGAGGCTTAAAGACCTATAGCCGACGGAGGTCGCAGCAACAGCCGTCCCTCCATCCAGGCATCATGAGTGAATAAAAAGAGCGAGGCTACTGGGCCATGGGGGACTAAGAGGGGCGATCGGGTGGACCGGAGATACCTAAAAGGATGCAGCCATCTCGACAGGATTAGTCAAGCAGCAGTCGATGTTGCCAGCAAGATACCTAAGCGGACCCAGAAGAAAGAGAGGGCCGCTGGTGAAGAGTTGTGGGCATCATGACGACAGACCGTCTCCAGTCTCCATCAGTGCCGTCGTTCGCACGAGTCAAGAACGGGCTCGAAAAAGACTTCTCGGATATGTCAAGAGTCGGTTCATGATGAGGAATACATACGTCACAGACGGAACCCAGACCACCTACCTACGATAGGTACCGATAATGCCATCTGGGTGCTGACTGAGATGTTGCGGTGGTCGTGGGTGGCTAGACTGACGGTTGAACCTGGCCGCCGCGTCCGGTGTGTCTGTCGCCCCGAAGACGGTACGTGGTGGTACAGAAGCAGAGCGAAAGCAGTAGGAGTTGAAGGCCCCGGATGGACTCTTTTCCTTTTCCTTTTTATTTATTTATTTTTTACTCGTCCTTACCTTCCGAGGAGAGAAATGGGCTGTGGACGGAAGCCAGCGGTTCTGTGTTGTCGAAGCCACCAATGCTAGGATGAGCAGGACAAGCAACTGGGTAGCGGGAGGGGCCAAAGGGGACAAGCCGACGCAAACCAGCCCACAGTGCTGTTCCTGCCGAGACGACGAAGTTGTTGAGACTAGCTGGAGGTTACCGTGGTCCCTCTTGTCCTATTTTGCCGAAGCCGAAAACTGGAGATGCGGCGACCAAAAGAAGAAGAAGAAGTGCGACGAAGGGTACCCTCCTCTCCCCACTTCATGTGAAGATGGATCAGGATCTTGAAAGAAAGGGTGTTTTTGCGTGACTTGATCTTTTCTTATTTTTTCTTTTTTCTTTCTCGTCGTTGTTTATTTCGTCTTGGCCTCGAAGCATGCTCTTGCTATGGAATCAATTCCCTGTCAAGACGGCTATTGCCCATTGGCGATGCTGCGGCCCAGAGACCACGAAACTACATTGGAGTACATGCTACATCCCCCATCAGCACAGTTCGCGGCTGACCCCAATTCATGTCTACAGTACTGCCACCGTATAATAGGAGGGGAGGAGGGAGCCTTGTGGTGGGCGTCTTGGTCCAAAGTCCACCACGAGTTCTTCCATGACAACGCCCCGCCCCCCCTCCTGGTGCAGCATTGGACCATACCTTGCCTCGCTGGGTGATACGTTGTGGATTGTGAATTGTGTCTTGCGGTCGATGGGTTTTGTGAGTGAATCCGGCAGCAGCGGCGACAAGCGTCACTTGGTTCGGTCTGGCCATGCTGGCTGCCCCGCCACCCCTCCACCCCACGTCCCCCTCCATGTCCCTCAGGTCCCTGTCCTTTCCCACGTCAGGTCCCCACCAGATGCTCAATAATTACCTCCTGGCCGACATAGGCACGCTGCGCACACACGATTACCACCACTAGTCCCCGTCCCTCTCTCTCCCCTCCTATTTGATCTACGCTTTTCCCAACCGATTGCTCTTTTTAAAACCTCCCCTTCTCCCACCATTCCATTTCCCTTCTTCCTCTTGACCGAGTTCTTCACTTACATAAAAAACTTGGAAGAAAATCAGACATCATGGGTTACACCGAACAAGACTGGAAGGCGATCAACACGATCCGCCTGCTCGCTGTGAGTTTCACCACTCCGCCAGATTTTTTACCCCGCCTACGTTCGTTGAGGCCATTGTTGGCTACCCCGCCACCGGCATCACTCCCAACCGCGCGGGAGGGCGAAAACAGCTCGTCATAAGCTTCTTTCAACGAGCGTTCGTCAACGCGGGCGTCCAAATACCCTCAGATTTGCAGCTCGCTGACGACCTTGCTTTCTAGGTCGATGCCACCTTCAACAGCAACTCCGGCCACCCCGGTGCGCCCATGTACGTATTCACGCGTGTTTTGTGAGAAGTTTGGATCACATCGCTCACCAGTTGATGTTCCAGGGGTATGGCGCCGGTCGCCCACGTTCTGTTCGACAAGTTCATGAAGTTCAACCCCAAGAACCCCAAGTGGTTGAACCGTGACCGCTTCGTCCTCTCGTAAGTTTGAGCACATCCTCGTCCAAAGAGCACCCGAACCCCCCCAAAGTCAGAAGCTGACAGATTCTCCTCAGCAACGGCCACGGCTGCATGCTTCAGTATGCTCTCCTCCACCTCTTCGGCTACGGCGTCACCATCGACGACCTGAAGAAGTTCCGCGTAAGTTTTGCTTCTTTCAATGAGTCGACCAAACCACTAATTGCTGACACCACCAAAAGACGGTCGACAGCATCACCCCCGGTCACCCCGAGGCTCACGACACCCCTGGTATTGAGGTCACCACCGGCCCTCTTGGCCAGGGTATCTCCAACGCTGTTGGTCTGGCCATTGCCCAGGCTCACACCGCCGCCGTCTTCAACAAGGACGGCTTCAACCTGTCCGACAACTACACCTACTGCTTCCTCGGTGACGGTTGCTTGATGGAGGGTGTCTCTGGCGAGGCCTCTTCCCTGGCTGGTCACCTCCAGCTCGGCAACCTGATTGCCATCTACGACGACAACCACATCTCCATTGACGGTGACACCAACGTTGCATTCACTGAGGATGTTGTCAAGAGATACGAGTCCTTCGGCTGGGAGGTTCTCATCGTTGATGACGGTGACAACGATCTCGACTCCATCGAGAAGGCCATCGCCCAGGCCCAGAAGTCCAAGGACAAGCCCACTCTCATCAAGCTGAGAACCACTATCGGTTTCGGCTCCCTCCAGCAGGGCACCCACGGTGTCCACGGCTCTCCCCTCAAGGCCGACGACATTAAGCAGCTCAAGGAGAAGTTTGGCTTCAACCCCGAGCAGTCTTTCGTTGTTCCCCAGGAGGTCTACGACTTGTACAACAAGCACGCCGCTGAGGGTGCTGCTGCTGAGCAGGAGTGGAACAAGCTCTTCGCCAAGTACTCCGAGAAGTACCCCAATGAGGCCAAGGACCTCTCCCGCCGTCTCAAGGGCGACCTCCCCGAGGGCTGGGAGAAGTCTCTCCCCGTCTATACCCCCAGCGACCCCGCCATTGCTTCTCGCAAGCTTTCCGAGACTGTCCTCCAGAAGATCCACCAGGTCGTCCCCGAACTGGTCGGTGGCTCTGCTGACTTGACTGGCTCCAACCTGACCCGCTGGAAGGAGGCTGTCGACTTCCAGGCCCCCGCCACTGGCCTCGGTGACTACTCTGGCCGCTATATCCGCTACGGTGTCCGTGAGCACGGTATGGGTGCCATCATGAACGGTCTCGCCGCCTACGGAACCATCCTGCCCTACGGCGGTACCTTCCTCAACTTCGTCTCTTACGCTGCCGGTGCCGTCCGTCTCTCTGCCCTGTCTCAGGTCCGCACCCTCTGGGTTGCTACCCACGACTCCATCGGTCTTGGTGAGGACGGCCCCACCCACCAGCCTATCGAGACTCTCGCCCACTTCCGTGCCCTCCCCAACAACATGGTCTGGCGCCCTGCCGACGGTAACGAGACCAGCGCCGCTTACTACGTTTCCCTGACCTCCAAGCACACTCCCAGCATCATTGCCCTCTCTCGCCAGAACCTGCCCCAGCTTGAGGGCTCCGTCATCGAGAAGGCCATCAAGGGTGGCTACGTCTTGCACGAGGCCGAGAACGCCGACATCACCCTCGTCTCGACGGGTTCCGAGGTCTGCATCTGCATCGACGCCGTTAAGTACCTCAAGGAGAAGCACAACATCACTGCCCGTGTTGTCTCCATGCCCTGCACGGAGGTCTTCGACTCTCAGCCCAAGGACTACAAGCTGTCCGTACTTCCCGACGGCAAGCCCATCATGTCCGTTGAGGTCATGAGCACCCTCGGCTGGGAAAGATACTCTCACGAGCAGTTCGGCATCAACCGCTTCGGTGCCTCTGGTGCTTACAAGGACGTCTACAAGGCAAGTTTTACAAATTTCCGCACGCACGCACTGCGCAGTAACATTTACTAACAACTTTTGCAGAAGTTCGAGTTCACCCCCGAGGGCATTGCCAAGCGCGCGGTCGCCACTGTCGACTTCTGGAAGGACGTCCCCAACGTCCGCTCTCCTGTCAACCGTGCTTTCCAGCAGATTATTTAAAGCGGCTATATCCATGAGTAGAATTTGTTTAATTGGCGACTGTTCTTTTTTTTTATTAACGCGATGACGGACGTTTACGGGAGAAAATCAACTCGGTATATAGAGGACCGTTAAATCCAAAAGATTATGATTAACGCGAATGCGCTTGCCTGTACGCCTATCCTGCAGCCTGGTGGCTTTCATGATGAATCCTGCCATGACCATAATCTCATCGCTCGTGTCATGAAAAAAACAGAACGCTGGCCGTCTACTCGTCCAAGTAACGGTCTTGCCAAATTTTCCCCACCATAAACTGCCCAACTACTAACGCGTTGTGCTTGCTGTCTTGCGATACGAAGCCGTTTTTAGCTGCGGACCGAGATGGCACATTTCGAACCTAGGCGCCCTGTATCTCCATGCGTATTATCACTGGCCATCACCGAGCGCGTCGCCTGCGCCTTCTTCAGCCGCCCATTCGCGTTGAAACTCCCTGCCCACCCTCTCAAGCCTGCCTGCAGCGCGGCGCGCTTCCATGGCCTCCTCGCCGGTCGCTGCGGCGACGACGCCAACCAGCATGGGCGCCGCGCTCCCCTCGTCCTCGTCCGGCTTTCCTGGGTCGGGTATCGCGCCCATCCCTGCCGACGCCGCGGCGGACGACTCCGCTATCGAGGTGGCACCGGCCGCGACGCCCGACGACACGGGCCTCGAAGGGGCCGAGGAGGAGGCACGGTTATTGGTAGTGGCGGCGGCGGCGGCGGAAGCCTCTCCGCCGTTCGGCAGGGCATCGGCACCGTTCAGGAATGAGGCCAGGACGACGGGGCTGCCGGGGCCGTGTTCGACAATGATGCGCTGGGCGGGGCCGAGGGAGAAGCGGTTCGCGGCGGCGTGGGCGGTCAGGGCGGTCGTAGTCAGGGAGCTGAGGGCCTCGAGCTGGGGCTGAGAGCGCGCCGAGGTCAAAATCGGGTTGAGGGCGCGGTCCGTCAGGTGAAGGGCCAGCGACGGGTGCTGGGAGGGGAGGGAGGCCATTTTGTGTGTGTTGTCCGTCGGGGAGCAGTCTGCGACGGCTGGCGCGGGGTTGCCGTAGGTTTGGTGGGTGTGTGTCAATCGGGATTTGCTGATCTTGGAGGTTTCCTGCGCGAAGGGCAGACGATTGGGATGATTTTCAAGAGAATGTTGACGACCAGGGGGGGTATATTGGCAAGCAGATCGTTACCAGATCGATGTCGAAGGGGAGAAAAGGAAAGGATTTGGGGGGGGGGGGGGGGGGGGGGCTGGCGGAGAGGCTCTTGTGAGGTGCGGTTAGGTACGGGCTACATCTGAGGTGGTTTATTCTGGAGGTAGCGTAGGTAGGTAGGTTGTAGCGCTTAGTTTGTGCCCGTACCCCGCCATTACCCCGCCAAATTACCGCAGCCGACGACAAAGGGTGGAGCCCTCTATACCGCTGTTGAGGGATACCACAATGGACCTACCTCTAGGACACTCTCTTGCGGCGTGTGCTCCTGCGTCCGTGACCCCCACACGCAGAGAGATACAGGGCTTTCTGCATAAATGCGCGATATAATGGGTCGGAAAGGGGAATGACGATGGACCAAAGTTGAGCAATCGGGCCGGACACGGGTCAGGTGCTCACGGAACGCAATGTCGGAGGCTATTCCTATGGCAATGTTTACAGTGTTATCTTCAAGGCCTGGACCTTGATCTCAGCGCCCGCTTGGCGTCGGCTGGCTTGTTGGGGACGCTGCCGGTGCTCCTACGCTTCTCGCGGTTATGCGTGACTGGGCCGACAGCGCTGCCCGAGGTCTTGGGCGACGAACGGGTTTCGTACCGGCCGTCAGCGCTGCGCCGGTGGCGGGAAGACCGAAGACGGGTTTCCGAGGTATAGGTGGAGGGGACTGGGTCAGCGGCCGTCCAGACGTCCACCGCCACAACCTGGTGCTTCTCTGGAGAGGAGACTCGAGGAGGAGGCTCGGCGAAATGGACCGTCTTTTGACTGCGACGCGCGGTCGGCGTCCCTGGCGCTGTTTCCGGGTGAGAAGCTCGTGGTTCCTTGGCCGGCGGGGACGCAACCTCGGCTTCTTCTCCTATCGTAGATAGTTGGTGGCCAACGTCACGGGCGTCATCATTATCTGAGTCGGGCGAGGAGGCTTGGGAAACGTATACCGGTGGTTCATACACCAGTGCTGGAGCGACCTCTGCCACCGTGGGATTGGGCTTCTGGCGCGAACAACGCCGCCGAGTGCGTTGCTGCTGGTAATCGGTCGTGTCCGCCCCAGCGGTTCCACATTCTGGGAATAGGGTACCGTTGAACCAAGCTTCGCGGACCTCGGCGGGCTGGTGGTCCCAGCAGAGACGATTAGTGAAGCGGGCATCGTGAACCCTGACCTGCTCGTTGGAACACTTGGATACCCGACACGTATCTGGTCCTGGGGTCAGATAAAAACGTACGTTCTCGGATGGGGACGGCCAGCGGGACACTCACGTAGATGCTCTTGACAGTATGGGCCCTTGCGGTATCGCGGCCTCGCACATCCCTGCCGCCTACACACAGCGTGCTGAGGGCAGTATCGCGACCTGGACCCCGGATCGCAAGCCTTCTGGCAACTGGGGGCCTGGCAGCGGGAGTTTGGTTTATCGAGATTGCCGCTGCTGTTGGCGCTGGCGGAGCCGCTCGAGACGCACTGCCCCATGACGCCTACCACCGTCCTCGTTTCCTCCTCCAGCGCGCTCCGGGAGGTTGGGTGGTGTTAAAGGAGAGCATTTCTCGAACGACCAAGTCGGCTTCCTATAGTCTGATGCACGAGTAGCATAGAAAGGCGCCAGTGTTTATTTGTTACTGCGGCAGCTCCTCCGATCATCCTAAATGAGGTAAGACGACCCCCTCGAGGGCGGCAGGGCGGGCGTCCTGACGAACAACGGAGCAAAATCCCCTCCCCCCTCCCCTGGTCTGTTGCATCCCGCGCTGGCAGGTAGATAGAGAGGTCCCCTTGTCATTGGAGGCCCGGATGCGCGTGCCGCATTCAGTTCGAGCGCGGGACTGGCGCCAACTGGGCATCGACACAGATAAAACAACAGAGAAGTTGCCAATCACCTTGTGCCCAAGAAGAAGGTTGGAGCTGTTGGGGGGTTTTGGAACGCTGAGAAGAGGATGTAAGGCGCCAACGCATAGGAGATGGTCGAGTGGGCCTGAAGAAGTGCAGGGGAGGGCGCGATTCAGCCGGCCGTCAGCAAGCCAGCGCGTGCTGTAGAGGCTTCACACTCATCGTCACAGACAACAATCTGGTCTCGTTCGACGAGTGTCGTGACCAGATTGTTGTATTGGCGTTGTCTGCCAAGGAACCTACGTAAAGGACGGCGGCAAGAAGCCCCAGGTAAAACAATAAATGTACCCAAGATTGATATATGAGCTGTCGAATCGTTGGTTAACCATACTAGGAATACGTTGGTAGCACGCCAGTGATGAGACTTTGAAGGGCCAGCCTCCCTATTATACAGCGTTATTTGTGATGGACGTTGTCGTGTGCAGGTGTGGGTGGTGAGGGTGTTCGTCAGATAAGAGGGGGTTGTTCCCTGTAAGTCTAGCGTCCCCGATGCCGAGTAAGGCGTGTGTGCCTGCGTCCATCATTGGGGGATGCCCCCCCCTCCCCCTTGCCCACCACAGACACCACGCTTTCACAGGCAGTGGAATGTGGCTTGTTCCTCACGCGAGTGGACAGCTAAGCTGAAGCATCAATTCGCGACCTCTTGAGATTCCACCACGAAACCCTTAACGACGACGGCGACGACATCCACCTCCACCGCAGCTATTGCCACGACCTAACCTCAAATTAACACATCAGCAAATCGAGAACCAACTACATTCAGACATCCGCAATGGCCGACGCCGAGGACAAAGCCAAAGCCGAGAAGCTGGCTGCGGCCAGGAAGAGAGTGAGCCTCCCTAGGTAGCATGCGATTGCTTTTCCATCGCTCACAGCCCATCAGGTGGAAGAGATGAAGAAGAAGAAGACAAAGAAAGCAGGCGCGTCATCAAAGAAGGAGAAGGCCGAAGCGACGGCAGCGGAACCCAGCACCCCCAAGGAAAAGGAATCCGAATCTGGGCCAGCAACTCCGGCCGAGCCCGAGCCCGAGGCAGCCAACGAAGAGATGAAGGAGGACGAGAAAAATGCGACGGAGGCAGTTGCAGAGCAGCCATCTCGGGCCGAACAGTCCAAACTTCGATCTGCCTCCTTCAGGCAAGGGTCCGTATCCGCGGGCAGTGGCCCCCTTTCACCCGGAGCCCAAGGCCCGGAGGGAGAGACTGCCACCGACATCTACCGCAAGCATGTTGCTCGCATAGAAGAGCTCGAGAAGGAGAACAAGCGTCTCGCCAAGGAATCCACAGACTCGGAGAAGAGATGGAAGAAGGCCGAAGAGGAGCTTGCCGATTTGCGCGAGGCAGAGGGCGAAGGCAAGGGCGGCTCAGATGGCCAAGTTGAGAAGCTGGTGAGCATTGCTATGACTCTGACCACCCAGGAGTGCCTGACCAAGTCGCTAACAAGTCGACAACAGAAATCTGAAATCGAGGTTCTCCAGCGCCAGAACTCTCAGCTCCAGCAACAAGCCTCCCGCTCAGGCGCCCGCCATGGCTCTTCGCCATCGGTCTCGATGTCGTCACCCCCAGCCGAGCTGGAAGCCCAACTGGCTTCGAAAACGGCGACGATTGAGTTGATGGAAACCGAGATCTCAAAACTTCGCGCCCAGGTCGAGCGCCAAGCCAGCGGCACATCCTCCGAGCGCGAACAGATTGCAGCTCTGGAAGAGAAGCTTGCACGGTCTGAGAAGGCCGCCACCAAGGCACAGCAAGAACTCACCGACCTGCGGAAGAACCTCGACCGAACGGTGGAAAAGGCTGTCCGTGAGGGCAGCGAGCGCACAAGTGCAGAGACCAAGCTTCGCAGTCTGGAACACGAACTCGCAGCATCCATCGATGCCAGGCTAGAAGCGGAGAAGAAGGCGGATGGCCTGGAGAAGAAGGTCGCGACGTTGACGACGCTACACAAAGAGCAAGACTCGCGGACGCAGACACTACGCAAGGAGAAGGAACGCGCTGAGAAGGAAGTCAGTGAGCTCAAGGCGCGGGTTGAGAGCCTGGAGAGCGAGAACACGAGACTGCGGAGCCGCAAGTCCACTGAAGGGGGTGGCGGCCTGGACGACGACGGTGTTGATGAGCTCGAGAACGAGGAGCGCCTACGCCTCGAGAAGAAGGTCCGCGAACTAGAGGCTGAAGTCTACGAGCTGCGCCATGGACACTGGCAGGAGAAGCGCCGCGAGCTCAACAGCCCCAGCTTTGAGAACGTTGACCTCGGCGGCAGCCGCGGAAACTCGCCGTCCGCGCAGAGGAAACAAGCCGGAGGCATCGGCGACCTCTTCCAAAGCGGCATCAACGCCCTCACCGGCACCGCCGACGACGATTTGCTCGAGGACGACGACATGGACTTTGACGAGGACGCGTTCCGCCGCGCGCAGGAGGAGGACGCCAAGAAGCGTCTCGAGCGCATCAAGGAAATCAAGCGCACGCTCAAGAACTGGGAAGGATGGAGGCTGGACCTCGTCGAGAACCGGCGGGGCGGCTCCGAAGGCATCGGCGAGGTGTTTGAGGTCTAGATGAATAGATTCGACTCTAGCAAATGGCGACTAGCAACGCGATATGTGACTGACCGATAGACCGGAGCTTTCTAAACGAAGCATTTCTGCACCCGCAGGTTTCTAGCAAAATCATGTACAATACAGATAGACCAAGGCCGATATCCAGACTGAAAAACGTCGAGGTTCCGAGCTGATGAGCGCGATGCCTTGCTGCACTGCCTCTTACCCTTGAGACACCACGGCCCCACTCATTCACACCCAAAAAGTCGAACAGGCCGCTCGCCCCGTTACACCGCTGGTACTGATCGTCAGTTGTGATTCCCCATCCTCCCATCCATCCTCCCTGGTCACAAGAGAGCGGAAGACCTTTTGCTCAGGCAAAAAAGAGGAAAAGGAAAAGGCCACCTGTGACGACGCGTGCACAGGGACGCGTAAAGCACCCGGAAGGGGGTACGTCATTCCCTTCGCCTCACCCCAAAGGACAAAAGGAAAGTGAAAAAATATCAGCGAAACACGTAGTGTTGGAACAAAGTCGTGCAGTACCAAAAATGGAAGAAGAAAATAGAAGCACTGGTTTCTGTCTTGAATGTTGCATGATGAATGTGGGCATGCATATTTGCTGTTTAAAGCGTAATGAGAAGAGGAGTGTCATTGTTCTATGGGGTTGAGAATAATCTTTTTTTTTTTCATCTTCATGAAAAAAAAGAAAGAAAGAAAAGCGTGTCCCTGATTCTATGTTACTACAATAAAAGGCTGGACAGAATAAAACGGCAATAGAATTACAAATTTGTGTTTGCGGCAAAGAGGCCATGAGTTGGGGGGGTGGGTTTAGGAAATGGAAATGTACAATCTACCGTTTGCCGCCGTTGCCATAAAAAGAAACCGGAGAAAGTGTGGTATTTCTCTTTTTCCTCCCCTTCTTTCATATCTCCATTTGTTTTTGCTTGTTACTTAACAAAAAAGAAGAAAGGGGGATTGAGAGAAAAGGGGAGAATGAGGAGGGGGATATCAAGAAAGTAGTCGTCATCGTTCTCTGCTTCGCCACTGTGAAAATGAAAATGAACCTCGAAAGATGCCTTGGTAAACGCCTGTTCCCTCTCTCGTAGATTTACCCACATCGCCAGACTGTACACGGGCATGTGACCTTCCGCCCGGAAAAGAGAAATAAAGAGGAGGTATGGATCATGAAAAGCACTTCTGGCCCCGGGAACGCCTCGTTGATGCGTGTTTCGTAAGGATGTTGTGTACGTGGTGTGATGGGTGGTGTTGGGTGTGTGGGGTGTGTATGCCAGAGGGGCACAGAGCAATGTGGCAGGCAGCCTGGAGCGAATCGTCGCGGCCGCCGAAGTCTAGGGTGAGATGTTATCGTAACGCCGTAACGGGAAGTTCGGTAGAAAGCTGTCGCTTTCGGGCAGAGGTGCAGGCGTTGATTCTGATTGTCACAACATCGTGGCGGTGGGAGCGCCCAGGCCGGTGCCGTCGAGATTCGTGCGTAACGCATCTTGCAGCTCCGCAATCTGCGTCATCATGGCGAAGCTGTGCTGGCCCTGTCTGTCAAGCTGTTGGCGAAGCTCCTCATTCTCCTGACGCACGCGCTTGATCTCCTCGCGCAGCTCGTCCAGCCCGGCGTCGGAGCTCTTCCTCGAGCGCTTCCGCTTGTTCCCTGCGCCGAAGATGCCAGCCTTCTCGCTGTCGCCGTCGCTGCCTGTCTGGATGTCCTCCTGAACCGTGCTAGATCCATCACTTGTGTGTACTCGCCGTAGGTGCTCGTTGAGGTTCTCCTGGCGCGAAAAGCCCTTGCCTGTGTGGCGTTTGCAGTTCGGATGCGGGCAGTTCACTGTGTTCTTAGGACCGCCGTGCTTGCCGTGTACCTCGCGCTCATGGCGGAGGAGACCGCCGGAGTAGGTGAAGCCCGGGAGCTTTTCGCAGCCTTCGGCGGCGCATCGGTAGGGTCGCTCATGCTTGTCCATGTGCTTGCTGGCAAGGGGAGAATGATTAGCATAATCCTGGGGTGGCAAGGTTTCGGGTGCGCAGAACTCACCTCCATTCGCACTTCCGTGTGAAGACCTGCGTCTCTTCTGTGCATCCCGGAAAGGTGCAGTAAAACTTTCCGTCCGCCTGTTTCGTCACCTCGCGCTCAGGTTTGGGTATGCATTTGACTCTCGAAGAAGGAGTCGAGGCTTCGCCGTCATCCTTGTTGTTTGACGGCAGAGGCTCGGGTAGCGCAGGAGGAAGTTGCGAGGGAAGAGACGCAAGTGTCGGGGGAGCGGAGAGATCGAGTCGCGTAGCATCAGGGACGCCTACAGAGCCATCGTCAAGACCCTCCGGCATCAGAGACCGATCGTCTCCGAGCATGGAAGCTGTCGGGTTGTAGGAAGCCAGGTCGGGGACGTCGGTCGCTTGGTATTGCCCTGTCGGATCGACATTGTGATCGTGATCCGGGTCACCGATCGGAGGATAGGACCCATCATGCATGAAGTTCCGGGGTTCGTAGACGACGCTCATCATGGATGCGATGTGGTGGATACCGGATGAAGCTTGCTACGGATGGGAAATGATGGCCGGAGGATGTCGTGACCAGCGGGCAGAAAGAAAAGCCGCGTCTTCCGCGTCTTCCACCGAAATCCGCAATCAAGACCGAAGAAAATGATTGATGAAGAGAAGGAAGGGGGAGGTGGGAAAGTTGCAGTTTGGGTGTGCTGCAACTGCGGTTGCACTTTTTCGTACGTACTCGAGAACGCGTGCTTGTCAAGCTTGCGACTTGCGATGAGCTTCTGATGCTGCGAAGGCACAAGAGTCGATTTGGCCTGAAAATTCCGGCTGGCAAATTTGAGCGGAAGTTGTGGAAGCTGTGGAAGCTACGGGTGGCTTCAGCCACAGAACAATTAATCAGCTCTAAAACTTACCACGTGATCCTTACTCGCCACTCTGCTACAGAGGCCCACTTTGCGTGCTCGTTGTGGCGCAGGACAGCAGAAGGCAGAAGCTGGGAGCATGTGAAGGAACCCACTCACTCTCTCAAAGAACAACTATCAGTTGCGGGTTAATCAACATTGATGCACTGCAAATAAAGGCGATTCGGTAGGTAACTCTTACCTCGAGCGGCAGGTGGATAATTATATGGTTGTGGGCCCCTCTGGATTTTAGGCGGCAGACTGCGTATGACTTGGTTCTTCAGCGATGGTGATGGCGATGCCTGGTATCGCTGAGTCACAGCGGCAACACGGTTGGCCTCAAGGCTGCCATGTCATTACAGGGGTCTGCGCCTGCCTTCCTGGAGCTGGGTTGGTCCCGTGATAGGTATGTCTACCCTGATGAGCAATGGTTTCGTGGTTTAGTCCAAGTCTGCAAGAAGGCGTTGGAGAGGGGCTCACCTGCTTACGGAAGTCTCTCATAGATATGAACATTCCCGATTCCTATGATTGGTAATCTCTAGAGATATGGAGCCGCAATCGAGCATGGCGCGGGCCAATGTAGATATTCACAGCCGCAATGATGCCGTTTGACGGGGTCAGTCATGGGAGCCTCAGCAACTGTTGGCTGCGCCGATGGTGGTAGGCCTAGTGATGGCTCTCGGTGACAACCAGGGACCCGGTGGGCGTTTTGACTGGTGTAAGTGGTTTCCTTCGAAATCCCAAGCGAAATATGCAAATCCTCTGTAGGCATCGGCAGGCTTTCCTAGATGAGGCGTGTTACAAGTGCTAATGTGATCTACGCAAACAAGCAGGTTTCGTGAGGACCTACACAGCCAGATGGCTGGCACTTGCCATTGGATCTCATCGTGAGCTTGCCTACAGTGATTCACTAACTGTACGATGATATCCTTTCGCAATCGCGCGTCTTGGCCCTGCATGTGACGTGAAGGATAGGAAACGGTTCACACTACCTCCCTCTTTGGGACCCGGGCTGTCACCCTCTCGCAGTTCGCGTACCACTAGGTTGGGTTGCCAGAAGCTGTTGCTGTTGGTCGGCCACTAGCCGAGAAGATGGGTGCCTATTCTTTACCTTGGCCGGTGACTGAGTTGGGTATCGTGATGGAGCTGCGAGGGGGACAGTGTGTAGGGCAACCCCGCGCTGACGGGGGTCCGGACTCCTTCAAGGTGGATCGTCTAGAGCTCTTTCAGGGAGGTAGTTGGCTACGGAAATGGCTGCTGGATACGAGAGTCCGCATTGAGGCAACTGTGTACCGTAGTGGTATCTGACGGCATAACAGCAAGGCAGCTCGAGAGGGGGGTCGAACAGGCAGCTGGCCTGACAATGATACACAAAGTGATACAAAAGGTTGAAGACAAGAGCTCGGAGGCCAACGGCAGAGCCAGGGCAAGTCCAGTGTCATGAAGTCTGAATAGCATGTACAATTGGCACACGATAAACAAGAAACAAGGAGAGAAGTTCGAGCTGGTGACAGGATATGAGACTGTGAGTGGGGTCGTGGTGAGGAGAAGGGGAAGGAGATGAGCCTCTGCCCTCAGTTCTGAGGCAGACTTTTTGATGCCTTAAGTTGGCGGCGGCTGAGGGCATCCGCCAGGCACTCAATCATATGGATGCAAGTCAGGAACAAGCATAAAGAACGCACTGCTGCTCATGAATGAGAATGCAATGGCAATACCGTTTGTGATCTTAGGCAATTATCACAAGCAAGATGTTGTGAGGTTGAAGCAACGTCGACTGTCAAGAACATACCCCGCTGCCACAAGGTCTCTAGTCAATTCCGTCATGGCTCAACACAACATGACAATACAATAACTCAAATAAGCCGTATTTTCACTGAAAGCGACAGACTCTGTTTAATGTTCAATCATCGCTCAGTGATACAGCCGGCTCTGTGTCTGTCGTGTATCCTCACTCCTCGAAGCGCTGTTCGTGGTCTTTGAGCATCCCGCCGGCCACTCGCCATACAGAGTCATTGGACTGGTGCGTACATAATGATATGACAGCGTGGCAAGTGGGCTCGCTCTCGTGACCGAGTCTGGAGTCGCTAAAAGGCGGAAATGTGGGCTTCACCACGGCCACGGACAAATGACAGCGACAGACGGAAGGGTGGAGCGCCATTTTCTGCTGGGCAGCTCCCTAGTGTGCATCGCTCTCTCCCTCGGAAGAATGACACGACCTACCTAGGCAAGAACCGCCCGGTGAAAAAGCCCTCTAGCCGCTATTCGAGAGGTGCCCCACTATCAGCGAGGAAGCCAAGCGTGCGAAGTGACGCTTTTCACAAAATAAAACTAAAACCATCGCGTGATATTATCTACCGCTCGTCCGGAACATTGGTTCTGATTTTCCCCATCACACTTGATCGTCCATCTCAACGCACATCTCACGCCAGTTGTTGCTTTCTCTGCACACGCAAATTCGAGCCCACTGGAACAATATCCATTAGTGACCTTCATTTCCCCATCCTCCTGTGAGAGTGGCCAGAAAAAGACTTGTAGCACGCACCCCCATTGCTTCGTAGTCAAGTATGGCTTCCCTACATGGAGAGGCGCATGTCGCCGATGCTAAGCAACCCAATGTGTTCAGCATTGCGGCTTCCTCGTCGGGCATCGCCACTCCAGCTGGTCCATCGCATCAGGAGGAGGAAGAGTATGATGCCGAGACGGTCGAGAAGGTCTACAGGTATGCCTTCTAAGCAAATTTCTGTCTTCTATCGCTACTGCGGCTGCTGTCGGGCACACCAGTGCTAACCGATGTTTAGGAAGCTCGACCTTCGCATCATTCCAGGTGACTATATCATCCAACTCATCAAATGAATCAGCCTCTAACGTTGTTGCAGCTTTTTGGTGTCTTTACTTCGTCTGTTCGGCTATCAGATCCAACATCGGTATCGCGCAGACCATGAACGCAGCACAGGGCCATGACTTGATGGCAATTCTCGGTCTGACGGCTCGGGATACTTCAACTGCTTTGGCTCTCTTCTACGTGGCATATGTCATATTTGACTGTCCTTCAAATCTCGTCATGGCCAAGTTAAGCCCCCGAATCTGGATGGCTCGCATTGTTATTGCGACTGGTATCATTGGCACCTGTTTCGCTGCCGTTCAGAGTGCCTGGAGTCTCAAGTATGTCTCGTGCACGCCAATTATTGACTGAAACTGACTGTTTCAGGCTACTTCGGTTCTTGCTGGGTGTAGTCATTGCAGGCATGTGGCCAGGAATGTCTTATTACCTGACCTTGTTCTACCCGCCCTCCCGGACGGGCAAGAGAATCGGCATGTACTTTACAGCTGCCCAGCTCTCAGCTGCCGTCGTTGGTCTCGTGTCTGCCGGCTTTCAGCTCATGGATGGCCTCGGAGGCCTGGTTGGTTTCCGCTGGATGTTTCTCATCTACGGACTGGTCGCCGTTGTGCTTGGTTTCTCTTTGCTTTGGTGGCTTCCTGACCGTCCCCTCCCCCCTGGCCAGAAGCGACAACGATCGAGCTGGCTGAAATGGCTTCCACCCACTCCAGAAGCGCTCTCCGGCCAGGACGCTGTCATTCACTACCATGAACTTCGTAGGGTCTACCACCCTAGACCCTGGACCCTCAGAGATCTGGTCAGGGTTCTCATCGATTGGCGTCTTTGGCCTCTAACCTTTATGTATTTCGGAGTCGTTGGCGTCGGTATCGGAACTCAACTTTACGGGTCCGTTATCATTCGCTCCATAGTTCCCACGGCATCAAGCATTGAAATCAGCTTGCTCTTTGCCCCTATCTGGATCGTGAGTCCGTCCCGTGCCCCTTCCTTTTTGCGCCAGCTAACCGGGTCTAGATGGATCTGATTGCGATTCTACTGGTGATGCCAATTTCTGATCGCTTCCACCGCCACCGACCTTTCATCTTCTCGGCCGCTGTGTGCATCCAGATCACTGGCCTGCTCGTTGTAACTTTTGCCCTTGACAACGGATGGGCCCGATATGGCGGACTTTTGATGGTCGGGTTCGGCCTGGGCCCAACAGTCCCCAACTGCATGACTTGGACAAATGAGATCTTCCAACGTCGCCATGGCGAGGTCGGGGTTGCGGCCGCTACTGCCTTGGTGTCCGGTCTTGGAAATCTCGGAAGTATCGTTACTACTTACGCCCTTTACACGGGATGGCCAGAGGACGCTGCCAAGGGCCGTTACCAGTACCGTCGCAGCAACTACGCAATGATCGGCATCCTCTGCTTGAGCATTCTCAGCAGCTTCGCCATGTTCTTCTTGCTGAAAATCCTGGGTAACGAGCCCGCGAACAAGATCTCAAACACGTACTCGTCCTCCGAGATTGAGGATGGTGCCGCCAGACGTGAGGCCCGAGAACGGGGTTTCGGAAACCTACTCCCTCGGAACCGTCAACGCCAGGAAGCCTGAAAGGCTTCCAAACGGACGTTAGGTTGACCACCAACTGAAGCAAAGCAACGCACCAGGTAATCCAACAGCCAGCCGACAATGAATCCGACGTCCTACTCATGAGCATTTTAACCTGCCAATTTTTTTCTCCATGCCATTCATTGCCTGGCATTTCTTCTTCTTCTTCTTCTTTTTCTTTTTTCTTTTATTTGACAAATCATAAAAACTTACTGCAAATACTCATTCAAAGTTTGAATATGCGTTTCGTCCGAGGAAAGGCTCGCGTTTACGACGCCGCCGGGCGAAGAGCGGCGGAGAAACAAAGCTGGATAACTCGACAGCGACAGTGCTTCTACGCCATTGCTGGGAAACGGCGTATTGGACTAGAGGTGGTGGCCAGCGACAATGCCCCTGCGCTATCGCAGATCGCCCGCCTAATGGGGAGAGCGGGGAGGGGGGAACAAAAAGGAATGATGTGAGGTGACTTGGAAACAAGCAGAGAGGTTGGCGGCGGAGGAGTTTTACGTTTCTGTTTTGCCTTTTGATGATACCCGTACGTGTTTGGATACGCTGTTGTTCGAGATATTTGCCACTCGACCGCGAAAGTGCTGCTACGCCATCGCTGGAACTGCGTGTTGAACCGAGGCAACGACGGCGACAATGCTACTACGCTATCGTTAGTCCTGCCTCGTGGGCGCGCCTTGCGAATTCGACTTCTATATACGATGTTACTTTACGGCTCACCGGCTTTCTCGCCTGGTGGCTGAATCCAGTGGGAGGGACAACTGGCTGGCCGGTCTTTCATAGTAAAAAATTGAGCCCTGTTTCCCCTCATTCAGATCCTCGGGCATTTGAAACAAGGCGAGACTCAAGGCTCGTCCTGTTTGGAATGCCACCGGTAGGACGGACGCGACTCAACAAGGCTCTCTCGCGCCTGGACAGACGTGACACTCTTAAAAAAGGTACAGCATACGAGACAGCGGAAGTGCGACGGAACCAGGCCCTGCAAGAAGAGCGTCACTTTCCTCCTCCCGCTGAAGCTATTCCCAATAGGCGTGACTATCGCCAGGAATTCAACCAGTAAAGGAGTGTAAAACCTCAACCTTCAGCAATCGGGACTGACTGCTTGGCTCCCGCTAATGTGCCGCGAAGCCATATCTACCAATGCCTGCTACATGCACGGTGAGTCGTATCGAAGCCCCCTAAAACCTGGCGTTTTACTAGTTTCTTGATGTCAGAGACGATGCACCGAAGGAGGTGCTGATGAGCGACTGCTCCGCAGACCATAGAGCCCCCCCCAAAAGAAGACGAGTAAGTCTACTTCCTGGGACGAAGAGTATACAAGTTCAGGCCTGGGCGAAGTTCGCTGATGGCATTATATCCTCCTTCCGATCGCCGGGCTCTCCCTATCCTGTGTACTCTGGCGGCCGAAGCCCACAGATTGCCACGCGGCAATACACACGACTAAGACGAAGGCGGCCAGGAGAAGAAGAGCGCCAGCAAAATCGAAGACAACATCACATCCACAGACACCGCAGCACCGTCGGCCCGCAGCCGGGTCCAGTCCGTCATCCTGTTGCTGGAGCCCTGCATGGCCGTCTTCCTCGCGGCTCTCGACGCCGTCCGGCATTTCGCCTTTCGCTGCGTTGCTGCCCGTCGCTTTATTGCTTCCTTCTGACATACCGTTGTTGTCCGCATTGTTGCCGCCTTCCGTTATATTTATCTGCCCTATTGCCAACGTCTGACGTAATAGGACTCTCCTTATTGCCGAGGAGGGTACTAGGCAGGCCTCGACTAAGGTAGAAGGGAGAGGGGAGCGCAAAGACAACGTCTCAACATAACCGGAGGTGTACCTCATGCCGGGGGCCTCGGGGCAAGGCGGCTATGGCGGCGATGGCGGCGATGGAAGAGGCTGGGTACGGGGCAGAGGGGCGCGGTGAGGGCAGTGGTGGCGGACGGGATCAGCAAGCCGTGGATCTCCTTCAGCGTCGCGTCGGTGGTCTGCCTGGCGGCCACGCTGCTCGCCAGGCACGTCGAGCTGAGCCGGTCACACACGGAGACGAAGACAGGATTGGAGGCGGAGGGCGAGGGAAGGTACACAGGATACAGAGGTGTGAGACCAAGGTTGCGCCTAGGGCAGAGCAACAGTGTGAATTGAAGGCTGCTTTCTGTAACTATACGATCGATGGTTTGCACAAACAGAGGGGATTTTGGAGCGGGCGCTGTAGATCATTGTTCTCAGCTGGATCGATCTGGCCGTCACAAAACATGGGCAAGGAAGACGAGTTCTCGCAGCAGGTATACACAATACTTCGTGATGTCTTTTGCCTGCCTGGGAGTACATCCTGAATGTGGATGGCGCCAGCCATTCTTCATTGAACTGGAAGCTTAGATGGCTCCTTCTACTTACTATTGGAGAATCTAGGATGAACTTGCTGAGGTCACCTACTAAGGTCAAAGAAGCCGAATCCGGCGGGAGGTGAAATGATGCGATGAGGTGGTGTGAGGTGAGGTGAGGCGAAGTGATGTGAGTTACCCCGCTTGTACATATGCTCACTGTATTAGTGACTGACTCTATCTGGGCCAAACCAATGAGCATGCTGTAAAGTCACCGATATCCTCGCCGCGATTCCTAGTCTAATAGGCATCCCAGCAGGCAACCATAAAAATATTGAATCTTACGCTCGTCCCTTTACAATGCCGGGACTCACAACCAAAGGTTTCCAGCTTTCCTTCTGGCGCCTGAGGACACATTTGAACCTCCAATGGCGAGAATGAATAGGAATAATGGCTTTTCTTCGTTTGAGAGGACAAGTAGCCGATAGCTCAGCCCTGAGGCCAAATCTACACCGCCACCCCAAGTGGGCACGGCCGTGATCCGACGACAATCCAAGCCAAGCAGGCTGCGCCTTTCGTCTGTCCAGGCAGCGATATTCTCTTCCTGAGAACACCTATGCCAATTCTCCTCAAAATCAGATCTCTCTCTTTACTTTCTTCAGTCCTCGCTACGCAACATCCTAGAGCGTCAACGACACAGTAGAATAACACATTGTCATATCCAGCACCAACGTGCCCAGCGGCTCATACACTCCAGTCTCACGATGTCCCCCTCCAACCTCACTCCAGCGGCCCCTGAATCTAAGCCCAAGGCCAAGCCGCGCACACGGGTCGCAAACAACCCTCAAAAGACTTCATACTCCTTCAACCACGTCCCCATCCCCGAAGACTTCCTCTCTGGCCCTCCGCCCGCAGACGCGCCCCCCGTGACCCTCGAGAAGATAGATTGGTCCACGTCCCCACTCCCAGAGAACGGAACCCTGTACGCTGTGGTCCTCGACAACGTCCTCACGCCGGGGGAGTGTGCGCAGCTGATCCGCATGGCGGAGGACAGCGCGGCAGGCCGGGGCGAGAGCGACGACGAGGCGTGGCAGCCGGCAATGGTAAACATCGGGCAAGGGTGGGAGATCCTCGAGCCCGAGTACCGGAACAGCGACCGCATCATCTGGGATCAGCAGGAGATCGTCGACCGGTTGTGGCGGCGGTGCCGGCTCGCGCCGGGGCTGGAGGCGCAGCTGGCGGAGGTAGACGGGTCGCGCAACCCCGCCAAGGGGCAGGAGACGAGGTGGGTGTTTGACAAGTTCAACAAGCGGATGAGGTTCTTAAAGTATCAAAAAGGACAGTTTTTCAGACGTGAGTTTTTACTTTCCCTTTTTGTCTTCTTCTTTACCCTATCTATTCCCTCTCCATCCCTCGCCCGATATGGGGTGGGTTTCCAACCCGAGGGATGGAGATAGAGAGAGGCTGATCTTATGACTGACGCGGGAGACGACAGCGCACTGCGACGGCTCCTACAGCGAGGAGGGTGAGGACGGAACCGTCTACCGGACGCACTATACCGTCCAGCTCTACCTCAACGATTCAGTAGCCGGGGCGGGTGGGGGCGAGGGCGCGGCGGACCTCGTGGGAGGCGCAACGTCGTTCCTGTCGGGCGACGAAAAGAGGAAGGTTGACGTCGACCCGAGGGCCGGCAGGGTGCTCATCTTTCAGCATAGCCGGCTATACCACTGCGGCGACGACGTCGTTCAGGGGACCAAGTACGCCATGCGGACGGACATCTTGTACCGCCTCGTAATGACGAAGATTCAGACCAGCGAGGTTGCAGAGAGCAAGGGCCAGTCTGGGAGCGGGTGAATATGAACGAGCCTGAGGAATTTCGGATGTGGCATGTTAGCAAAGAGGGAGCGCTCCGAGTGTCGTTCTGTTAGATAGTATTGGTTATGTTTGCGACTTATTTGTCGTCGATGAACAAGGCACAGAGAGAGTACAAGAGCCGATACAAAGCTTATTTTTCACTGCTCAATCCCGACTCGAGATCGAATTGACAAAAAGAACGACAATTCGTCCGATATGCAAGCAAACAAACATGTTGTGCAAAAATCAAAAGAATTGCCTCGTGGCGGAATCGAACCGCCGATCTTCTCATGACACTAGAGTACTAGTGAGACGCTATACCACTTAGCCAACAAGGCCTCTCATTGGATAGTAATTGCGCGCTGATATTACGTATATAATTGAAACTCATCATAGAAACCTCTGGCTTGTATCCACTTCTCTGTCTCCTATTATTCAGCATACCATCGAACACTCGTGATACTCTAAAAAAAAGATCCAGTTTTCTTTTCCGGCGTCGTCGGAGATTGGCGCAGCAAGCGACCCTCCGGAATTCTTGTGCCGATCTAGCCAGACTCCGTGTGGAGCTCTAGTCAGGGCCCCTTGGGTCGGATCGCCAGCGACGGGCGTGGTGGAGAGGCCATTCTGGGGCTGTGCAAGGAAATTTACGGCGGGTCGGAATTGGAGAGGGTGGTTGATGCATATCGAATCCTCAAAAGCTCTCTGTCGAGTTGTCAATTTACGAGGCGCTTTATGGCTGGGAGACAAGGCAGCGGGAGAGACGGGTAAGCGCATGCGCAGCCTTGGCATCTGGGAGGTGCTCTAGTCGACAGAGGCAGCAGGTTCAGCCTTACAGGGCATGACGATGGACATTCATATGGCTTGGCAAGATATCTGGATGGGGATTGTCGAGGCCAAAACATTGAGGAGGCGTGAGATGGAATTGTGAGTCAAGTGTGTCAGTAACCCCCTTTATTCATCGCAGGGCAAAGAGGCTGTGCAAGGCCACGTCGTCGGCGCGTAACGACGACGAGATTACCTCGCCCAAGCTTTTCGGAAATGTTCGACGGAACAGCAGCCGACGTGCAAGCACACTTTCCCCCAAACAACTAGGCCAGACCTGCGCGCCCAGTGGATAGTTCCAGCGCCTTGAGCGCCAAGGGAATGCCCAGGCGCGTAGATCGCGGGAGGGCAGAGATTTGGAACATGGGCGGACACGGCCAAGGGAGCTAGCAGAGCCAAGAACCCAAGGACCCAAGGAGAGAGCAGGCGATCGCGTCGATGTAGGTAGGGAAAAGCTTGTTCTGGCATCTCAGTCCTGGATCGTTATTTGGCTTTGTTTTACAAGGGCGAAGCCTCGCAGCCACTCTCCTAAGAGCTGGTGAGGACAAGCGGCTATCGGACCGGTCGTCAGTGGACGGGGGAAAAAACACGGCGAGGGCGAATTCAACTCAGTTAAGTGCATGACGGAGGCCACTGTATTTACGCTATTTGCAGCCGTCTCTGACCAACCGAGACCCGCATTTCATCATAGCGAAAAGGAGGGATTGAGTCAGGGATGGCTGCGCCATGGGAAGGCCGGAGAAGGAATCTAAGTGGCTGGAAAGCTAGTCATGTGACCATACTCGTGATCCCAACTCAGGGGGTTTCCCTTCTCCTTTGGCCTTTGATCTTGTTGTCGTGCCATGGGCGGCGGTGCGCCACCATGGCTCCCTGGCCGGCGTCTCAGGAGGTACCGGTACCTCAATCGCATATCCATTGCTCTCAACACCGCAAGATTGATCAGAAAAGAGCGACATGACCAACATCAAGAAGATGGAAAGAAAAAAGGCCAAGAGAAAGGTGGCACATGGCATTACACTCCTACTTTACGACGGTTTATGACAGCTGTGCGCCTTCACCCCGGTCGCTTGGCATGTCGGGCCCTGTCCTGGATCGCCAAGACCACGGGACAAGACGTGGAAAGACTTGGAATTTGCTTGTTTCCCACGCTGGCGACTTGGCGCGCCTGGGCGCTGCGTGCCATACCGCGAACTGCCGTCGCGGAAGCACAGGAAGCAAACAGGAACAGGAAAAGGGCGACCGCCACCGCCCGAAAACACACACCACTGAGGTCACAGTTATTCAACGCCCGTTGAGGCATGTGCGCGAGCTATTGTTTCAATCCGCGTTCCCTGCTGGCAGACACATACGTCCACGGTACACATACCTGACACACACACACAGAGGATACGAGAGACATCTGCTGGTCTGGTTCACTGCCACCCAGGGCGCCGGCTCAGAAGGCACGCCTTAATTAGCCTACCTGTTCGTATTTTGCCATGGCCCGTTACCCGGCTTTGATTACCTACGATGTAGGTACGCCTAGGTAGGTAGAGGTACCTTCGGTAGGTGGGTAGGTAGGTAGCCACCATTAGCTGCTGGCCTGCGTGGCCTACCTATGTGAAGAATGTACCGTTACCCGACATAGGCTGCTTTTCCTGGCCCCTTCCCACCCTTGCTCCGCTCATTCCCGTACCGATACTCTGCACCGTCCCGGGATCCCTCCCCTCTCGATCCTCCCACTTGCATCCGCCCGATGGTCCAACTACCTACCTGACATTAGCACACCCCTTCGCTGTCACTCATTCTTCCCCCGACCCTCTTCCTTCTCCTCGATTTCCCTCCACGTTCCCTGCTCGTCTCCTTTCCTTTCTCTCCTTCACCCACTCGTTTGTCTGTTCCGAACCCACAAGACACAGTATCCAGCGACTCCCGACGGCTGGCACTCACTCTACGTCGTCGCCGATTCTCCTCGCCCAGCGCAATCGAAATACTCGCATGATACGCCGACCGAGAACGATCGCGCCGCATCTTCGAGGGAATTGACTTTCCTGCCCGGTCCCCTTTCCTTTCCTCCGTCTCACCCAGTCGTTCGTCTCAAACATAACGTCATCCGACCTTCACCACCATGAGGCACTCCCTTATCGCCCGTGTTGCGACAGCACTTCTCGCCTCCAGCGGTTTCGCCAACGCCTACTACTCCATCGCCTCCGATGGTACTTCCTCCCACGCCCCGGCACTGTACTCAGCTCCTCGATACCGACATTACTAACACCGCCTCCAGATGACATCAGGTCAGCGGGCAAGGACCTTGCGTATGATCTCATGAAGTTCTACGATGGCAACCTGACGGGCCACACGCCCGGTATCTTGCCTGGCCCTCCGCCTGCTGGCGATTACTACTGGTGGGAGGCCGGTGCCATGTGGGGAACCATGATTGACTACTGGCACTGGACGGGCGATTCCACCTATAATGACGTCGTCATGCAAGCCATGCTGCATCAGGTCGGACCCAACCGTGATTACATGCCGCCCAACTACACGGCCTCGCTGGGTAACGACGACCAAGGTTTCTGGGGCATGTCCGCCATGACCGCTGCTGAGGATGGCTTCCCGAACCCGCCTGAAGACCAGGCCCAATGGCTTGCCCTGGCCCAAGCCGTCTTTAACACCATGGCCAGCCCGGATAGACATGACAATACGTGTGGAGGCGGTCTCCGTTGGCAGATTCCCTTTTCCAACAACGGATACAACTACAAGAACAGTAAGGCCGACTGACGGCCCGCCTTGACCTATGAATTTGCGACTGACCAAAGTTCAGGCATTGCAAACGGCTGCTTCTTCAATATTGGCGCCAGACTCGCTCGCTACACCAAGAACCAGACCTATGCTGACTGGGCCGAGAAGACTTGGGACTGGATGAGGGGCGTGGGCTTCATGGACGCCGACTATAACATCTACGACGGTGGTCATGTCGAGCAGAACTGCACCGACATCAACAAGGCCCAATTCTCTTACAACAACGGTGTTTTCCTCCTCGGCGCCGCCATGATGTACAACTACGTAAGTAGTCGCTCGGTGCCCGAACTCGTATGGGGGGTTAAGCTAACCTGGTGACAGACGGACGGCTCTGATAAATGGAAGACACGCCTTGACGGTCTCCTCAAGGCCACCTTCAGCTTGTTCTTTCCGAACAACATTGCTGTTGAGGTTGCTTGTGAGGAGCACAACACTTGCACCACTGACATGTTGAGTTTCAAAGGCTACGTTGCTCGGTGGTTGTCGATCGTGACCCAGGTCGCACCCTATACCGCCCCGACGGTGCTACCAATCCTCAAGACCTCGACGGAAGCTGCTGTCAAGCAGTGTACAGGGCAAGCCAACCAGCGAACGTGCGGCTTCAAATGGAGTTCAGGCGTCTATGATGGCACTATTGGAGTCGGCCAGCAGATGAACGTTCTAGCTGCGGTATCTTCCCAACTCATCAGCGAGGCCAAGCCCCCATTGACGAATACCACGGGCGGTATCTCCAAGGGAGATCCCAACGCCGGAAGTCACTCGGACAACCTACTAGGAGAGGAGACCCCAATAACAACGGCGGACAAGGCCGGCGCCGGCATCCTCACCTTTTTGGTGCTGGCATCTGCCGCCGGCACCTTTGGCTGGATGAGTTTCGGGGCCTGAAAAACTGGGCGACAAGCATTTAACGACTTGATTTTCTTACCGTTTGTTCATATACACAGCAGCGCCACAGCTCTGCTGACGAGTTGTTCTCGTAATAGGGATGTACAGGCGTCAAGGCCGAGGAAGGCCTAGGGGTGTTGTTTGGTTACTTCGGCGTTAGCTTTTCTTGTGTATGCACCCCACAGGACGGTGGGCAATGCAGTCCATGAGTCCTGTTCCCTTCTCCTCCCTCTATGCGGCGGTCGTGGATGTCAGATAAGTCGCGACTGTGCGAGGGAGCCCTGTAGTCTATAATGTAGCAATGCTGCTGCCCACATAGTCTTGAATAGACGCATTGTCTCATTAGGACGACGATACCCTGCGTTGAATTCGGATCCGAGAGGATGCCGTCTTTTGGTATATTGTGAAACGGGATAGGTGTAAAGTTGGCGACGTCATGACGCATTTCATCCCGACGTCAACGACGGGCAGAGAGCACAGATGCCGGACCTGTCATACGCAGGCCACAAATTCCTCGGGCGTCTGCGCGCGCAGCGACCGATCCGCAAGCTGCAGGCATATCGGGCTGTTTCCCGGCTGTTGCATGTCGTCTTGTCCTGTGGCGGCAGTCGTTTCAGCAGACGCGACCATGGAGGACCATTGGTCATGACGGGTCGAGGGGGTTTTGGGAACAAGTGCCAAGTCTCTTCTATTCTGGCCGACTTTTCTCCGCGCATTTCTCTGGGCGCGCGTCCACCGGCCGGCGCTGTCGTTGTTTCTTTCTTTTTGGTTGAAGTTCTCCGCAACATGTCATCCTCTACCCCAAGCCCGACAACTCCACCTAACGCCTCTCTGCCAATCAAAGCGCTGAAAGGGCCCACGGCCGATCCCTCACTCTCAACCAGCAATCAACCTCACACCATAGGACACCCTCCCTATCTCATCCACTCACTCCGACACTCGTTCATCTAGAGGGCCGGGTTCAAACCCAACGCACCACACCACTCTCCCATCTCGAGGCGCCAAAACCTTGTCGGCCAAGTTAATTAGCCCTCCAAATAGTCTCACTTTAATTGGCCACACACACACACACAACACTGCCCAGCTCTCGTCCATCGCAGAACTAACTATCTTTTGTGGGAAGGATTTCGGGGCGCAACAATGCCGATCCCGGACTTTGCCAACGAGGCCATCTTCCCGGCCTTCGACGGCCTCCCCATCGAGGACGCCGGCGCCGCCGACCCGCCCTCGTACGCCGCGTCCTCCGCGCCCCCGTCTTATGTGCCGCCGCCGCCGCCGGACCCGCCGTCATACTCGGACTCGCAATCCGGCTCCGGGTCCGCCGCCGCGACGTCCCTCACCCTAACGGACACGTCCGCCACGTCTTCCGCTGTGACGCCCAAACCGTCGTCCCATGACGTGCTGGAGGAGTGGTTTCTCGTCGCCGAGGTGAAGCAAAACATGACCATCACGAAGCCGACGCTGGTGGTGGTGGACCGCGGCGGGACAGAGTTCGCCGTGACCTTTGAAGACCGCGGCATCGACCTCCGGCCGGTGCGGCAGGGGTGGACGATCGTCGTGCCTCGTGCGGTGCGGACGGCGCCCAAGGGAGGCAAGAGGGGGTTCGTAAGGGTGCCGGAGGGGCGGGGCACGGGAGTCAAGTATGTCCCCGGCGGGCTGGAGAAGATCGGGGAGGTCGGAGCGAGGGCCAGGGGGGGCGAGGACGGGGGAAAGGGGTTCCAGGGCCGGTGCGCGGGCTGCGGGAAGGGGGAGGGGGCAGACGGGGGCGCTCTCAAGAGCTGTACTGCGTGCGGAGTTGCGCGGTACTGTGGCAAGGTGAGTTCTTCGTGATTCCGATTGATGACCTGCAGTGCTTGTGTGAATCCTAGCAGGCGAAGGCGAAGGGGGCTGTTCTTGGTTGCGGATCAGAATGCTGACGTCACCGGTGTAGGAATGCCAAAAGGAGGACTGGAAAACGCATAAGAGCGACTGTAAAGTGCTGAAGGGTATGGTGAACGCGTGGGGGATATGATGAATGAGGCTCGGCTCACGAAAGCGGGTATGCCGGTCAACGCCGGCTAACCGAGTTCGGGAGGGAGGGGGGTCCAACTTGCTTGCCACCCTATCGTTACCATACTAAACACGACTTGCCTGCATCCAGACCAAGAATGCGGAGGCAGAAAGCAAGATGGGTCGGCCTGTCAAGGCCTCGGGCATATGGATATATGGATATATGGATATATATCCGCGTCACGTCTCAAGCAGATGAGGTATCCATGAGTCATTTTGGTCACACCGAATCTTCAAACTTATTAAAAGATACTGTAGCTGACAAAGTAAAAGAACCAATTTCAACAAGTGTAACACCTACTCGGCTCGCTTCCGAAGCCGTGAAAGGACCGTGGCTGTGAACCAAAACCCGAACCCCGCCATCCAACGCCAACCCAATGACTGATCCAGCGCATATCGGTAATGATGAAAGTAAACTGCCGACAAAACATTTTCAAAGGAGCGAAGAAGAATCATAGCCCCCCCCCCCCCCCCCCCCCCCCCCCTTCGTTCCCCCGTGTGCCCAGATCCTAGCGAGCCTAACCCCGCCCCCTCGCTAACCATGACCTGACGAGGGGAGCTCAAAAGTAGGCGATCCTCGCGCCCGAGAGCTGGGCGTCCCACGAGACGTAGTCGTTGTCATAGACGCCCACGAGCTCGAAGCCCTCGACGGTGCCGGGCGCCTTGCAGTCCGTCGGCGCCGTCAGGTAAGCGCCGTACGTCGCGTCCCAGGTCGCCCAGCCGCCAGCGGCGGCGGCAGGAAGGGACCAGCGCCCGAGGTTCGCGTCGCGCTGGTTGCCGGGGCCGCCGGCTCCCCAGCCGGGCGAACCGCCAGCGGGGGCCGGCTTGGTCGAGGTGAAGACGTCGAGCTTGCGGCTGCCCGAGACGCCCGAGGTGGGCCCGTCAAGGAGGAACCAGAGCTGGCACTTCTTGCCGGCGGCGGCCTGCGGGTAGGTGAAGGTCAGGAGGGACGTGAGGTCGTTCCCCTCGTTCAAGGTGTACTTGGAGACGACGCCGCCGTAGTTGGAGGGGTAGATGGCGCCGTTGCGGGTGTTGTAGACGAAGGTCGCCGAGGGGGCGAAGGAGGTTGGCGGCGGGGCGGACTGGCGGGCCGAGAGCGGGGTCGCGAGGGCGGAGGCCGCGGCGAGGACGAGGGTGACGAGGGTCTTGGAGAACATTTTGATGGAATCTTTGTGCTAGAAAGGTAGGTGGAGGACCTGAGATTGTTGGTTTGTTTGGTGTTTTGCGTTTTCGTTGCTGGCGAGCTGAGGAGGGGGATGAAAGACTGCGATGAAGACGGACGTTCGACGCATATTTGTATTCCTCTATGATGTATAGGATCAGGCGAACGTCTCCGGCATCGAGAGCCTCATAGGCTCCCTCCTGAGGTTCCATGGCTTGAGTGTCGAAGCTCACTAGGCCTAGACGCTCTCGTACGCAACCCGAAAGCTCGTCACTTGGATCTCTCAAAATAGCACCCACCCTCACTCATGCCGCACCCCGTAAAACTGACACAGCCCCGACCAGACCTTTCCCGGTCCCCAGCCGTCGGGCCAAACCCGATCAGTCTTGCGATCTGCTTCCCTCTCCCTTCCCCTGCCACCGGGGCCCCGGTAAATCGTCCCGGCGGAAACTAGCTCGCACGAGTCTAGCCCTGCGAACGACGACGACGCACCACACAGACTAGCTGATGATGAGAGCGGGCTCTGAACAGCTTGTTTGGCCATCACACCACACGAGGCAACGTTCGTATGTCTCCGAAGCGCGCCGTCACATGGTGCGGGCTGGGGGATGACGAGCTCGTGTGGAGGAGGCTCAGCTCTCTTGTCTTCTTCTGAGGGCTGAACACCCAGAGCCAATTAGAGCGCAGGCTGGTGAGGGGGGAGGGGCTGATGACTGACGGGCGACGCCCTAGCGGGGAACCGTGGACTGCATCGTCGCGTGGCTTGACGAGGCGTTTTTGATGGTCGTTGGTGAGATTGGCTTGCTTTAACGGGAAAGCCAAGAGTGTGCCCGGGCGGATGGTGCGCACGTCGTATATACGAGTTTTTGCATGAGACATAGACGCGGGGAGGTGTTCATTCTAGGAAGGGGGGGGGGGGGGGGGGTCATCTGGTCGAGAGAATGGAGACATTGGCGATATCTTGGGCTCGTATTGGCACAATACGAAGTCTAAGATGCGGGGGGGATTCAAAGTGCAGCGTTTTGCAGTTGATGATGACGGGCTGGTCAGCCGCTGAGGGCGATGTAAGCCGGGCTGAGATGTTGTGATGACAGGGCAGTTGTCCGCCTCACTCATTATCTCGTTCTTTGGCAAATAGACATCATTATTTTTCGTTGCAATCCCGAGTAACCATCCTGACTTCTGTGCTCCAAGGTGAAGGCGAAAAGAAAACAAGACTCCGGCCGTGGCTTTACTCCATTCACTAGCTAGTAGGAGATTCCTTTTGTTGATTGCGGCCACCCTCCTCCAGAAGGCACATCTAACCTGGCTCTCTACTTGACATTTGGATCTCCAAAAGGTATAAGACAACCTAGGCAATGGCGTAGCGATTCCTTCCCCTCTGACTTTAGATTACATTAACATGGCATGTGCCCCACAATGACAGCTATAATACAACAATAGTAGCGTACCGCATTCAGACATGATCATTCTAAGTGACATACATCATCAAGCAACTGTAACCTGAGACTGATTTGTTGATTGTTTGACGACTGTGCCGTATAGTAATCAGCTTGGCCAAATCAAATAACCGCATCCTTCTTCGATCATCAGATTGAAGATGTCCGCACTCTCATGCTGGTACTTTTTACAAGAGACGATTATGGAATCGAAAAATAGGCATTATTCCGCCAACCCCAAGACATGTTGCTCACAATTTGAGGATGTGTGTGTGCCGAATGTGGGGGGACAACATCATCCCTTGCAGGTTTTTCAGTTCTGTCCACCATACGCCTGCAGGACGACAAAGACGGGGAGCAAAGGTCAAAGTCATGGGATGCTACCAGTATGGCGGTGTAGCAATCTTAAATGCCAAACCTCTTTGTGTATTCTCAAGACATACCCTGTTGTTTGCTGCCAAGCTAAATGTTTCCCCGGGGTGCGATGCGAAGGATTGAGAATTATAAGTAAAGCGTCCAGGACTGGCAATCCGAATCTATGTTCTTTCACTTTCTTTTTGTGTCATCATAGCTTCGCAGCATTCTGAGGCTGAACAGTCGGCCAAAATGAGGATTCCTAGCCTTCATCCCCTCACTGCCAATCTCATCACGTCCGCTCTCATACTCTTTTCATTGACGAAGATGGTCACGCCTATCCCAACCGACATTTCACATGTGGTTGATGATGCTGACAAGCCTAAGCACCAGAAGTGCGCAGAACAGCTGTGTATCTCTGAGCGTGGTGAGCCTCCCGCTGACGCTTTTGCTAGTCTGACGCCCGCCATTCAAGTCCCCGGTATTCACCCACCGCAGAAGCGGGACGAAAGGAACTGTCTCGGAACCTATCTCTGCACCGAGAAAGACTGGAAAGGCGACTGCTACTGGGCCTGTTTTCGGAAGGGCTTGGAGGTGCAACTAGAGACCGAATGGGCTCCCAAGATCAAGTCGGTGCGTCCCGACCACGACACCAAATGCAAATTCTTCTTGTATGTCATAGAACCCGTGGCCAAGTGAAGAGGCAATTCTCTGACGCTCATATTTCATAGTGGAACCGAATGCCGAACTAGACACAAGAGTCAGGATATGGTGTATCCTGGAGGCGACTTTGACGCGAAAAAAATGGGCAAACTTGGTGTGGGGTGTTTTTACTGTTTATAATGTTGTCATGGGGCTCAACATTAAGCCGCACATGATGGTTAAGTTTATTTCCGTATTACGATTCAGGTTCGGTGTGAAATAGCGCTCATTCAAGTCTTGGACGTTATTACGGAGAACTGTAGTATTCGTGTTCTCCTTAAGTAGCTACCTACAGAACATGAACATAACTGATTGGCCTTTTCACATGCGCCAATTGCAATGGTCACCGCCAGTCAAACTCCCAGGGGTAATCAATATCCTCCATTCCGAACGACCGTCATTCTTGGCCTTTATCTTCTTCTGCTGCTCCTTGAACTGTGATTCAACATCACGGCCCTCCTTTTGTAGAATGTCGTAATCATCATCCATACCGTTTAGGGCCGCGAGAGGTTCGAATCAGTTTTCGGATTAATATCGGAGATGGTTTTAGTCATGGCTTACCGCGAACATCAATCCTGAACTGTGCAATCCCTACCGCAATCTCGACATCATCCAGATTCGTGACACTCGTGGACGAATCGGGCTTCAAGGAATCGTCATCGGCAAGGAGAAGCACTTTACGGTCCTACCAAACATCCGATTTGTTGGGCCACTGGACAAGAACCAGCCGTTTGCTCTCGCTCGGCGGGAATACTACGTTGCGGAAGCCGCGGTCGTCATCCTGGAAATCTCGGTAGCCGCGCGGGTTGTCTTCGAAGTCAAACGTCAGGCACAGCAGGGAATCGTGCTTGAGCGGGGCGAGAGACAGGTTGTCGCTGATGGTGCTCCTGGAATGAGGCTTCAGGACCTCGCGGGTCCTCCACAAAAACTGCTCTGAGGTGGTGATGCAGGGAACGATAAGGCCGGCGGATGTGCGGAGAACGGATAGGAACTACAGGGTTTGAGGACTGCGCTTCGAACGGATGATCACCTTCGAGCCGTCCACCAACTCTGATGGTCGCTGCGTACGGCGCTATGTGTCAATCATCAGTCAAATGTCACCTTTGTCGTCATTGCAGATCACCAGGTCTGTTGGGGTACCCACCCTAGACTCTAAGACTGGGATAATAGTCCGGATACCGTCTTGATCATCCCGCTTTGGGTCGTAAGGTGCCGCCTGCGGTCCCTGGAATCTATGATATGCCGTATCAGGACTACCTCTGCTGGTAGAGGTCAAGGGCGGAGCATCTTACTTCGGAGGCAAAACCTCTCTCTCACTTACTGTCTGGACAACAATGGGTTTACAGATATCATGATAGAGGTAGTGCGATCTGTCATCGCCGGTTAATCTCGTCTTGAAGCGGGATTGAACATTGATCTTGGAGGATTTGGGGATGCTAATGCACTTCCTGACGGGGCCTTGAGTTGTAGTAGAAAACACCTCGGCAGCATCTGTGAACTGAGGATCCCCGCAATCGACCAGAGAATCGATGATCATTCTCAAACCGGTTCGCTGTATAGTGTAGTGCATAAGACGTTTGCAACCTCACTTCGGATAGATGGAGCTGCTCATACCTGAATGACTCTCCAGTTGACGTGGTCGCCGACGGTGGGGCACCCCTGGCTTGGACTGTAACGAGGTTATTCCCTTCCCCTGATATTGCGAGGCTACAAGCGTCTTACTTGGAAGCCAAGATGGTGTTGCCGCCAACAGCTTCAAAAACCACATTATCGCTGCTGGCTTCATAGCTGCGGTTCGTGCTCTGATCATTGCCTTTCGTCGTCTCTTTCTTCGAGTCTGCTCCCATGTCCACAGGCTATGAAGTACAATGTCAATGCCAGGGCAAACCAGACGACAACACATGGCCGAGAAACTCACCGAAGAGACTTTTATCCCAATCGCGTGCTTGAAGCTATCTTGGCTTTTGTCTTACTCAACCAGTTCATCATCAGTCAAGGCCTTTATCGATACCAACATGCCTCCAAGCGTAAGTTCATGGCAGAAGAACTGTCCAAAAAAATGTTAGGCAAATTAAAACGAATCTGGCAAGTATTGGGGACAGATGCCTACCGAATGTCCTGTAAAATTTCCGCATCTCTGCACGATCCTTGCTTTTTCTAATTCGTTGAATGTTGTCTGCGAACTCGCGAGTCGGAACTAGGTCGTCTGCATTGAAAAAAAAGGGTAACCCGCGGTAACTATGGACTCATGAGCATAGTAGAGCATCAGATACTAGTGTGGAATACACTAACATGTATTTACCGATCATTCTCTTTATAGGCATGTTTTGCTCGGATGACAGGCTTCTCTCAGCCTCAGAGTTCGCCCCAGCACTCAATGCAACACTCAGTCCAGAGTAGCCCACCGCAATCTTACTATTCATTGACGATTTCTCAAAATGGTTGCGAATGAGCGAGTGACGAATGTCGCTCTCGACAACCACGCCGTCAATTTGGGACCCGTCTGTGACGCCGTAGTTGGGAATAGCTTGGCCAGTTATCCGACGACCATTGGCTGTTACGTCTAAAAATATGTGACTGAAATCAACTGAAGGATGCATATATGGGTTTTTGTCAAATCCTGACAATATTCAGTTGCTTGTCGGCTTCAGCTATCGGTGAAAGATGAAAGATCCTAAAGCACCAGTGCCACTATTCACAACGGCCAGTCTTTTCTATATCCAGCACCTGCCAAAAGGCGTGGATGTCGACACCGCAAGTCGAAATTCAAACCTCTCTGCTGGATTCAAATGTTAGAGTAAATTGTACACGGCGCTTTAAACAGTCGATTCCTATGTGTGTATGAGACCGGTACGGAAGCATGCCACTCCACGCGATGTTAACAGCCTTTTGAATGAGTCCAATCCTCGTCGTTTGAAAACTTGAAATTATAGTGGTATTGAAACCGCCGTATACTCTCTGTGTTTCGAGCCACAAATGGGGTAAGTAACCTGTAGGGCTCGCTGGAAATTCTTACGTAGCCACATGGACATTTCAGGTGCATCCAGATCGAGACACGGAGCGACTGCACAGCGTTTGAGGCCACCAAAGCGGCACATATCAAACCAGCCAAGTTGCTGATCATCTGATTAGTGTCGCATTGGCCACTCTGCCAAAGTATAAGAGGTATTTAAGAGAGGCCAGCACATCTAGGCGTGCAGCTATACTGTACCGCGACACCAGACGGAAGTCGTTGCCCGGCTTGTTAACCCCCGCACTCCTCCCCCTCCTTATGATGCAATGGGTCTGACTAAACTGAGACACCGTTCTGTTTGTGAGACATTATATTTTGTGGTTATTCGAGAGATACGAGGTTGAATCCAGTTTGACCCGACACTGTTGCTAAGTTCTCAGGCGGAACGAAATTCCAACCGCTTATCTCAACCCCCCGTTTAAATCGAGAAGATCAAGAGAAATGAGCGACAAAAATACAGGATCAAGACTTGCTGGCAAGGTCGCCATAATTACAGGTGAGTATCCCGCATGAGATCTCATGACTTTTCTGACAAACATCAGGCGGCGGCCATGGTTTTGGCGAAGGTATTGCTCGAAGGTTCGCTCAAGAGGGCGCCAAAGTCTTGATCACAGATATCAACGAAACCGACGGACAAAGAGTCGCCCAAGCCGTGCCCGAATCCATCTCATTCTTCAAAGCGGATGCAATCAGTGCGGAGGACTGGGATAGATTGATGGATACGGCGCAGGCACGCTATGGGCGGATAGACTGCCTGATCAACAACGCTGGCACAACTTATAGGAACAAGGTATAGGCCGTCGACCATTGTACAACAGCCGGGTACTAGTAACAAAAGACACTAACGGTAATTATAGCCCACACTGGAGGTGACAGAGGCCGAGTTTGATAAGGTTTTCAATGTCAATGTCAAAGGAATATTCCTGGGGACTGCGGCGTTCATGCCCAGGGTCATCAAGCAGGGTGAGGGTGGTGTGATGCTGAATATTGCTTCAATTGGAGCGGTGCGACCGAGACCCGGTCTCGTTTGGTACAATGCCTCCAAGGGGGCGGTATGCACGGTGCGCTTCGTCGATTGGATAATAGCAGTTGAACTTGGCTAAAAGCTGCATAGGCAACTAAGGGGCTCGCCGCCGAGTACGGTGCTCACCAAATTCGAGTCAATTCTGTGTGCCCTCTTTTGAGTGGCACTGGACTGTAAGCTACCCTTTCGTCAAGCCTACTCTAATCTTCTAACTTAGTTACAGATTTGAATCCTTTGCTGGACATGCCGATACCCCAGAGAACAGGCTCAAGTTCATCGACAATGTCCCTCTCAAACGACTCTGCGAGGTATCTGATGTGGCGGACACTTGCCTTTTCTTAGCGTCTGATGAAAGCAAATTCATTACCGGCATTAATCTAGAGGTCGATGGTGGCAGAGCCATTTGACCACCTCCTGGTATCTTGGCTGGGACCTTACGACAACAATTCCCCCCGAGATTCGGAAAATTCTCAGGAAGAAGATGTTAATACTTCTTCTTATCCTTGGATGAGTTGGTTGTCTTCATCCAAGACTTGGTTCTTTTCAAGCCTTTGAATTCTCAGTCGCTGCCAAATATTAATATCACATAAAACCATCAACTTTATCTCATTATTGGGCTGTTTGTGCTCGTTGAGAAAGACCAAATCGAAATGCCTTATAAGTGCCACCTGAATTGTCATCAACTCCTTCATTCCGACAGAGTATGTGCTGTTCGCAAGCTATATTGACAGCGATGTTATAACCGATGATATAACCCGGCATTCCCCGCGTTCGGGCTTCGGCTATGTCGAGCTCGAGAGAGCCGATCAAACCACCACTAGTTCCCGGGTGCTTTGATGACGTAACCACTTGCCCGTGTTTCCTTCGGCTGTGACCTCATGAAACAACTTGCCACTGCTGAATGAAGGTTCTTGCTGGGAATCTACTTTTCAGTTACAGTATTGGTTCTGGTCGATGTCACGTCTCTAATATTGTGCAATATGACGTCTAGAAGCATGTTGACAAAGTTCTGGAGGGGTCACAACCAGGCGAGCATCAGAGCTTTTGGTCACTCCGACCCTGTCACTGACCAATTTCTCAGCTGGTACACCGTTTTCAAGTACGGCGGCTTACGTTACACGAGTATCAGTCGCATGGGATTCTTAGGGAGGTACTTTGCAAAATTTACGACTGATGCAACAAAACGGAATATCTGACAATGTAAATCCAGTTTGGCATACCGGTTCCACTGGGAAAAGTTGCCACAACATCGGCTGAAGCTGAAGCAATCATCAGGGAATTTAGTACGCCCCTCATCACACGCTGCAGAACTATACTGACTGAATACTAACAGATAAAACGTGCATAATTAAGCCACAGATCCTAGGAAGGAGTGGAAAAGCGGAAACGATCGATGGAGGTTTCGAAGATAGATTCATACAGGTCAACGACGCTAAAGCAGCCGGAAATGTTGCCAAAGCAATGCTCAGCCATAACCTGGAGGCAAGCTCAGGCGGCGAAGTACTTGCCAACAAACTCTTCATTACAGAGATGATCAATTATGAAACCGCATGGTTTTTGGCCATCACATTTGATCGAGAGAACAGCTGCCCGATAATCATTGCGTCCAAAAGAGGCGGGATTGACATGGAAACAACCGTACAGCAATATCCTGAACAGTTCCACACCTTTAGGCTTGGGTATACCAGAGGAATCACGCGAGAGGTTATCGAAAGAGTCTCGAAATTCCTGGACGCTTCTACGAAGGAGAGGGACAGCCTACAAAGAATACTGGGGCGTCTGTACAGAATCTTCACGGCCAAAGACGCCACGCTTCTCGAGATCAGATCACTAGCAAGGTCGCATGACGGGACATTGACATGTTTGGACTCCAGCTTCGCCTTCGATGATGCTGCAAGCAAGAGGCAGGAAGATGTGTTTTCATTGAGAGACATAATGCACGAGATCTCCGAAGAGGTCGAAGCTGAGAAGTACGGATTGGTATATGTCAAAATGGATGGCAACATCGGCAACGTAGTGAATGGTGCTGGGCTTGCAATGGCCACCAACGATGCCATTGCGCTTTATGGAGGTTCCAGTGCGAACTTCTTAGATGCTGGTGGGCAAGCGACAAAAGATACCATGGTGAAAGCCTTCGAGATCATCTTAAGGGATGAGAGGGTGAAGACGATCCTTGTCAACATTTATGGCGGCAAGTCGGATCACGCATGGTCCAATAGATGTCTAGTTAACTAATGGCGTACCCAACAGGGATTACCCGGGGCGACATGATTGCAGAGTCCATCCTTGGAGCAGCAAAGGAACTAGGTCCGCTGAAGGTGCCTATGGTGGTTCGACTCCAGGGGACCAACTCCGAGCTGGGACTGAAGATGGTAGGTCGTCTTGTTTACTTGTCAGTCGTCCCCCTTGCTAACAAAGCCACGAAGCTAGAGGAAGCTGATTTAGGACTACACACGGAGGCTGATTTCGGCAAGGCGGCAGAGAAAGCAGTGGAACTGGCTAGAGGCAGCGCCGTGATATCTAGCGCTTGAAACAACGACTTTGAGACTAGGTTACCTCGAGTTACATCCTGCTCGGATGACGGACTGACGAGGAACAATCACACATACAACTGTAACACACTAGATTTTCATAGCAGACAGATATCGCGCAACACTTGGAGGGTTTATCTTGGCTTATAGAAGCGCTGATGGTCCAAATTCTATTGAACCATCCAACCAGGTCGAACAAGCCTCTGTCTCGTTGGCAGATCCAACATTTTCCTATGCGCACCAACTTTCGTTGCCGCCAGACTCAGGCCAAACATGTAATGAAACCCACCAATGGATCTTCGAGCTACCTTAGATGTCTTTTCTGTGTAGGAAATGTCTTCTCGCTATTACATCTCTCGGTTCGCATAGTAGTTCAAACACCTCTTCGATAACAACCGAAAGCTCATCCAATTAATAAACGCCTGACAAAGCAGCCACGGGACGAGCTGATGCCTACAGCGTTTTGTTTGTTTTATTTGGACTAGTGTGGTAATCTTGTCAGTCTGAATCTGACATCATAGCAAAGGATGTTCCCCCTCTCAAGCAGCTGCCAATAGACCGCTTTTAGGGCTGGTGCAAACCAAGAACTGCTAGCATATTGTTACTGACTTACCAAAACGTGGGATCCGTAAGCTCTATCACCGCCTTGAGCGAATTGCCGGCCCGGTCTTTAGTTCCGTGCTGCATATTCCTGCTCAGGCGTCATGCAGCCCAGTACCCAAACAGTGACTGATAGACGAGTGGCGTGAAAAGTTCTGTCGAAACTAATGCCGCCTCCCTCCTAGGCGAGGCAGACGTCAGAATTAGGTTGCCCCGTGCCCGGACGATAAGCCCTTTTCGGAAGGATCATGATGGTGTACCACACGCGATACGACGTGGACAAGGGCTCAACGTGTGGTCCCGCGCAGCGAGGGAATGTCATCCACGCATTCCCACGCTATCTCGTTCAAGGTCTGGGTTCGCGAGAGGGGCTGGGTGAGGGGAGGGTATTGGAACAGGGCGCAAAACGGTTGATGATAGCGCCGGTCTAAAGTCGCTAGAAATGCAAGACTGCAGGCACTGGGGAGAAGCTATGGTTATGATTGGTTTGCAGCATCATACAGGCGTATGGAAACGGGGAATTCGGGTGACTGCAGTAGGTAGAGAGAGAGAAAAAAGCAAAAAAAGGCCCCACGGTAGGCGGAGAGGTGCAGCCATGTCAGGTCCCCCCTGTGTTTCTGGCCATCGAGGGCTCGCCGCATCGAGTTGTCGACTCATGCCAGCAATGCCTCTGATTGCATCGTCTGTTGGCCTCCGCGGTTCCGAGAAACGTAGCCAATACCCGTGTTGCCGGATAGGTCTCGAGCCTGTGTAACAAAACGGCTTCTTCTGGCAAGTCAAGATGGGCATCATTGTGACCGGCTGGGCTCATTTCACTGTTCGCGTAGTTCTTGGCAACGCTGCAAACCCAGCCAAATAGCTGGCGCTGTCAAGCTTGCATCATGGGGGCTTGCTGGAACCGATACGTGCTGTCACACCGTTGAATTTCTGACATTTCGCTCCCCCCCTGGCTGAGTTGCCGAGCAGCCGAGTCATCAACTCTCTGAGCCGTCCTATGTAGCCTGCGGCTGGCCGCTCGATTTTTGACTGTTTGCGCGGCGCGAACCCCTGCCCGTCCCCTTCCGGGAGTCCAACCTAGCTTCAAGATCCCTGTTCTCCCTTGACTGCGTCGATAGATTGGGTTCGATATGCAGTCCAAGACGCATAGAAAAAGCAGCCAAGACAAGCGAATTGGGCTATTGAACGGCCTGAGGTGGTGTCCCGCAAGAAAAAGAAACTGCCCCTGCTCAACGGGGGGATGGTCATGGAAATCCTCACAAGATTCAAAATGGAGCGGCCGTGCTCCGTTTTCCATGTAAGCACTGGGGACATCTCGAAGCTCATCGTCTCTTCCACCTTCCGCACAGTCCAGTTGTGGGCGACAAGGACTGTCACCCCTCCATCACACTCATCGGGGCCGTAGTATGGAGGCACGACCTCCTACGATGCCTGCGGCAGGCGACAAAGTCGTGATATTCCCGCTTGAGAGGCAGGTTCAGGTCTCAGTGGTGGCGGTCTCCGTCGCCTTCATCATCATACCGACTATCATGGTCACCCTGCGCCTCATCTCAAGGCGCATAGCGAATCGGGTCATAAATGGGAGCGATTGGTGTATTATCGCAGCCTGTGTGAGTTTCGTGGCCTCGCTATTACTCGGGACAACGATTACTGAGTCTACTGTTTCTGTCCAGGTCTTCTCCAACGCTCTCCAAGCCGTCTCGATTGTCAGCGTGGTGCAATGCGGCGTTGGTTTTAGCAACGCCGATGTCGTCCCCAAGTACGGCTTCGGACCGATCATCAAATTTCTCAAGGTCAGTGACCTCTCTTAGCCATGCGGCCGGTCAATACCTCGAGACCAAATCCCAAACTGACCTGTCCAAAATCGACAACCAGGTCCTTCTCGCCCAGCAGATTCTTTGGGCGATTAGTCTCAGTCTCTGCAAGATCGCCATCCTTCTCCTCTACTCTAAGATCTTCACGACGCATGCGATGGCCATGGCAGCAAGGATCATGACTGGCTTCACTGCTTTATGGACCGTGGCCACCATTCTCGTGGCGTTCTTAATCTGCCGCCCTCTATCAGACAACTGGCTTCTCGACCTCAAGAGCCGCAACTGCGGAAACCAGCCGGCGGCCGACGGGACAATGGGGGTCTTGAACATGATTACCGACATTGCTGTTCTCATCATGCCAATTCCACACCTGTGGAAGCTGCGCCTTGAGACGTATAAAAAGGTCGCTCTCATCGTGACGTTTTCTCTCGGGGTCTTGTAAGTCGTCCTTAATGAGCTGCTATCAGGTAACGAAAGCTGACCATTGGGGGGGTTGACCACAGTACGTGCGTCGTATCAGCTTTGCGACTGTACTATCTTGCCAACCTTGGGTACTACGACATTATATTCAACATCCCCAGCGCCCTCATCTTCAGCACCCTTGAGCCCGGCGTCGGCATCACACTGGCCTGCATTCCGTTTCTTCGGCCTTTGTTGGGCCGTTCCACGTACTCGCCCAAGGGCACTGCGAATTACTGCAGCTCCAGTGGACATACTGCGAGACTGGGCCTGGGCGACCGAGAAATGAACGGATTCGTTCTCGTCAGTAACGACTCGTCTCAATACCCGCTCCAGGAGTACGATAAAAAAAAGCCAGATACCAGAGATCCCTGGCGATTGTTTGTATAGCAGGGATGATAGTGCTTAACGGTTATTATAACATAAACACGGGGTTGAATATTATGCTCACTTGATGTCTATTGTTTCCTAGTGATGCAATGAGCCAACATTGTACGATAAACTAACGTAAAAGTGAGTAGCTATAACATCCATGCTTGGCCATTATTATTGACAGGATGCCGAGACCCATTCGGTATAGGCAGAACCTCTTATTGCGCGTGCGTGACCGAAGATGCTCAGTCAAAGAGGGGTCGGAGGTCTCATTCAATGAGCGTGGGCGCTTCCGTCACATCCTCCGGTAACTTGCTCCATCGACTAGTGTAGACTCTTCCATCCTTGATCACCGCCAGAACGTTCTTCTCCGGCTCGTCCAAGATCGAAACGTTTTCTAAGGGGTTCTCATTCAAAATGATGAGGTCGGCGGCAAACCCTTCCTTTACCTGCCCGAGAAACCCATCCTGGCGAAGCATGTTGGCTGCGTTCACTGTCGCAGACTGCAGAACGTGCTTGCTGCTGAGCGCCTGTTGACGAATCCCAAACTCCCTGCTCTGCTCCGCCTGCAGAGGACCGAGCAGGTCGGAACCGTGGCAGATTGTGACCCCAGCATCGGCGGCGATCCGCAGCGATTGTAGTCCTCTTTCCAACACTTCCTGGTTCTTGCGCTGGTTTTCAGGAGGCAGAAACCCGGCGTACTTGTCTGACGCCATGGCGTCGTACGTGACCAACGTCGGAGTCAACCAGACGCCTTTCTTGGCCATGAGCTCAGCGGTCTCTTTGTCAATGAAGTTTCCGTGCTCGATACCGGTGACGCCGTTGTCGACAGCATGACGGATTGCCCGGGGCGTGTAGGCGTGGGCGGTGACCCATGTATTATAGCTCCGTGCGACCTCGCTGATGGCCTTGATCTCGTCCGCGGTGAATTGCGTGTTCTCGATCTTGTCGGTCGGAGACGCGACACCCCCACCCACCATGATCTTGATGAAGTCCGCTCCCGTCCTGAGCTGCTCTCTGGCCGCCCTGATGCAATCCGGCACGCCGTCTACCACGCTGGAAAGCCCGGCAACCCCACCGCAGCATAGACTCGAATGATCGTGTGCGCCTCGCCGGTCGCCGTGGCCACCTGTCTGCGACAGAGCCTGGTTGGCGATGAATAGGCGCGGGCCGGGGAAGACGCCATCTTGGATCGCTTCCTTCAAGGCAAGGGTGGCGCCTCCTGTGTCGCGTACCGTCGTGAAGCCTTTGCTCAGGATCCGGCCGCAGACGAACGATTGTCTCAGATGGGAAACAGTGGCATCCATGCCCATGCCGCTGTTGAGGCCGGCCTCGCCGGGGACGGAGCTGACGTGCACATGACAATCAATGAGACCTGGCGAGATGTATCTGCCATGCAAATCAACGACAATGGCATCGCCCAAGGTGCTGGTAGGCTCCCCGACGCTCTCAACCAGCCCATTCGAGATCTTGACGGACGTATTCTCAATGACGGCGCCCTTGGCAATGTCCACGACGTTGGCGTTGACGAACAGGTATGCGTTCTGCTTGGGTAGTCTCCATGGCTTGATAAGCTTCTCCGGGATCGCACCCGCGGGATCGGCCCCTCGCCGCGGGGGACCGCGCTGTGGGAGATTGGCGGCGGGGCCGTCGAAGGCGGGAGCTCGGCGGACTGTCATAGTCTTGAGGTCAATTGACGAGCCACTTGAAAGAACCTGGAGTTATTCCAGAGAAGAAGTGAATCAACCGACGAAGAGGGGAATTGAAGGAAGCCCCGTTCGTTGATGGTGTAGCCAGAGGGTTGAGAGCTGGAATTCCAAGTGAGACCGATAAGCAAGGCTATTGGGAGTTTGCCGGCGCGGAGCCGGCGAACCAGGTACGATGGATGAAATGCCCGCACCCCTGGCCTGAGTGATCAGTGCGCGCGCAAGTTTACCTTCCTGAAATGGTCAAAGGATTGTTCATCTCTTCGAGGACCCATGGAATACTGTGCTGTATGATCAACTCGGCATTGCTTTGACTAAAGGCATCAAAATTCGTGAATAGCACTGTTAAGGAAAAGAAAAACACTCTGTCTAGGGGATTCAATCACACTTATTTTGTTAGACTAGTACACTAGAGTCCTAAAATAACAGGGAGATTATAACTTGGTTACAATTTAACTCAAGCAGAGGGATGGAAAAAAAAGTATTGTTAGAATTCGAATACAGGCACATTATAATGTATGGTGACAAAAGGCGAAAAAAATCTCCCCGACGGGGAATTGAACCCCGGTCCCCTGCGAATCATTTGAATGACAAGCAGATATCCTCACCACTAGACTATCGGGGATTGGTGGGTGTGGACACCCAGTGATAGCTGGTTACTTGCAAGTTTAGTCAACTTGTAATATATCAGCTCTAGATACGTTCATGTATCCAGCTTTCAACGAGTTTACCCCCTTGCTCTTAGTCGCATGACAGACTCGTCGAAACATTGGCGACATATGCATGTGTCACGAACTTATTGCTTCTTAGAGACTTTGAACCAATATTTTCTAATGACTGTAAAATTGTACATACACTGTGCCTCGGTGTATGGCTTGTCAAGCACATGTCTCTTATGTCTTAGTCTTAGGTGATTAGCAGTGGATGTATCCGTACCTATCGGATACTTGGCTTCACATAGGAAGTAGGTAACGGCACGCATGCTGAAGGGCCCGGACTTTCCGACGTCTGCTGCTCTGTAGATGTACAACAAAGGGAAAATCAAGGAACAAGAACCCGGAGCATTCCCAGCCTGGGTTTCACCCACTTAGCGGTTTTTCGAGCCTTAATCACCGGCAGCAGTACCGGTATGTCCGTAGGCAGACGGCGAATCAATCTTGGCACCGCTAACGACCCCACCACTAATAAGCTACGCTGTTGTACTGTGACATATTAGCGTTGTTGGTAGAACTGAATCTGACATCATTTGGCATCCTCATCCTGAGCATAGCCGCACTGCACTTGAATCCGGCGGCACAACCACAACTTACAACATAAGCAGCTGAAAGCTTCACTTCTCATATACACAATTAACGGCAGCAGGCAAGAAGTTCCATTTTACCGCCAGGCGATCCTCATCGATGAGCGAATCTTATAACAACAGTCTTGGGCCAGAATGTCAAAAGCTGCAATCCAGCCTGGCACCAGCGACTGCGGCGGCACGGAGTTTCATCTCTGCCCATCCCGATACACAGGTCCAGCTATCTCCCTTGCTGGAAGAGCTGCTTCGCCTGCCTGATGTCGTCGTCGCACTTCTCCGCGATGCAGCGAGCTGTGAGGGGGAGCAACAGCTTTTGCTAGAGGCACGAGAGGTGCCTGTGTTCTGTGCCGACATTGTCCGGCAGATTGAGGGCGCATTCTCCGAGGGGGGCGGATGGATCCGACGAGGTGACAATGGCTGGAGGAACGCGGCGGACCGAGCAGCCGCTCTGGGTTTGTGTCTCGGGGCGGGTAGAAGGACAATGAGCCTGGCTGTAGATGCCATGGGTCTGTGAGTTCGTTTTTGGCGGCAACGTTGATATTGTGGGCTAGTGAACCGGGAACTAACTCTGTATCAGAGCTGCACACCTGAGAAGGGCAGAGGAAGCTGGGGAGTCACCTCCATATGCCACCAGCGCCATCTTGCAGGAGCTCAACGCCATCAGAGAGACCCTCAATCGCCCGTCTCCGCAAGAGCAGGCCGCATCGTTGCGCTGTATCGGCACGTTCCTCGACTTTCTGAAGACCTACGTTGATAACCAGTCGACCACGGTCCCGGTTTCAGACATGGCAAGACTGAGCGTCACTGCCAGCAACGCCGGCGCATCCACATATTCCATGTCCGGCTCGCCGAGCGTAAACGGCGACCAGTACGCAGCACCGATGCTTCTTCCGGTGGCACCGCACCCAGTCACCTTCCGTCACATTGGTAAGATCGTCATGAACCTGGAAAAGGAGCCCGTCGATATCAGATTCACCTCGGCCAGCGACCCGACATCTTTCGCCGTGTCCAGCTTCTTCAAGGACATTGGTATTTTCGACGCCTCGACGGGCCAGCGTAGAAGGTCAATCAAAGTCAAAGGTGTCCATATGGTGTTTTCGCCAATGAGGGACTCTTTGGCTGTCACAACGGAACACTTGGACGACGGAACGCATCGCAATTCGAAGATGATACCTACAACGCATGACATGGTGCACTTTGACAAACCAGTCTTGTATGTCGTTGACTGGGTCAACGACAACAGTCCGAGCGCGAGGCGATTCATGTTACAATGGCATGGCATCCGCCCCTTCTCCTTCAGCCCCGATGGCCAACTCTTGGCGATCAAGGGCGTGCGGAACCGGGTCGAGATTGTCACCAGCGCGAGGGGCCAAGGGTACAGCGTCCTCCGCAGCCACACCGACGAGGTGACACACGCCGAGTTCACGGCGGACGGCGCCAGGCTCGTAACCATGTCGCGAGACGGCACTCTGAGGGTGTCAAGCGTCGAGTCCGGACGCAACATCGCCAAAATCGATATCGAACACTGGCGGAACCCTCTTCAGCTAGCGGTGTCCCCGACGGGCGTGATTGCCACGATCTGGGGCAGAGAGGTGACGATCTGGGATTACGAGACCGGCGCCATGAACAGCTACAACCTCGAGATCGCCCGGGGCAGCGAGGGCGTCCCGTTGGCCATCTCGCCTGATTTGCGGTGGGTTGCGTATCGATCGGATGACGGGGCAGATGTCACCGATCTGTCGACGGGAAAAGTGGTCTACTCGGCAAGACTCGAATCGGGTTTCGCAGTTTCGGCAGCGTTTTCGGGCAACGGCAAGTACCTGGTCGTCGGCAGGTGCATGAATGGCCACCATGGCCGAACCGACTCTGGCATCCTTAACGTGTGGGAGATTCAGGCGTAAAAATACATGGTTTCTCTGCTGGACTCGGCGCCAGAAAACACGATTGATACTATGGTTGAAGCTATTACGCTTTGTCCTTTCGGTCGATGGTGCCTGGCCACATAAGAGATTGATCGCACTCATAAAAGGTAACATGCGGTTGCAGAATTCACGGTTCTTCTATTGGGTACCAAAAGCAGGGTCTCTCCTAATTACCTTGAGTGATCACCCGCAAATGGGCTGTCTTCTATCAAATAC